ACACTCTGTGTGAAGTGTGGTTATATGGTAAAGTTTCTATGAGCCTAAACAGCATTTATGCTATAAAACGGCGTTAATCTAGTTAACGTTAATGGCTAAATTACTGACGGAAATGTCTAAAAAACTTCGTCAACAAAATAAATGCGAGAAAATCGCGCTTAACATGATGACATTTAAAACTATTAGCTTATATTAAAATACATACTATATTATTATTACTATGACCAAATTATAGTCAATTTACCGTTTGAGCTTCCTTACAACAACTGATCGAGGGACTTGGACTGAAGTTGTGCCTACGTCACACATAGGTAAAAAAAAAAAAAAAACTATAACCTTCCCAGCTAAAATATCCTGTCTCTCCAAAATAATTTTCTGTCGTTATGTAATCTATCCCATCTGGTCTTGTTTCTCTATAGAGGTACCATTACTTTATCCCAAATTTCGCTTAATTTTTTATTCTTATATTGGAAGGTTATGTTTTGCTTCTCCCTGTAAAAATAATAATAGGATAATCCGTTAATTATTACAGCAGAATATTATTAGTCTACCAGGTGTGACTGCTTATTGGAATAATGCAGTGGATAATATTTGTTGGGAAAAGGTATGGATGCTTCCTCATAATTATTTTCTAACAAATAAAAGAGATTTCTTATAAAATAATTCAGAAATTCTATCTGGCCCATCATTATATGTAAAAATATAAAATTGATATCTCCTCCAACTGTTCCCTTTATGATGATTGCTTTGAAACTTGTTCATCTTTTTTCGTACTGTCCATAAATATTTTGGAAAAGTGTCTTGAATTTTATTCTAAGTAAAATTTATAATAAATGTATTTTGTATTGGAAAGATGTAATGTTAGGCTTTACTGAGTACAAACAACCTAAAAGTAAACAGTTTTATGAGATTAACTTAATTTTGCTGATTGCTAAATTTCACATTCATAAGTCAAAATTTTCTAACTCCAGACCTATGTTTGTGGTTTTCTGAACGAATTTAAAACAATACCTTTCACTGATCCAAATGTCTCATAACAAAAAGGCTCTAAAACTTCAACTGTCTGCGGCTCTTTCCCTATGTTTGAGTAAATTTTACTTTTTCATAATGTATTTTATATACCCCCTGTGTTTAGCTGTTTCTTCTTTTTTCTTTTTCTTCATTGTTAAAAATAATTGTTCTCCCTATTTGTTGTTGTATGTATAAATTGTATACACTGTTTATGGGCTTAATTAAAAAAAAAAAAAAAAAAAACATCCCAGCTAACATTTTTACATTTTAAAAACACTGTAGGGTTCCCATTAAGATAAGGAACCTTTGAGTTTGTTTAGTCTATATAATGTCAGTTTTTAATGAATAATTTTGTTATTTTTCATAGCCTATAGGCTACTATTCATTCATTCATTTTCTTTTCGGCTTAGTCCCTTTATTACACTGGGGTCGCCGCAGCGGAATAAACCACCAATTTATCCATCATATGTTTTTATGGAGCGGATGCCCTTCCAGCTGCAACCCATCACTGGGAAACATCCATACTCCTTCACACACATACACTATGGACAATTTAGCCTACCCAATTCACCTGTACCGCATATCTTTGGACAGTGGGGGAACCCAGAGCATATAGAGCACTACTAAGTGATTTATGTGCATTAATACACTAACCTAAATTAACATTATACTTATATTATTAGTTCATTGCACTGACGTATTTTAATTTTAAATGTTTGTTCATTCATTTTGGCGGCAAGGTTCATTAAAGGGTCAAAATTACAACCTTGATTGTACAAAATGTTCTGTTAAAGCTTAAGAAAATAATCACAAATAAATGTAAAAAAAAGAAATCGCAACAATAATTTACTTTTTGCATCTAAAAACTGAAATTTGCACATAACGAGACACGAGACACGTTCCAGAAATCAGCTGATACTTGGCAGCTCCATCAAGGATTGCATGCTGAATGTGCTGTTAGAGCTTGGGAAGCAAATGTCAGTCCCACTGTCCCCTATATTTCAATACTATAGAAAGGGGCATTTTCCTCTTTTAGAGGACATTCATAACTGGACGATTAGGAAAATGTTTCTTTTATTAGATTGAATGCTAGTAATATTTTCTCATTTCATGCTTTCAAACAGACAAAGCCAATATTCCACTAGTATATTCAAATCTGAAATTATGTAATACCAGCAAAATGCCACCTTCCTTCTAAAAATAAGATCCTGAATCTGATTATATTTAAGTAGTAAAGCTATTTTTGCAATATGCGGGTAGATAAATCTCAAACATTCATGCTGTTCATGACAAGACCTCCCAGTTAAGTCGAAAGCAATGACTGAGGCTTATGGATTCTCTGGGGGTCTGCAAGGTTGATGTGAGTGCCGGAGCATGTTATCTTGAAGTGCTAAAAATAGGAACTGATCCGAGTCTACGCAATGGCTCTTTGCCACGTACAGGAAGCTTTAACCTGCCATCTCTCAACACCTTCAGCAGACTCTGAAATGCCACACAGGTGAGATGAATTTTAAACAAGCAGGGTGCAAGTGTCCAATATAAAATACAGAAGAGCGGAGCAGGAGATGTTGTTGCAGAGTTTATATAACAGTCTTTAAAGAACTAGAAGTAACCTCACAGTTCAGTCTGTTTGCAAAAACACATGAATGCGTCATGTGAAGACAGAGCTTCAGTTTGATAAACACATTCAGTCATTTGTGTAAATATGCCTATTATTAGTACAGGCCGAAGCCAACAGGAAATGCACCACCTAAATTACTTTTCAAAAGTGAGTTTCAAGTACTGCATGTCCTGTGGTTGTTCGCCTAAAAATATCAGCTGCATGCTGTATATGCAAAGAGTGCTTGAAAAGATTATTAATATAATACGAAGAACTTCCCCTTTTACATGCCAAATATCAGCAGTACTTTGTGTTGTTGGTGTTTCTGTGTGTTTTGTGAGGAGGATCAATAAGTCAAGGCCCTGTACACAGAAACTGTTAGTTTTGGACATCACCTGCTACTGTTACATAATAATACTTAAGGCAATGAAGGCGAAAATGGCAGGGAAACACGTGGATTACTGTGCACTCACACAACCTCTGAGTGACTGCTGACCCAAAAATCACCTTGTAAAGTCAGTAAAAGTAGGCAGCAGTTCTGACAGGGCTGCAGGCAGCACAGAAAATGCCAGATTAGATGGAGTCGTAAAATGCTAACCATTAAATTGTGCATATATGAGATAAAAATAGCAAAAATAAATATGCTTTTATTAGAAGGGAGAAATAAAAACTCTGTTATGTTTCAGTATTGATATACAGTGTTTTTTTTACTTTGACATTTCTGAAATTGTGATGTAAAACACTTTACAGGTATATTCCTTGTAATGAATTATGATTCATGAATTGAGGCATAACAGCAAACGTTTTAAACGACAATTAATTAGTATTTTGGGATCTTAATATCCTCTTTGATATGTCATCAAATGATTCTTGTTCTATATACATGTAGGAATGAGCCACTGGTTAATGTGTCAACATACAGCACAACAAAAATAAATCCTAAAGGTGCAACATGTACGTTTGACACCCAGTGGTTGAACTAGGTATTACACTCCTGGTTCAAAATATGCGCAAGTGCAGGTTGCCAGATTGAGGACACCAACAGCATTGTGTCTGACTGTTAAGCCTAAAGGCTTATTTAAATTGTGTTCTAAATAAAATCAACAGCACGTGATAGAAGGAATATTTTCCATATTAAAATTAGTTTTTGTTCTTAACCAATTCCTAAAATATACATTTTAGTAACAGCTTCGATTTCTTGCAGCTGAGCAACAGGATAAACTGACAGTGACAACGTTTACATGGACATTAATTGAATAAGACGGTGATATGATTAAGGTGTTCACATAAGTTGCTTTTTGAATGTTCCTTTCATGATCCCGTTTTACATGTTATAGTACATAATTCGATTAACATCATTGGGTCACCATGCTATCCACAATTCCTGCAGAGTTTCATGTAATTTCGGGTGTTTAAATGCAGTTTGGCACTTTCATTTAGGAACATTTTACGCATGTCCTCCATGACAAACAAGATATTGGATGCAAGTATGAACTGCTGGAAGAGTGTTGTTTTAATGGAATTTGATAGCACATGCCGTATGGGGGAAAAAAAAACTCAGCAGTTCACGATGCAGGTGTCTGTGGTTGTTCACTGACAAAAATCCTACACGACGGTAAGTTTGATTAAGGTGTTTACATGTCTGTGCTGCATACTACACAAGTCTTAACTTGATTTCTGTGTAGTTCGATTATGACCTTAATCGGATCAGTGCAAGCCAATAGCCACACATCAGTGATTCTGCATGTACATATTATAATGTTAAAGAGGTTTAATATCTATTAATTAAACATTACCATTTTGTTGGAGTGCAGTAAGTGCATATTCTGTGTTTTGTATTTAAATTTCTGTGGTGTTTCGTCTGGTGCAAACAGCCAAATTGCTCATCACTGCAAATCTCGTCACAGAGCGTGTTTTTAGGACACGGGGTTACAATGTAACCTGCTTACCTAATGATTATGCTCGTAATATTTATATTATTTACTAATTAATTACCAACTCATGTGGAACTCTAAAACCATGTCTCATTTCAGAGGCTGTACCTGTCCAACGGAGGCCACATTTTCGATCGTGGACACTTTGAGAGCATTCCTGACTGAATGAATGAAATAGTCTGTTTTCCACAAAGGTAACCTGGGGTGCGGAAATATAATTGGCTAAAGTGGCATTGGGCAGGTTAAAGGGACCAAAACAAAGACATACTTTCCGGCACAGAACACACATTTTCAAAGCACAATATCTGACTTAAGCATTGTTTTTCAGATAAACAAGAATGTTCACTTAGCATGTTTCTTAAATATCTGCAAACATATTGTGGTATTTTATATGCTTAAAAAGAGTCAAAGACTTACATATACATACAAATTACTCTTAAAAAGAGAACAACATCAGTGATCATAATATTTTCATTTAATCCCCTTTTTAAAGGCCATTTATATACAGAAGACTTTAAAAACATTGGACCATTGTACAATATATCTACAAATTTATAATCACAGTTTCACTCACTATACAATCAAGCAGAGTACAAGTGACGAACCAGAGACAGAATCAACACGTGGTTTTTTTTTCTTCTTCAGTTTCAATTTGCCATTCACAAACATTCACACCTTTCTTTTGTTTTGAGACTTGAAATAAATAATGAATGTAAAGCACACCGATAAATCATCAACAGATTCAGAAAGTCTTAATTTTGCTAATAAGAGCTCTGTGTAAATGCTTATTTTTTTGCGAGCATTGCATCATTTCCTTCATCCTGTGTTTTCCGGAATGTCTGCAATGTGTTTTTGGGAGTGTTGAGAGCAACAGCGCAGGCTCTCAATGTTGGAACGGCTGATATGACCTTGACAAGCTTATATAGCGGTATGTCAAGTTATTATAAACCCTTTATCACAGTGCATTGGTGTGATTTCACTTTCAATAGCGGCTCAAGTAGGAGAAATCCCAAGATGGCACTAAAACGATTGCGATCTACCAATCATCAAATGGCTGCCTACAAGTTCTAAAGGCGAAAATCCATTAGTGGAGTCTGATAGGGCGATTCTTTATCATGCAACCCTTCAAAAAGAGACAGAAGGGAAAAGAAAACCAGCAATGCCTCCGGCGGTCACAATTCAACGGTTGGAATGGATTCAACTCTGTATGAAGTTGCGTACCTTATGTTACATCGCCATGAAATCGGGCTATTTTGCTGGAGTCTCTAATGGGATGCTGGCCGGGGTGATTACGACTTAGTCGAACAAACAAAAAGGAGGGTTAAAATTGCACTTTTGCCCTTAATATTTACATATTCTCATTCATTTTACAGGGATGTTATACCTTTGTATCTTTTGGGAGCAAAAAAAAATCTATCACACACACACAAGTAAACAAGTGTTTTTAAAAAAAAAAAGAAAGACAGAACACAGAAAAATAAAAGCATATTTAGACAAAAAAGCATAAGAAGAGGTAGAAAAGGGGAGAGGGGGCAAAAATAATATTTAATTACAACTTAATCCAGAGAGAACGAGCTGATAATAAAATCCACAAGCTCTATTAAGACTAGCCCTAAATGAATTGAAAGTTCTGAGATGTAGTTATTCAGTCTGATTAATGTGTTTTACTGTAGTTTTTGGCATGGCCGTTCTCGCCTAAGTGCTTAGCGAGAGATAATGCTATCCGGGTGTAGAAGAAACAGAGCAGCAGTGTGAATGAGGAATGTTGCCCACACTCCCGGGTCAGAGCTGTGTGGCTTACACGCAAGGGTCCTTTTCATTACATAATACATTCATTAATTGGCACGTTTGCAAGAGGGGGGGAATGAGAGCGGCGAGAAGCGGCCATTAACCCACGATGCATTGAATAGCCTCTGAAAGGCTCTATAAAGAGCTGCAGAATCTGCGTTTCTCCATTAGTCCAGGACATTTTGTTCTTCAAAAGAGAGTGAGGTCACGCTGATGAGAATATTCACTCATCTACCCAACTTCAGGGTGTTGGATTTAGGACTGCATTTCATCTCTGTACCTGATGACCGCCACTCATCGAGGCTGCATTATGGGGGACGGAAAAGTTGGATAGCTATTGGGCACGATGTGAATAAAAGCAAATCCCGTTAATCTCTTTGCATTCCATTCAAGTGTCATGTAAGCATCTCAAAGATCGCAAACTGTGCCTCCAGTGTATTTGTCAGACTGAAGTTGTCTGATGGGAAAGAAAAAAAAAACACAGTTTTGATCCCAAACGGAGTACATGGTTTCATAACGGGCTCGATTGGACAGAATGTGCTGTTTACTGTAGCAGTCTTCCTCCTCCAATGATTTCACTTCCTTCCGGCTGTATCATCCGGCAGCCTTTGCTGTTTGATTAGTCGTTCAATCTCCGAACCCAACGTCTGGAGATTCTCCTGTAGCGAGAGACACAAATAAAACTGGAGTAAGGACCGATGCTATTATGTTTGTTCATACACATCCGTGCGCAGCGAGCATGTAAGCTGGGATAATCATGCAATTTCAGCCTGTTTTGCTTCAAAAACGGTCTGATTTCCTGTCCATCTCATGCTAAGACTGTAATCCTGCCATTGTGCTTGGAATGGAGCTCTGCGTTACCCTCGCGCTCTGTCCTCAAAACACACTTTATTAATTTCTCTGATCTCCCAGCTGATGTGCTCTCTCGTAGCGAAAAGCTGCTGTCCCTGTTGTGACCTGAATGCGGCTGTAGAACTGGTCACTTCCAGCATGGGAATTTGCCCACGCTTTTAACAGTCATCCATCAGCAACCAAATTTGCTTTTCTTCCGATAGCCATCGCCAGGAATCCAGTTACGCAGAAGCTAAGGTTAATAATTGTAATTACATCAGCGGATGCCATTGTGGAACTCGACACTAATCTCAATACATCAACACCTAGTGCGGCTATATATGGTCATGCTGTTGCAAAAACAAACATGTGCTGTGAAAGGTTGGGTTTGAAATGCATATAGAAATACCATGAAGTTAACTCTTCTTTCAGGTGTTGATTTACGTTGTGCTTAATGAGGTACTAGTATCGTATCAGTTAATGCTCAAGATTTATCTATTGGGAATTGTATATTGACCTTATTCTGCAATGCGGAATTAAACTCAATTCTTTGATTGTTTTAGAACTTCCAATTGAGTTGCCAATAGAAGAAATGACTAGGAAAAACAAATGGCAGAAAACAGTCAAAGTTCTAGTTCTTCAAACAAGAGTGTTAATGATTATACATACAGTTGAAGTCAGTATTATTAGACCCTCTGAATTATTAGACCCCCTGTTTATTTTTTTCTCCTGTTTCTATTTAACGGAGAGCAGATTTCTTCAACACATTTCTAAACATAATAGTTTTATTAACTCATTTCTAATAACTGAATTATTTTATCTTTGCCATGATGACAGTAAATAATATTTTACTAGATACTTTTCAAGACATTCCTATACACCCTAAAATGACATTTAAAGACTTAACTAGGTTAATTAGGTTAACTAGACAGGTTAGGGTAATTAGGCAAGTTTTTGTATAATGATGGTTTGTTCTGTAGACTATTGAAAAAAAAAATTAGCTTAAAGGGGCTAATATTTTGTCCCTAAAATGGTGTTTAAAATTTTTTAAACTGTTCTTATTCTAACCCAAATGAAACAAATAAGACTTACTCCAGAAGAAAAAAATATTATCAGACATACTGTGAAAATTTCCTTGCTCTGTTAAACATAATTTGGGAAATATTTGGGAAATATTTAAAAGGGGGCTAATAATTCTGACTTCAACTGTAAAAACAAGAATAATATAATAAGACAATATCAGTTTGCAACATCAAGCAGTATAACAAGCTGTTTTTAGCGTCTAAAAACTAATGAAAGTGAATTGAACCAGAAGTCTGAAGCTAATATGGTTCCAATGGCCGTTCATACATGAGAAATGAAGTTAATACTGATATCCAGTGTATTAAAGTATTAAAGTGTTAAAGTGTGTTTAGATCCCCTATGCCATTACGTAATGCTAATGATAATGGTTAAATATAATCTTTAGCAAATGCTAAAATTAACACCAATCTTCAGTTTGATATTATGATAAATAAATTCAATTGTAAAATTTAAAATACACTTTTACATTTGTATTATTTACTTTATTTCAGTTCAATTCATCTTTATCTCTATAGCACTTTTTACAATGTAGATTGTGCCAAAGCAGGTTAACAAAGATGAGAAAAAGAAAATACAAGTCATAACAATATTTCAGATTGTGGAAACATTTCAGTAAATCAGACAGGCAGGAGAGTAATGGTAGAATGCTGGTGTAGTTCTAGGTAAATTAAAATCCATTCAGTTCAGTTTGATACAGTTTAATACAAATGTCATTGTTGAAGACCAATCCACTAGAAAACAGCTCCACCATTTATACAAAATAGTGAAAAATCTGAATATTGACCATAAGATGAGATCATTTTTAATACTGTTCTCAACACTTATTTAAAATAATCATTGAACGTGATCAAGTAAGAACTAAAATTATGGGCGTGCCATTCTCTCATGCAGTGGTGTAGGGGTTAGTTTGTATGTTAGAAGTATACCCTAAAAACACATGATCACGCTGTTACACTATTTTTACATTTATGAATATAATCAGGCCCTTCACGCCTGCATAACTTAAATCATATGGTAGAATTGTTAGTCATTAAATAATGCAATGACCTTTTTGTTGTTTCAATGTTGTAGGTTAGTAGGTTTCTCTGCAGCAGTCAGCTTTACCATTGTTTCTAGAGGCATGATTTACTACTACGCAAAGCACAAAAGTGCAATTTCAGCATGTTTGAAATGTTTCCACCAAAAGTACCAATGTTACTTTATGCACTAAATGATGTTATTGCACAGAATATTTGCGAATAACAAACTGTCATGTTTTCCAGCACTTTTTTCCCTGTTTTCCAGGGCTTTATTGTTAATCTTGATGAAAATCAGTCACTTTTATAAGAATGCAAGACCGCACACACTTTTAAGTCCATCACACAATTGTCAGCAGTGACCAAAAGGAAGCTTTCAGATTTATTGTGACTTTTGCATGAATCTATATATGTTTGTGTCCGTCCCTTAAAAATGGACAAAAATAACAAATGCACATGGCCAAAAACCAAAACAGAGAATGCTTTGTAATAATTGTTTAACATTTGATAATTTATGAAGTAATCTTGTAAGACTTTAAAAAAAATAACTCTTTAACTTCAGTTATACAGATTAAATTATCAATATCTACAGAATAGAATAGAATCTATTTTAAAACTTTGACCATGGCATGAACTCAATGTAGTTTACAGTGTTCTCTGCTATTCTTGTGCTTTGATCGACGCTAGGGTTGGGACAAAATATTGTTATGCTGATCTATCGTGATATTTCCGGCCGCGATACATTATCAATACTCTGCCACCAAGTATCAATATTTATCTAAATGTACAAAAGATCATAATTTATTAATCATTCTTTCACTGAAGCCATTATTTTTGCTTGCTCAGCACAAGTCATTGTACTAAATGGGTTTCATAGTTCAACCTTTTTCATAGCGAATGCCATTTTCGGCTGATAACGTTCATCGACCAAACGTTCTGAGCATTTCTAATGCTTGCTGAAATACATGACCTCATCTTTAAATGTACAGTAGCATGCACTTGTCTTTAAAATGATAATAACCATGGGTTCTTTAAAGAATTGTTAGTGTAGCTGGTGGTTTTTACCTTTAGTGTGATGTTTTTGAGCAGGGTGTCCTCTAGCACAGCCTGGAGTTTGCGGTTGATTTCCAGTGAGAGGTCGAGAGTAAGGCCGCTGTCAGCAGGGTGGGAGGTGTACAGCGAGGCCATAATGCCTCCCCTCCGGCTCAGGTGGGCTTTGTTAAAATCGGAGGCTTCTGAAGACAGAGCTCCAGACTCTTCTCTGAGCACATAACTTTGGATAATCCTGCAAAAAACACACACATAGTTTTAATTGCAGAGTCCGTTCAAATGTGTTCACATAAAAGCACAAGCAGCTAGGCATGGACCGATATAAGATTCTGACAGTATAATAACCTGGGATAAAAATATTATGGTTTCACTGTTAGTGATTAGTATAATAGGCATCGGATGATAACAGTTTTCAAGGTATAGCACGGTTTAGAAAAGTCAAGGTTTTTAGGACAACAGTATCTCAAAAAAAGATATCCAAAGCCGTTTTAAATTGTAAAGAAATCAGTTTCTCAACAATTTATTGACCCTGACGTTTACTTTTTCAAAATATTTTAAAAGCTTCTTAAAATAAAATATATTGTTCTCAAAGGGGAAAGTTTTTGTTTTCAAACCAGACATTTGAAAAAGAATCTATTTTAGAGTCGTAACCACAATACCGTGAAACCGTGATATTTTTATCCAAGGTTTTCACAACATCAGAAACATATCAAATCTAGAAGAAGTTATTTTTAAATTTCTGGGTTAAAAAAACACAACCTTTTTCCCATCTAACCAAGACTATGGAATACACAAGACATGTCACTCGTATAGTTTTGAAAGGGGAAAAGTGTAACGGTCAATATGGCAAATGAAGTCCCGCCTACTAGTACAGGAGCCAATCATCGATTGCTATAGACTGACTTTTCTCCAGGGAAAAGCTCAGACCAGATGTGTGCCTTTACGACACTGAATACTCACTGAATACTTCCTTCACAGACATAAGAAATGTGTCCAAATAAAGCCTGAAATCTCTACTTTTAATTGAACCATCTGCACTTGAAAACAAAAGATTTTTCGGTTTTGAAATCTATATAAAATAAACGCAAGGTACAGTCCATCCTGTCAAACGCACGTCACATGACAGCAACTAATCAAACGTCCAAATGCTTGTAAACAAAAAGTTGCTGTCACTTCTGCAGGAGATTTGCCATCAAGACCAAGTTGTGAATTACTTCAGAAGAGCAGCACGATCAGACAAGGCATTATTTAGAGCATGATAATGTGAAGAACGGACATAAATGAGGTTGCTGTCGTGATCTGTTTTCTTTCGAGTATGCATGCGCATTAACTTGGGCAAACTGAAAAAATGCTGATTTTGTTTAATTTCAACATTTAGAAGCGAAACTTATGAGATGGTAGCCATGGGTAATTTCCTAATTTATTTAATAATAATGTTTATTATTCATGTAATGATGTTTAAAAATGACTAGAAAACATTGCTTTATATTAACAAAAACGGTATAATTTTTTTTTTGCATTTTATAATGAACTTATTACAGTCAAAACAAAAACAATCTCATTTATAACATCACGTTACACTAGTTTTTGCCTTGATTTGCTCGCAGACGCCTTCTGCATAATCCTCTATTTGTCGAGTTAAGAGTATTTCCATCATTCTCAGGTGGGATAGTGGGCCAAATCAAAGGTTACAATGGGCCAACTTTGTCCCGCAAGCCCAACTTTAGGCCTCTCTGACCTAAAGTCACAGAGCCTGTTGTCACTATGTTATCCTCAGAGTGAAGAAAAAGATGACGTTATAAATGAACCCAGTGACAGAGAAAAAGACGGCAGCCTTAAGAAGCCCATTAACCATAACCACCTCATCAATGTCTCTCTCTCTCTTGATCTCCTTCAGTCTGAATGATGAATGCTTTTCACAAACAATAGATTAGGAGACTTTTCACAGCTAAATCCGAGCCCGTCTCGTAAGTTATATTTTATGTGACACTTATTTGATAGAAACGGCTTTTTTTGCCATTGTCATTTTTGCATGAGGAGTTCTTTGATAATCAAAAATCGATTAAATGGGTTTTAATTAGAAACTGAGTATAGTGGTAATCTACTAAAAGCAGATGAAGAACCGGCTTCTTGATTTTGATTTAAGACTTAAGGGTATTTGGGTTAAAGGCATTGCATGATTAATATCTAAAAGATTTTTCAATTAATCAAATGAAAATGGAAATTGGGTAAAAACGTAGAGGTTACTTGAATTAAAATGACATTCAGAGAAATTAAAGCGCACCAGAGCACAGAAAAAGAAACTCAGCATAATTGAGTACACCCTATTTTGAAAATGAATATTTGTATCCATTTGTCAGTGAATATAGGCAATGTATTTTAGTGCATTTAAACAAAACAGATTTATTAAACAGATATTTTTATTAAAATAATATTAAAGTCACCAAACATATTTAGAAATTAAAAGATAATACAATTAAATTCAAGCAAAATATAAAAAATAAAAAAAACTCAAACAACAAAATTTCAACTATTTTTTTCATTTTTTCTGCATATCTTCATTAATCCCCTTTTTTAAATTTGTATTTACTATTTTTCTATAACATATAAATTTGGGTGTACTAGTTTTTGGACCGTTATCGTAAGTTATTTTGTTAGATAAGCTCCAGATTTGGCTTAAGCACTGACTAATCTAATGTATATGCACAAATATAATATTGTATAGCTTCCCATTAAAAATATGAATTTAAAAGACTCGTGAGGGGTGGACTTATATATGCTAAGCTCTGTACATCTACATATCAATATAAAACTATAAAATAATCTAATCTAAATAAAAATATATTATTATTATTATTATTATTATTTCTTATTTCCCATTTGAAATTCCAAATGCTATTGAAGATGAAACAACATTGTGTAATTTAGCATTGAGATATTGAAAGATCTGAAGATCTGCCAGAACTTTATATTCAAACATTAAGAGACCCTAAAAAGTCTTGAATTATAAAATACATAACTCAGCTTAAAGTGCTTCATTTTGTACCACAGCAGTAAGTTGGAAATTTAAAAGAATCATCATCTCGGTCACTACTGTTAGCCAATTAATATTATGGAACAGAAAATGGAGAGAAAAAATAACAAACTGAGCGTATTTCTATAAAGAATGGTGTTGTGACAAAGATTATCTTTCAGTCTCCAGGAGAGCGTTCTCTCTTCAGCCACTGCTATTTGAAATCTATTTTCTCTGCAGTGACGCATGGCCCAAATAAAGGCAGAATTCGATTCTAATGGTTTCTTCAGACCACGGCTCGAGACAAAGGCATTAGAGGACGTGAGGCTAAAGGTCTCCATTGGAAAGCAAAAAAAAAAAAGAAATGTAAGTGCTTTCTGAATTGATGAACTCCCTTTCATTTCATTGTCTGAATCTAAAACGATCACACTGTGGCATCCATCACACAAACTTTTAAATACATCTTTTTTTTGTTCATCTTAATGGCTCAGAATATCTCACACTTGTTATTTATTAGAGCGACAGGAAACAAACACAATTCACACACAAGTTTCTGTGATATCTTGATTCTACAAAAAAATGAACACATACACTCACCGGCAACTTTATTAGATACACCTTACTATGACCAGTTTGGACTATTTTTACTTTAAGAACTGCTTTACTTAATTAATCACAAGTGCTGCACGTTCATGATGAAAATCTAGTGCTCCACCACATCCCAGTGGTACTCTTTTGGATTGCAATGTGGTGACTGTGGAGGCCGAGGGAGTATAGAGAACTCAGAGATGAATTGCAAAAACTAGTACACAATTGTTTGAGCTTTTTGAGTGCGCTCAAAAAAATAATATTTGCCAATTGTTTAGCTTATTTAAAGTAACTTATATTAAAATCAACTTAGAGTATGTTCTACTTATTTAAAATACAGTGATTTTGTATAAGTGGATGACACAATTTTTTAAGGTTTTCTTGGGGACAACTTGTTTTATGTTCGATCCACTTAAATCTTAAAAAAAAAAAAAAAAAGAAGTTAACTTAAGTCCTTTATGTTCTTCCATACACAGATCGATTCTGTGGAATCCAGCATTTTCTTTTTACAGTGTAGCATGTTATTCTTTGACTATAGAGTACACAGTTGTCTTAAAGGAATAGACAAGTTCAGCAAACTTATTCAGGAAGGCTTTGGTGTTTGAAGGTGGTTTAGTTGATACTTATGGGTTTAACGTGTATCAAAAACACATTACACCACTACACTGTAAAAAAAAAAAAAAAAAAAGATTAGTTGTCTTTACTAAAATTAAGTGAGTAAACCTGTTGCTTTTAAAATGATTTGTTGACTTTCCCTAAAAAAAGCAAGTAAATAAATCGCCTTAAAAAAATGAAGTAAATGAGATGCACACGAAGCACTGCATTAAATTACAATTTCCCACGCCATGTCTTTAAAATATGAACATTTATTTTACTCCAGTATTTTCAACAATGTTTCTGCGCCTGCCTGCAAATCCTGATGGGCAAATGCCTGTAAATGGCTTTTCATCTCGGTTTATGCTTGAACAACTAAATGAATGCTGAAGTCTATTTAACTAATTATATTTTAATTACATTACAGCATCGATGCTGTAAAAGGAACCATATAAAATTGAAAAACGTCACATTAACCGGTCACCGGAAGTCTGTATGGGAAGAAACACTAGCTGTGCATATACCCTATTATACAAATGAAGTTAAATCAACTGAATAGTTTCAAGTTACAATGGGTTAACTAACTTTTTAAAGTAAAGTGAAATTGTCACTTTTAAGGCAACAGGTTTATTCACTTTTCTAAAGTAAATAATCACTTTTTACAGTGTAGTAGCCGAACCTTTTTGGAAGCATCTATGCTTTTATGTTCTAATTCTAAATCCAGCATGGAATTCTGAGCTTATCGTGCAAATGTTGAAGCAGAAGTTGAAGCACTAGATGTTTGGTTTAAAAGTTCAACAGATCGTCTTGACATCTTACTGCCATGTGATTGGGTGATTAGGTATTCAATTAATCAGCAGCTGAGCAGGTGTACCTGATTAAATGTTTAGTTGACCCAAAAATGAAACCTAGTTTAATAATTACTCACCCTCGAGTCATGTCAAAGCCTTAAGAGTTTCGTTCATCTTTGGAATGCAAATTCAGATATTTTAGATGGAATCTGAGAGCTCTCTCATCCTTCATTTAGACCAGTGGTCCCAACACGTTAAAAAAAAAATAATAATACCACACACACAAGAAATAAAATAAATCCTTGAACATGGCCATATTCCTTCAGTTTTTCAATATTACCAAGCTACGAGAAGACTTAAAACACAAATGATGACTTTCAAACAGTCTGTTTCAAACAGAAGAAGTCACCTATGGGTACCTGAGGTATACATCAGTGCAGTGATTTTGAATGTGTGCGTTATATTGACACAGCGTAAAAGAAACTGTTGAATGAAGCCATTAGTTTTGTTGTATGCGTGCCCATAAAGTATTCTTGTAGCTCCACAATACTCTGATTTAACCACTAAAGGCACATGGACTGTTTTCAGTTTTTTTTTTTTTTGGTACATTTCTGGAGTCAGAATCATTGCTGTCAATGGAAAATCAGAGAGCTCTCAGATTTTTTCCAAAATAGCTTATAACTTGTATTCTAAACATAAATGAGGGGGGTTTGTAACAACACAAAGGTGATTAATTATTGACAGAATTTTCATTTATGGGTGAACTATCCCTTTTAGTTGCCAGTAAGTGTATATATGTTCACATAAACGAACAAAAGAAAGAGAAATAAAAATGATGAACTTACCTTTCACTAATATGGGATCCAAATGGATCCCAGCTCCATAATGGTAGTATTTAACAAAACGAAATGAGAGTAAATTAAAGTGCATGCACACTCAGATGAAAATACCTTCAATTCATTCTGAACTGCATCATTTTCTGGTGCAAGTCACGCCACAGTTTGGTGGTCTGACATTTTTATTATCCAAGACAGTGGAGAATTAAGAGTGAAGAAAGAAAAAGAGAGGCGAGGATGTGACCCGAAACGTACAACAGCAAGACAGCTGTACTACACTCTGTGCCACAGCACTGACACCATTTTGACTTTGATTTGCAGACCTATTTGTTTGAAATGGATCACAGTTTTAGCTTAAGCACAGTGGCATGGCCTGATTCTTACAGCCTAGAGGCTGAAAGAGTGAAAGACATACAGCGGGAACACGAGGAGAGAGCAGGAAAAACAGACACAACTGACTAGAGAAATAAAGACGAGAGAGTTTGGCTTTGACAGACTGTCTGTGCTTGTCAGCTCTATAGAATGTGACAAATATGTTTGTTTCAAGGGAACTGTGAATTTGTAGCAGTACAACTGAACTGTAAGGATGAAAGCTCAAATTTGAGATCATATCAAAGATAAATCTAGACAGCATATTCCCATTTCAATAAAGATGCAAAAGTCTGATCAGATATGAATCACAAAATACCCTGCCTTTCTAGTCAGATTCCAGCATATCAAACTATATAATTTCATTTTTTGAAAATATGTCTAGGCCAATCTTACATATTGCCTTTGCAAAACCTGTCACAATGTCGATGTAAAGTAAACCTGACAATATTTTTATTATTATTTTTTACAAGTTTCAATGATATTTTGTCCTTTCAACATTTCCGATGTCCTCAGGGATGCCACGACAATCCGAGGGTTCAGAGTCTGGACATTCAATCATTTTTTTTTCTTCACACATTTCATCATCCACTAGACATAATTCTCAAAGTAATAGCATACCTCTCTACATCAAACCTTACAATTTGTTCATGCAAAACTTTAAAGGATTAGCTCACCCTAAAATGACATTTCTGTCATCATTTACTCACCATCATGACGTTACAAACCCATAAGAAATTTGTCTATCCTCAAACCCAAATGAATACTGTCCCTTCACAGAATGCCCATTCACCTGAACTGAATTTTTAAAATCATTAAGAAAGAGATTTTAGAAATAAAACCATTTGAACTGAACTGAATAAAAGTTGTTAGAAGTGTAACAATTAGTTTATGCTTTAATCCACATGAAACATTATCAATTCAAATTTTATGAAAGAAGTATGATTGCTTGATGCAAGAAATCTAATTAAATTAAAAAAAAAATTGCCAGTAAAACCATCAACCTCTGATAACTATGATTATACATAAATAAATGACATATTTAAATCTGTTCATCATTAAATGATCACATGTTTTTTAAAAGACTTGAATTAATCTACTTGATATATGTGAATTACTTTTCCAATCTCTTTATGAATGTTTTAAAGTGTCAGAGGTATGGTGAATGTTTTTTTTTTTAAGATGTATCAAAAAAAAAATCTTCATTTGTGTTTCAAAGACGAACAAAAGTCTTATCAGTTTGGAATATCCTACATAGAACACAATGAGAATTTTTATTTCACAGTATGTGATAACCTTTTAATCCTTAAGGTTAGAGGTGTGCTCAAATTTAGCAAGCCCCGCACAATATAGTATGAATAGAATATGCACCACTTCCATAAACATTAATCACATGCAAATCCACTGGCACTTGGTATCAATTCCAGAACATCAGAGATTTCCTCCAAGCGTCCTTGATAAAAAGCGCAGTGAATATACTCTGGTTTTATCTCTTTAGAGATATATGGAAATCCTCAGCTAGGTGTAGTCAAGCTGTTAAATCAAGAGATCGCTATTAAATCAAGCTCGGTTTTATGCTGCAATCAATTTCCACTAAGCCTTGAATGATATAATGGCGTGATGTATCCTTCCAGTGTCAAAGAATCACTTGAACAGCAACAGACGATAAACACAGGGAAATGTTCCACTGCTTAGCAAATCTAAAAGCTCAGCTGCATCTAATGGCTAAAGATCAGCTAAGGAGGCTAAATTAAGACTGACCTCAATGGGATGCGTCGTTGATTAGAAGTAATGAATGTGGGTTAGTGCAGGTGGACAAATTCAAGGCGTATCATTACTCAAAAGTGATGGGAGAGAGACAGAAATGGCAGAAGTGGTGGCGGCAACCCAGCCTTTTGCAGTATGTTCAATTATTTATTTCATTCAAAGACTGATCACAGAAAACAAAGTGCTCTCTAATCCTTTTCACTTTGTTTTGCAAAAAGAGGCTTTCTTCTGGGGTCGAAATGTGCACCGGAGGCCTGATTCCTTATGTACGGAGGTGCATATGAATATGTATCAGGCATCATTAGCAACCTCTGTGACGCATCACCGCAAGAACTGATAGCTATAAATATCACTGCCAAGACCTCTCTGTCAGAAGCACAGTTCAGCTCTGTGTGTGTGTCTGAAAGAAAAAGATGAATGTCTGCCAGATTCCCTTTTGTAATGAAAGTTAGACATGCAAGATACAAGCCTAGGCCAGGAAGAACTAGACAAATAAATAAAGGAAAAAACCCAGCAAAACAAAAATAAAGAGAAAGAGAGGACGCAAGTGAGAGAGACAATGGCCAGCAAAATTCTAGCAGGCGGAAAGGAGAGTTGCCAATGCTGAATTCTTTAAAAAAAGATGAGCTTAGAGCTACTCTGTGGCACTGAAAAATATCTGGACACATAAATCTGGCTGAATACATAAAATAGCCAAACTCTTTGCCATTTATTTGAGGTCAAATTAGTGCAGTATTTAGCATTTATTAGTGCAGTTTACGCGTCCAAATGTTTTCTGGTGTCACTGTATCCTACATTATTAATTTTCCATTAAACTCTAGGTGCCCTTCATCAACACTTGAACTTGAACTTCACCCAGGCAAAGCCAGTCTCATTTGTAAGTGCCAAATTAAGCTGTACATTTTTTTCTCCATTATCTTTTTGGCTCTCACTCACTTTGTTTTTTTCCTGATCTCCTCCACCAGCTGCTTGATGTGGTCCTCCATGAATTCAATCTTCTCATTTTTCCGAGCGTGTGCTTTCTGTAGTCTAACAATACGCTCCACCAACACAGCTTTGTCCACCTCGGGGAAGCTGTCCACCACTACCACTGAAGAACCGGACTGATTCTCTGGAGATCGATCATCCATACTGCTGCCCCGTGCATTTAGAGAGCCTGAAAGTGAAAGATTCAAACCATTTTGTAAATACAGTCAAACTGTAAAAGGTAACAACACAAACAGAAAGGTTTGGGTTAAATATTCTGGGTTTGATTCAAGTTTTATGCAACAAACGCTGCTAATCATTTTGGAAAAAGAAAATAGAAAAAAAAACTGTGCAGGTTACAGTAACACGCTAACAGGAAAGTAAACCAGGTCAGAATTCCACAGGGTTTCAAAGCAGAGATATGAAGATCAGTTTTTACATGATTTATTTAGTAAAACTTGACAGTACTTTAACTTTACACTTGTCTTAAAGTAGAACAAAGTGTCTGTGTGTATATCAGAAATACCTATACATAACATAGCCATTGTAATAGTTTTATTTTACTGGTTTTGCATGCTAGCTTTTTGCCAAATATGTATGCATGTATGTACGCATATATGTATAGAGCAGGTAAAATAAGTATTATCATATATCTAATGGTGCTGTTGACTTGGAATTTTTACCAGATGCCATTTATAATCAAATTATTTAATACATACAAAGAAAACAAAACTAATTAAATTTAGTTAGAAAAAATTAACAAAGGGAAAAAGTATTAAAAAAACATGAAGAAAGGGAGGTGTAAAAAGGCGCGGAAAGCCCAGACAGCAACTGAAATAGCTCAGTAAACAAAACGCAACCCTGGCCTTTAACAGTGATGAATATTAGCTGCTTTAGTCCCAACATTACCAGGCGGATAAAGATGACACCAGGATGGAAATTTCAGTGAGGCAATGATCAAAAACTCTCAACTGGTTTCAGAAAAAGAAAATAAAGCTGCTAGAATGGCCCAGCCAATCACCTGACACGAATCCAAAAGAAAATAAAAAGACCAGAGTTTGTAGAAGAGACCCACAGAAGCATCATGATTTTCAGACTCAATAAAAAATATGGGGGATATGAAATATGGGGATATCAATATGAAATATTGGGAAAAATATTCACACCTGAGCAATTCATGTGATTCCATTTGCCATACAAGAGGTGTCTTGAAGCTGTCATTACCAAAAAAGCCTTTTATACAAAGTAGTAAATACATTTCGGTAGTTGAGTAATTTCTCCTTGTGCTGTTCCATACTTAATACACATTAACATTCTTACCAAAATTTGGGTTAGTTTCATGTCAACAGCTCATTTAGATATATTGCACATTTACCAGGTAAATTTATGGTTTTACCCACTATATATACATATCAAATTAAACAGTGATTTTACAGTACATACATGTATAAAATATGGGCAAACTGTCTGTTTCACTTATAACTTTTGAATATATATTAATAAATTAATTTTATTTTCAGTATAGTCCCTTTATTAATCTGGGGTTGCCAGCGGAATGAAGCGCCAACTTATCCAGCATATGTTTTACGCATGCCCTTCCAGCTGCAACCCATCGCTGGCAAACATTCATACACTCTCATTCACACACATACACTACTACAGACAATTTTAGCTTACCCAATTCACCAATACCACATGTCTTTGGACTTTTGTATCAGTACAGTTACTCCTAACTTTCATTTAATATATTTGCTGGGCAAATAAAATCACTTTTATATGTACTTATAAATAAAAGTGTCTTAACGTACACAATAACTTTTGTGAATAAAATGTCAAAACATGAGTGTATATGCTTATTACACTTAACTGATTAAAATGTCTCACTAACAAATGGGTAAATGTTCTCCGTCATTCAGTGTAATAAAATTCATATTATCATGTCAAAATAAAACATCTATGAAATACCTACATATTAGTTTTAGGGGCTCACCAAAAGCTGCACTTGTATGATTAGCAATACAGTACAGCTCAAAACATAATTTTTATACTTTACTTTTCTACATATAATATAAATGGACCATCATAATATCTTACATAACCTGCCTATTCATGGTCAGCCTTTTCAAGAGTACAAGTCTTTAAAAGACCCCATTACACATATTCATTATGCATTTTAATGAATTATCTTTAAATGTGCAAGCATAAAAAAGGCAAAAACACATAAAAACTATGCTTACAACTATTTCTGAAAGAATATAATGAATAACCAAGTGTGTTTTAATTAAGCAACATCACATGAGCAATAGGCCTAAAAATCAAGCATTATATCAAGCTTATATAAGGCATTATGCAAAAACTGCTATAACGCATTACTTTCATTAATTACATTTTTAATTTGCAATTATAAAAAAGGAGAAAAAAAAATATCACTAATTCTCAAAAAGCAGGTCAAACAAATAAAGCCAAAAAACAGGCTGTAGATGTTCTCACATCCTTGATAGCCTAATAAAAATAGTGCTTCATGAAAACTGCTTACAACTGTTTATATTCGAGTAGGGACAAATAAATATGCTTTTAAATGGGGTGAGAATGCTTCGTATACTGACATTTGAGGCAAAACAACCAAATCTACACTCTAAAAAGACTTCTGCTGCTTGTTCAAACTCATAGATATATACACTAGATATCGCATAGGTCAGCATGCGTCAATAGTGCCACCACATTGGTACAGTGCTCCCAGGACAAATGTCATTCAACCGCACTAGTCAAGACAGTGTTATTACGTGAAGATGCTGGACTTTAGCACTGTCTACGGGTGTAGTAACGAGCAAACAAAGAAAACAAAGCACAACGGCAGAACATTTCATAGGTAATATTAAGTTTTTTTCTGTTTTTGAATGTTCTGAACTTTTGTGCTAATCAGGTAACGTTATTGATGATGACAGTCACTTACTGCATTCACCATACGGCAAAGCAGCTTCAACTCGCACTAAACACTCGGCGTATGCTAGTTTTGTTGAATAAAATCAGCAAACAATGCAAAATAAATATAACAACGAGATGCTGCGCTGCCAGAAACTTGTATTATTGTCGGCTAACGTTAGTGAAAGAGTCCTTCGGGGGATTCATTCACAAACGAATCGCTCCCTCCGTCAGTATGAGAAGTGAAAGCAAGAGAGGAGCTGTGTTTCAGGACACGGATTATATTAAATTTAACAGGGAGGGTGAATAGTACATTTCTGTACACACAAACACAAGCTTTTTGTCAGGAATGCCCGTGCGGTCACTGATCCATCAATGTAGAAAAGTGATGTAAAATTATAATTTTCGTAATTAGAAAAAAAAATTACACACTAACATCCAGGAAAACTCCCGATCATAGATATATGTGTATATGTGTATATCTCTGGCTTTGGATGGCCACAGTCCTTCACTGTACCTTGGTCCCGCATTCATTTCAAAGGAGCGCTACCCTGTAGCAAGATGGCGGCACTATTGACGCATTCCGTCAAATAGACAACAATAGGCCAGGCGACATCTAGTGTATATATCTATGGTTCAAACTGCTTATTTAAAATAAGTTGAAAAAACACAATCTTAGAGGTTTTTTTAAAACAACTTAATTGTATTATGTTCAATCCACTTGAATTTGAAAAAATGATTAAGTTGACTCATTAATCAATTTGTGTTGTGACAATATGGAGGGATTGCATGGAACCCAGCAGTTTTTACGGTATTCTATAATGCATAACATTTAGCCCTCGTTTAATACGCGTATGGGTGATTCTAGAATTGCAAGTTCATTTTGCCTCTTCAAGATAACCTATTATCTATTATTATTCAAAAACAATAGCTTATATTTGTATTTATGGACACTTTGTCTTCAAAATATTATCTTACAGACTCCCACTACACCTGACTGTTTTCCCCTACTTGAATCATACATTCAGTTTCAATCATCATGCAATATTTAAGTCTAATTTTTATCGTTTTTGTGCTTTAACTCTACTAAGTTAATTAAACATTGGCATGAAACATTTATTTTCTGTATTATTTCTAATTTCTCTAATAAAAACAAGAATTTTTGTTTGTTGCTATGTTCTGGTCAACTGCTGCATCAGTTATGGAAAGGTATGACATTCTGTAATGCTGAGTTCAGACTGCATGATTTTCAAAGTAGTCGTGTCACAGAAGTTTCCACACTGCATGACTATCTGGGGTAGAGTTCTGTCAGTGCTGTATTTACACTGCAAGATGGATCAGCAACAGGGGGTTTCACATTGCATAACTATAGAAAGAATCGCAGACAAATTTATCCAAAATACATCTCACAATCAAACACACGCAAGAAGGGATATGGAAAAAGCGTGAGGTAACATAGTATATCTTTTATCATTAAATACATAATGAGAAAGAAGCATTTAAAGGAGTAGAACATTTACTTATTTTTGCTCACCTGGCTTTGAAGAGAATTAGCAATTTCTCTTCAACTTTTTTCCTTTTTTGTTCTAGTTGTGGTATTGCTCAGATGACAAGTCAAACAGACACAGGTGCTCCTGACATATTTACACTAGTTTTTCCTCCATTTCTTGGGTCCAAATAAACTTAAAACTGAAACTTTCCGCTGGCCTGCAGATACACACCCTAGTGGATACTGCTCTCACATTGGCTTCAGGTAATGTCCAGTGTTATTTTCAAATCAGAACACATTTCACGCGCCATAATTTGAATCGCGACAGCTCCAGATATTTAGCATGCCAAATATCTCACGGGTGTCAGCGACTCATCAGCAATTCTCTCATATCACGTCTTTGATAGTCTGTGTGATTGTCACTCACGTGAACGAGCACCGATTTGCCTGTGATTTGAGGCATTTGTCGGTGATTTCTCAAAACCTGTCGCGAGTCAAAATTGGGGCTAAAATCATGCAGTCTGCACTTGGCATAAAGGGCACTTATAGAAAAAGCATAGGACTTTGTCCAAACATTTTCACTTCTTCTGGCAGAAAATTCTAGACAGCATTGAGGCATGTCATTATCCTTTTCATATATTTCATACAAAATGTTTAGGACACCACCAATTTTAAATCAACTCTGTTAATTTGCAGTTTCAGTGAATTTCTCATTTACTTTTTAAGAGCTATTATATTGTGACAAAATACATCAAATTCTGTTTTAGATATGTCATGTTAAGCTAAAGCACAAAGTGGTGAAAAATGTCAACTCTGTTATTTATCAACTCTGTTAGGGCCAGCAGTGGACTAATGGTTAGAAAGTTAAACTTGTGATAAAAAAAAAAGAAAAGTAAAACGTTGCAGGTTTGAATCTCGACACCAGCAGGGAATGCAGTTTTTTCGAAGCAAATAACCAGTGCTTACAATACCACGAGCTGAGGTGATGCCCTTGAGCAAGGCACCAAACCCTAAGCTGCTTCCCGAGTGGCCCACTGTTTCAAGTGTGTATTCATGGGTATAAGTCACTTTGGATAAAAGCGTCTGCTAAATGCTTTAATGTTAAATGTAGTGGTTTGAATAAGTTTAACAATAGTAAAAAAAATTGTATTAGAATCAAACATTTCCTATAAAATTTAAGCATTTTGCCTTATTTTACATTATTAACGGATTCAGCTCACTGTAAATTTGACATTTTCTACATACCAGGGCTCAACAATAAGGACTGCCCGATGGCCCGGGCCAATGTACGAGGCGCTCAGGGCAGTAGACAGGATTGTTATTGGCCCGATCTGTGCTGCCTTGTCACAAAACGTTCAATTTGCCTGTGACTATTTGTCAATTGCGTATGAATACAGTCTTCGAATCGAGAAAAAGTTTGTGCTTTTAAGCCTTTAAATGCTACCTTCTCTGTGATGTTGTAAACACCATATTGCTTTTCGGTTACTCTGATCTGTTTGGAGCATTGTGAGCATGTTGTTTTTTTGTAACCTGGTTAAAACCAGTACAGTGAAGTGACGGCAACATGAAATTATGAGGCTTAAAGAATGTCTTGGAAGCAGACATTTATGTGGGCACAGCACGACGATTAGCTCATTATACATTTATTAACATTTTGAAAATATTTAAATTCTAGATTCAAACACATTTTTGACACACTATTTAAAACATGTGACTAAGAAAAAGCTATTAACTTTAACTTTTTCTTTTTTTTGGTGGGCCAGTGAAAATATTTGCAGGGCAAAAAAAAGTTCTGAACCGCTGGTCCAATCGGGCCAGTAGAAAAAAATCCTTAGCATTAAACCCTGCATACTGTATAATTCCAGAGTTAATGGAAGATGTCTGAAATGTACCCGAATTCTGGAAGGTGTCTGGTAAGAACGATAAAAATGGCAGAGTGTGTGTGTCTCTCGACAGCTCTAATGAAGTGTTAAATAGATGTACCTGAGGAACTGGAGCGGCTGCCCATACTGCTGCCCTCTCGATCGCATCCTCCGTTCTCCACCTGCTCCAGCTTCTTCCGAGCTGCACAAGGGCACAAACACACAATGAGTTCTTTCCTTCTCTTACACTGATGAACACACACACACTTCTGGCAGAGGTATATGCCTCAGTATAAGTAATGGGCAGATGACCGAGTGCTTGTACTGCTCAGTGCCTCATTCTAGCGCTGTACCTTGAGGGAGGGTTATGACCTACCATAAAACTACCACCCACCGTGCACATCTGTACCATCTGTCAAATATGCAGAATGAAGGTTCATTGGTAAAGCAAGACACTGCAGGCAAATGAGGTGAATCTATTTTTTTTTAATTAATTACTGGTGGTTTCAGTAATCTTAAATAAATTAAGATGATACATACTTCTAATTTCAATTGCTATTATTATTTTTTTTAGATATACATTAGATTCAAAGCAAAGACTGTTAAAGAAAGGATTTTGGGCATTTATTTTTATTACTTCATAATTCAGAAAATACCTGGAGCCAAAAAAATCCTACATTTTCACTTTTTTTGTAGAGTAAATGTGTGTGTGTGTGTGTGTGTTTGTCCATATATATATATATATATATATATATATATATATATATATATTTGTTTTTGTTTTTTCAGTCTTTTATTACACAATTCTTTTTTTTAAAAACCACAAGGAGCCAGAAATAAACCTACATTTTCACATCTTTTGTAGAATATACAGTAGTATATGCATCTGGAAAGTATTAATAGCGCATCACTTTTTCCACTTTTTTATGTTACAGCCTTATTCCAAAATGGATTAAATTAATTTTTTTCCACACAATTCTACACACAAAACCCCATAATGACAATGTGAACAAAGATTTTTAGAAATTGTTGCAAATTTATTACAAATAAAAAATCTGAAAAATTACATGAACATGAGTATTCACTGCCTTTGCCGTGAAGCTCTAAATTGAGCTCAGGTACATTCTGTTTCCCAGGTCCCAGGAATTGTCTGTAGACCTCCGAGACAAGATTGTCTCAAGGAACAAGGCTAGGGAAGGTTACACGAAAATTTCTGTTACACGAAAAGTTCCAATGAGCACAGTGGCCTCCATCATCCATCAGTGGAAGATTTTTGGAGCCAACAGGACTCTTCCTAGAGCTGGCCGGCCATCTAAGCTGAGTGATCAGGGAAGAACAGCCTTAGTCAGGGAGGTGATCAATAACCCGATGGTCACTCTGTCTGAACTCCAGCGTTCTTCTGTGGAGAGATGAGAACCTTACAGATGGACAACCATCTGTGCAGTAATCCACCAATCAGGCCTGTATGGTAGAGTGGCCAGACGGAAGCCACTCCCCGCCTGGAATTTGCCAAAAGGCATCTGAAGGACTCTCAGACCATAAGAAACTAAATTCTCTGGGCTAATGAGACTAAAATTGAATTCTTTGGAGTGAATGCCAGGCATTACGCTCATCACTAGGCTAATAGCTAATACCATTCCTACAGTGAAGCATGGTGATGGCAGCATCATGCTGTGGGGATGTTTCTCAGCAGCAGGAACTGGAAGACTAGTCAGGATAGAGGAAAAGTACATCTAAAGAGACATCCTGAATGAAAACCTGCTTCAGAGTGCTCTTGAACTTAGATTAACTATTAATGGAGAGGCTTCACAACTCAGTGAATGTCCTTGAGTGGCCCAGCCAGAGCCCAGACCTAAATTCTATTGAACATCTCTGGAAAGATCTAAAAATGGCTTTACACCGTCACTTTCCATCCAACCTGACAGAGCTTGAAAAGTACTGCAAAGAGGTATGGGCAAACATTCCCAAAGACAGGTGCCAAGCTTGTGGTATCATATGCAAAAAGACTTGAGGCTGTGTACAAAGTATTGAGCAAAGGCTGTAAATACTTATGTACATGTGATTTTTCAGGTTTTTTTATTTTTTATAAATTCGCAACAATTTAAAGAAAATCTTTTTTCACATTGCCATTATAGGGCACAGGTGTCAAACTCAGTTCCAAAAGGGCCGCAGCTCCGCACAGTTTAGTTTCAACCCTAATTAAACACACCTAATCGAACTAATTGAGTCCTTCAGGCTTGTTTAAAACCTACAGGTAAGTGTGTTGGAGCAGGGTTGGAACTAAACTGTGCAGTGCTTCGACCCTCCAGGAATTGAGTTTGACACCCCTGTTATAGAGTATTGTGTGTAGAACTCTGAGAAATAAATGAATTTAATCCATTTTGGAATAAGGTTGTGACATAAAAAAAGTAGAAAAAGTCAAGCGCTATGAATACTTCAGCATGCACTGGGGTGATTTGCTGCCGAGTGTGACGCGGCTGGGATGAGAATAAGCACCTCCAAGTCAGAAGCCATGGTGCTCCACCGGTAGAAGGTGGTTTGCCATCTCCAGGTTGGAGGAAAGTTTTTACCCAAGGTGGGGGAGTTCAAGTATCTTGGGGTTTTGTTCATGGAAGGATGAAACATGAGATTGACAGGCGGATCAGTGCAGCAGCAGGAGAAATGCAGTCAATTTACCAGTCAATCTACAGTACGTTCCTACTCTCAGCTACGGTCATAAGCTTTATGCCATGACCGAAAGGACAGGGTGCACCTATATATAAATAGCTTATAAGAACCTCTGTCACCCTGGAGGTGCTCAGAGTAGAGCTGCTGCTCCTCCACATTGAAAAGTCAGCTGAGGTGGCTCGGGCATCTGTTTCAGATGTCTCGTGGATGCCTACCAAGACAGGTGTTCCAGGCATGTCACACCAGGAGGAGACTTTGTAGAAGACCCAGGACATGCTGGAGTAGCTATGTCTCATCGTAACTATGTCTGGGGTTCTCTCCTGAGACTGCTGCCCCAGCAACTCGTCCCCGGAGAAGTGAAAAAAATGAAAGAATAAATGAATGAATGAATGAATGAATGAATAAATGAATGCATGCATATACAGCAGGCAACATCTGAAGTGGACTATCACCTTTAATCAAAGCTGTCCTAAGATTACTGATTGACACGCATTTTTGTCCTAGAACTTAAAAAAAAAAGTTTGAATGTTGGCGTTTCTGTGTGGAGATTGCATGTTCTCCCTGCCTTCGCGTGGGTTTCCTCTGGGTGCTCCGGTTTCCCCCACAGTCCAAAGACATGCGGTACAGGTGAATTGGGTAAGCTAAATTGTCCGTAGTGTATGAGTGTGTGTGTGAATGTGTGTGTGGATGTTTCCGAGAGATGGGTTGTGGCTGGAAGGGCATCCGCTGCGTAAAAACTTGCTGGATAAGTTGGCGGTCCATTCCGCTGTGGCGACCCCAGATTAATAAAGTGACTAAGCCGACAAGAAAATGAATGAATGTTGCCTACTGTATATATTCAGCCATATTATGTATAAACACATCCCTCAGTAAAAATCTTCAGAATTTAGATATGAATAAAACCAAATATTAATGTTTTGTATATGTTTTGTATAAGTGCTGTTGAAGTAAATATTTAAGGCACTAAATTAAAATCTATAGGCACAAAAATCGACAATGCAAAATAAAAGAAGAGTTCAGCCAAAAATGCTTTTTTACCCACAATTTACTCACCCTGAAGTGGTTCTAAATCTATATGATATAATATATTCTGAAGAAAATCTTCAAAAATTTTTCTTTTGTATTTAACAGAACTCAAAGTTTTGAAACAAGAAAATGGGTGAGTAAATGATGAGATCATTTTCATTTTTACTATCCCTTTTAAGATCTATAAATGTTCACTTTAGATTAGGCTTTAAAAAAGATTGTATGAAAAGCCCAAAAGCATTAAATCTCATTGACGGCCATGAAAAAGCCTTGTTTTTGCCTACAGTGTTCACCTTAACATACGGACCTTGAGAAATATATGAAGATCACAGAGACCCAAAAGGGATGGAGTAAAAAATAGGTTCATTTAAAAATACCTTCACGTACTGTACGCCTCCTCCGACACTAAAGAGAGTCCCATGGCGCACGTTCTTCTCCCTTGCCCTCCCTTCCTCGTCTCTCCTCTAACAGAAGAGACGCTCCGAAACAGTCTTGTGCCCTAACCTAGCCTTTCCCGCGGCTACATGCAGGCACAGATACATAAACTCAATCTGTCTGCAATGAACGTCAGTCTGCCCCACCGAGAGCGTCAATATGGCTTGATAATTACTAACAGTGCCTGTGGGCTCCTGGGAGCGTGGAGAAGTAACCCATTGAGAGCCTATTAAAATAACAAATCGAATTCTAGTTAAAACGTCCACACACAGAAAAGAAAAAACGATAATAAAGAAGAATGAAATTAGCTTTTTTATTATTATTTTTTTTTTTTTACTTAGCAATTATTTTAAAAAAAGAACGAAAAAAAAAATCTTAGATTTAGTGGTTTTTAACTGGCCAGTCACATAGAAACCTAAAAATAGGTTGTGAGGTTGTTCTCATAAAGCAGACGGCATAGAAAAAACCCAGTGCTGAATGAAATTTAGCTTACATTTGTGTACATTTAGGATAGATATATAAATATGCTTTTAAATTGGGTGAGAGTGTGTCCTATACTGACGTCAAAGGCCATGCGTACACACTATGGTATTTTGGCAAGAGTGACTTGGTAGAAGCGAGCCAAATAATGTAAGTGCCAACGTGGACCTGTTGTGTGACATGTTCTCATCCTCAAAAAACATGCACAAAATTACACAACAGACCAAGAATTAATATTTTCCTGACATTTAAATAATTTAACATATTTTTAATTTAGTTTTTTTTTACATTTCTTGCTATTTCTGGCCACTAAAAGTAAATCAATAATTAGATAAATTAATATTGTAAATGAAATAAATACAAAATCAACAATAAAATAAACCAATAAATAGAAGAAAAAACTAACAAAACAAGATCAATACAATTAAAAATACATAATTAAAAGTAAATCAATAATTAGATAAATAATATTATAAAAAAATCAACAATACAATAGACCAAATAATAAAAGAAAACAACAATAAAACTAAATAAATCAAAACGCTTAACAAAAATTAAGAAATAAAAATCAATAAAATAAACTAAGAAATAAAAGAACACACCAATAAAACAAAATAAATCAATAAAAATGAATAAAATTTAAAATCAATAATTAACTAATTATATTATAAATAAATAAAAAATCAACATTAAAATAAACCAATAAAAGAAACATTACAACTTAAAGTAAATCAATAATTAACTAAATTAAATAATATAATTATTTATATATAATAATATTATTAATAAAATTATTTATTAATAATAAATAAATACAAAATCAACAATAAAAAAATAAAACATAATACTAATAAAACTTAATAAATACAATAAAAAATTATAACTAAAATTAAAAGTAAATCAATAATTAACTAAATTAATTTTATAATTAAATTAAAATTCAACAATAAAATAAACCAATAAATAAAATGAAACACTGATAAAACAAAATAAATCAATGCAATTAAAATAAGTAAATAAATAAAACAAAGCAATGCAATTCTAACAAGAAAGCCCATTATATTTTCTAGACATTATACTGTATGTATAAATTTGTATTTGTTTTTTTTGTTTTTTTTATATGCATTTTAACGTATGTTTATTCTACAAATGTTTGGATATTTTTTTTCTTCCTGATACATTTATTTAAATGTATCTTTTTTATTATTTTGTTTTTAATAACTATAATTTTAGATAATCCTTTCTTTTATGCTTATATGTTTATTCAGTTATCTTAACTGTTTATTTATCGTAATTTTTTATTTTCTTGTTTATTTGTTGTAGTTTTTTTAAATCATATTATTTTATCATATCATACTTTTATTTTTCATGCATATTTTGCATGTCCATGGACTCCCAAGCACTCCCTTGTGACTCTAGTCTAAAAAAGCCCAGTTCTGGAGGTCATGAAATATTTGAGCGGCTTGGGAAAGCACTAACCCTGCAGGAGTTGCTTGGTGAGGTCTTTGATGTTGACTGCCTGTTTTCTCTTCTGTGTGACCAGTTCGTCTCGTAATTCCTCCACTCGAGTCTTTAGTTGTGATGTTTCTGTTTGAAGCGATGTTCTCTCTGTTTGCAACGCCAGAACTTCCTCCTGCCTCTGTTGTTCCTCTGTCTTCAATCTGTCCATCTGGAAACACACACAAATCATAGAATCCTTACAAATGACATCTATAATATGCCAACGATAGCTTAGTATGCATGTTATTCTAAGGACTTATTGTATTTAAACTGGTTAACAATACACTTGGATACCATGATGTCTAGTATCAAGGTAATCTGACAATATTGCAGCTATTATGACATTAGTTCTAGTTTACTATTAACAGACAATCACACTATTCCAACAAAAAGCAGCACGGCTAACGTAATGAGTTTCTGCTTCAGTACACTTTTTAGAAATCTGATTTATTTTATTGAAGCGGTTCATTCTGCTGTTCTGGTGCAGCATTTTACAGCACATTTTGTGACGCTAACAAATAATTCAAAATTGTGGTTTACAAATGTTTTTGCTTCCATTACAAAAAGTTGTTTTCACATCACTATATTTTCTGGACAATATAGAGTATGTCACATCCATTCAAATCTGCATTTTATAGACAAAAAAGTCACATGGACAAGACTTTCTGTATAAAATCACAATTTACACTTTCATCTATTTAATTTAGAATAGGCTAGAGCAGCGGTGCCCAAACTCAGTCTTGGAGGACCACTGTCCTGCATAGTATAGCTCAAACTTGCTTCAACACAATTGCCTGGATGTTTCTAGTATAGTTAGAAAGAGCTTGATTAGCTGGTTCAGGTGTGTTTAGTTGGGGTTGGGACTAAATATGCAGGACACCGGCCCTCCAGAACCAAGTTTGGGCACCGCTGGGCTAAGCTAACCCTAATAAAAATAACGTTTATAACATTTTAATTTACAAACCTCATAAATATAATAAACATTTATTTTAGTTTCCCCTCAGTCTATAACAAATCTTTCACATTTAAAGAGATAGTTCACCCAAAATTTTACTCATTATTTACTCTCCCTCAAATTGTTCCAAATAAAAGTTGAAAACCTGTAATCACTGACTTCCAAAGTAGAAAAAAACAAATACAATGGGAGTCAATGGTTACAGGCTTTTGGCATTTTTCTAAATATCTTTGTTTGTAAAAAAAAAAAAAAAAAAAATCATAAAGGTAGAATTAAAATTTTAGTTTAACTATCTCTTTAAGAGTATTCAGAGAGAAAGGCATAAAAATAAAAGTATAAAACAAAGAAATTTTAGTGACATTTACTATGATCTCTCTCATTTGACACAAATCCAAATTTGTTTGCAATTGTTGATGCCTCATGTTATCTGCAAGTCATTTTGAAATATAAATCCCAGCACTTTTCCTATGGTAAAAAAAAACATTATCTAGAAATTATAATAACTACATTAAGTTTTAATTGATTTAAAATTGTTCTCCTAACAAAGTTATTCATTGTTTGCAAACGAAATAAATACAGTTCTTATTTTATTTATTTTATTAAAAGCTTTATATTACTGCAATATAGATTATCTGCACCTGTAAACAGCTTTCATCTTCCAACTACTTTGAGGGTTAAAGTACTTTTAATAGCAAGTAGCTTGTTATTTGGCATGGTACGGCCATCCAAGTCATCTTTACACAGCCGATTTTAAGGTGACAATAAACAATTCAGTGTTTTACTGAATTTAGTAAAATTTTAGTAAAATGTTATGAATATTTACTCTCTATTAATCAAGTGGTTTCAAATCTTAATTATATTTTTTTGCTTCTGTTGCACATGAAAAAGAAAAAAATTGTGAAGAAAGTCAAAACCTGTAACCATTGACTTCCATAGTAGGAAAAACAAATACTATGAAAGTCATTAGTTTCATGTTTTCAGCATTTTTCTAAATATCTTCTTTTATGTTCAACAGAAAGAAAAAAAAAATTAAAACAGGTTATGTGTCTGTTCAGAATTCAGTGTAAAGATGCCATTAAACAGATGAAACAGTTTGTGTAAATTTCTGAACATTTATGCAGCTTCAGGTTTGGTTTTTGTGCTGCCTTTGCTGTGTAAAGATGCTTTAAGCAACCAACAAATCATTGCTAGTGCTGTTTAACACATGTAGTCATCTTACCATGTCAGAGAGGCATCTCTCAGTGTCCTCTAGTTTGTTGTGTAGCTCTCTGGAGCTGCTGTTCAGTCTGTCCAGCTGAGCCTGTAAGCTGTTGCTCTCAGACTGGAGCTGAGCATTTTTACTGCTCAGTTTCTCAGTAAAGCCCAGAAGCTCTGCCTCTCTCGTCCTGCTGCCTTCAATGTCCCGCTGCAGGTCAGTGATCTGAGAGTTCAGATTCTCCACCTCCTCCTGCAAGGATGCAATCTCCTGCTCATCCCTGAAAAGGACAGGTACACATCAGACACGAGGACCAACACGTGTGGTTTGGTTAGTGTGCCAGCATTCCCACTGGACCAAACCACACCATGAAACTGTTTGACTGAAGATCCTAAAATAACACACTAAAGGCAAGGCAGTGTTTCTTCTAGGTTATTTTTTTTTACTTATCATGTCCCTTTCACCCGGTTGCACCTCCCAACACACAGGCTGAAAATATAATCTTTCATTTTGCTGGATTAAATAATAATAGACTGGCTCTATTATGAACCAAAATTGCGCCACAAAGAGGGCAGGTGTTCCTCAGTTATACACTAGTGTATACTTCAAGAGTTTCAAGACAAGTCAGTTAATCAGTTAATCTAGTCACCAAACATTCAAAAGTTCACTTAAAAAAATGAGCAAAATGCCATAGATGAGATTAAAGTTTGAGAAATAGTGCATTTTAGATTAGTATAACTCTCATAGAAAACATAAGACTTCATTCAAGCCCAATAAGACAAACTTTTTACTAAAAGGTAAACAATACACACTCTTAAAAGGATAGTTCAGCCAAAAATGAAATTCTGCCATCATTTACTCACCCTTTTGAGTAAATGAAACTGAAGACTTTTTTTGCTGCATAATATGCACTGGACTTATATCTAGGGCCAGATGGTATCTGCAGACGTTTTTTGCAATTTCTGCTGAGAATTTTGGTAAAAGTCTGCGGATTTCAGCGGAAATATTTTGGGAGTATCATAACTAAAACCTTAATATACAAAATAAAAAATAATATCTTTTTAACTTTTATTTAATGTTTAAAATCCAAATCCAATTAGATTCACTGTAGTTGGTAAATAAAGCACAAGGTACTATTTGTCCTTACATAAATTCCTCATACTATACGTTTCTGTCTATTATTTTACAATTAAAAAAGAAGCGGTATGTGAAAAGACTGAAATAGTTGTTAGAAACCTTCAGTTTACTGTATGTGTGGGGAGAAAAATCACAAGACATGATGGTCTCAGAACAATAATTCTAGAAATTTGATTTGCATGATATTGCCATAAAATTCAAAACATATACTCATAAACGTTGCTTTTGACCTAATACTTTTCTGTATTGCTCCAGGACTAATTTCATATATTTATAAAATAATAAAATGTTTAGTGCGGTGCATTTATTGTTATTCTATAACTTTTTTATTTTTATTTTAAGCATTATAAAATCTAGATGATGGATAATAATGTCCAAAGTGTCTTCTTTCCAAAGATACATGAACTGTAAATGTCCACCAAATTATCCAGCAACTGTTACTGTTTTAGTTTGGAATGGTCATTTTTGAGAAATTGCCTCTGACGATACAGTCTCAGAAAACATTTTACAGACATTTCATTTTGCATCTTCATCAAATTTGAAATATAAACTCATGGGACACTTGGCTTTTAAGGCATATTTTTTCTAGGTTATTGCATTAATGTTTTCCTGTGTTTGTATATGAAAAACATATATTGAGCACTAATATTTTTTTTCTCATTCCTTCATAAATGTATAACCTTTTATATTTTTCAGAATGACTCTTCCTAGATTGACCATAGTAAAGCTCAAAATACCTACTATTTACATGTCGCAACGATGTGTAGCACAAGCTCTGTGATTGGTTGGCTTGGTAGCGCTGAAGAGGGTGGGTGGGATCGAGAGCCGCGAGCCCAATGAAGCAATTGTTTACAAGTGTTGAGTCCCGTGAAGGAGCTCTAGGTGCTGTTTTGTGTTTACCTGCCGATTCCCGCCTCAAAATGAGCGAGTTTGAGCCACTTAACAAAGAAACATCAACAAAGAAATTTGACACCGAGAAAGATAAACACCCACTGCCAGCTAGCATTTCGAAAGTGTTGTTGCAGAGGAACACACAGCACGCAGAAGTATAAATGCACGGCTACGCACATTGCATGCGTCGTGGGTCACGCCGATCACATGACGCAGAAGTATAAATCAGGCTCAAGTCTCACTGCCCGCTGTCTTGTGACCTCAGCTGATTCTGGCTGATGAGCCTCTGAACTCGCCATATACATCGTATTTTTCTTTTGTTTTATGTGGCTTTACACAGTCAAATGCCTTTTGGAATTATTTTCTACAATAATTAAATAATATGGCATGTCATCTCCATTTTCCAGGTGAGTGAAATTCTTATATACCACATCTAAAAATGTGTTTGTTTTATTTAGGATAATTTATCAATTATAATTTCTTTGGAACTTGAATGCACCCTAAAATCTGACAGATTGATTAGCTGCAGGTTCTAGAACAGACATCTGAAACATTATCATACAGTGTTATGCCTGGATTTCATAAATAGGCTAGCATTTGTGTTAATAATATGACTATATGTGTTAATAATATGTGTTAATTTTTTTTTAATAAAAAAAATAATAATAATAATTTTATTATTAAAAAATAATAAAAATTATTTGGAAGTAATTTTATGTTTTACTCCTATAAAAACATCAAAAGAACAATGCTTAGTGGCTCAATGTATTACAAAAGTGTTTTTAAAAGACTAAACACTTTATTGATAGAGTACACAACCAAGCACAAGTGGTCAGAACACAAATGAGTCGCATGTCATAAAAAGTTAAGCATTTCTTCCAAAGAAAAGCCTGCCCTAGCAAAATGCTAGCAAGCTTCTGTAGCTCCACTGACACTCCGCCTCTTTTGCCTTGTTTGGTAATCCCCGGTCGGTGCGATGATGCACGAAAAAAATGTCAACGGTTGGCCACGCGTACTTTAGATTCCTTTGTGCTCTTCAGAAACCTATGGGTGACGTCACGGATACTACGTCATTATCTTTTACAGTCTATGGATTTGATGTGGCAGCTGAATGCGTAGCAGAAACACTGCAAATTCAATCTTGGGAATACAAATAATTCAAGAGTTTTAAAAACACTCTAAAAACAAGACTGAGCTAATGCAGTTGACTGACAGGCCCAGAAGAAGCGAATCAGAGCAGCCCCGGTGAGGGATGAATTATTCTGTCAGCGCTGCAGGGGACCCTGTGATCCTGCTACAGTGCATTACATCCACCTGCAGTTTCTGCATCAGCAGGGGACACCAACCGCTGGGAGATCAGTCAAGGTCAGGCTGCAGTACTGACGCTCCATGTTCAACAGAAACATGGCAAGATTACCAGTCTATGGGTCTAAGATGCAGACGCCATTCAAGACATACAAGTGAGAATGAAGACTGTCATGTTGACTGGATAACAATAGAGTAGACTGTAAATTTATAGCAACATGAACAAAAAGGAGGCTGAGGAAAGAGAGAAACTTCTAGTGGTATTTCATGCTGAATTAGCTTTTCTTTTATTAGCGTTCTCTTTTTTTCATTATTTTTGATATCATTACTTTTATATTAATGATGTTTCTTTATCTAACCAAACATATATTACGAATTAACTATATTCAGTAATGTGTATTTAGTAACACAGAAACATCTTGCATGATTTAAAATTAACCTAGATTTACAAATGCTAAAAAAGGGCTTATTTTTAATTTTTGAAACATTATGCAGTAATATTGATAACAGTCAAAACACAGTATCATTTGTAAATTGAATTTGTATTAGATTATTAAAGAATGAATGAATAAATAACATTTCTTTTCGGCTTAGTCCCTTTACTGATCTGGGGTCGTCACAGTGGAATGACCCGCCAACTTATCCGGCAAATGTTTTATGCAGCGGATGCCCTTCACAGGAGGCTTTGTGCTTCACTCGTGTTGCAGTAAAGCATCATTAGACAACGCAGGCTTCGCAATAACTGTCATCATAGGCTAAATGATCATTTTTGTTGTAGCGATGAGCACAAGAAATCATTCAAATGGAAAAGGGTTTGAATGAATTTGTGCAATCTCCCAAAAAAAAAGCTGTGAATGAAGAAACACTGCAATTTTGGGGGGTGGGCAGATGTATGAGGTCAGAAAGTGAATTCACTTTTTGTTCTATTGTAAATGACATCTGAAGGATTTTGTATGGATTCTCATGTGAAAAATCCATAAAAAATGTTAAATTAATATTAAGATGTTAAATTAAGGGAGACACAGTGGCTAGCACTGTCGCCTCACAGCAAGAAGGTCGCAGGTTGAGTCCCTGCTGGTTCATTTGGCATTTCTGTTTGTTTGCATGTTTTTCACATTCACGTAAGTTTCTTCTGGGTGCTCTGGTTTCCCCCTCAGTCCAAAGACATGCAGTAGGTGAATTGAATGAACTAAATTGGCCGTAGTGTAAGGGTGTAAATGAGAGTGTATGGATGTTTCCCAGTACTGGATTGCAGCTGGATGGGCATCCGCTTTGTAAAAATATATGTTGGATAAGTTGTCGGTTCATTCCACTGTGGCGACCTCTGATGAATAAAGAGACTAAACCAAAGGAAATTGAATAAATAAATGAATGTTACTTGACATACAAATTATTTCATATACAGGCTACACAGGTGACATGCTTCACTCGTGTTCCAGTAAATCATCATCATCACACAATGCAGGCCCCACAATAACTGTCATTATAGGCTAAATGAAATATCTATTTTTGTTGTAGAGATGTGTACAAGAAATCATTCAAAATGGTAAAGGGTTTATATCAATTTCTGAATAACCTACTCTCCCAAAAACAAACTGAAACACTATGCCTTTGTAATTGAAAGACACCCTCTAGCTATTATTTTCCCTCTCCATTTACAGAGGCATCACACATGCACAATGTTTCATTTTATTTTTTTAAAATAGCATTTAATTTTTAACTGGTCATTAACCATTAAGTTAATAATAAAATGTTAAATTAATATTAAGATGTTAAATTAACATTGCATTTTGCATTAATTCAGTTATATCTGTCATACAGCTTTTCACATTATTATTTTTTTACATTTGGGGAAGGTAAAATTTACATTCCTGTATGTGTTTTCAACAACCAGAGGCATTTAGACCAGACCACCTCATGAAATGGTCTGAGCGATCAGATTAATATCCATATCAAATGCATTTCGAATGGCATTTACACCTTCCCCTATCATAGCTATCCAACGAGGGGGGAAAACAACTAAAGAAATTGTAGTTATTAGCACTAAAAATAGAAAATAATTAATCCCAAACATCATATCTGAGTGGAAAAATCTGATTACGGCATACACGAAATGTATAAAATAATGTATAATAAACATTAGATAAGATGGTGGGGAGTTCAGACCTCTGGTGTTGCTCTTCTAGTCTAGTGATGGCAGTGAGTTTCTCCCTCTGGTTTTGAATCTCAGCCTTCTGCCTGTTAATGATCTCTCTGTATTTGCAGAGCTCGTCTTCCCAGCGTGGCCGTTCGTCCTCCAGACACTTAACCTGAGGGCCAGAGAAGGTGCCAGAGCATCAGACTAATGTTATCTTACACAGAACCATTTCATAGCATAATCATCAGAAATGAGTTTCCACCTTGGTCCGCAGGGTGGTCAGTTCATCCATGCCTTCTTTAAAAGTCCTCTTCAGATCCTCCAACTCCTTAATCTTTGCTTTGTGCATCTGCCAATCAAACGAAATGACCATGACAACCCCTATTTGGCACATCACAGCGCCATTATTCGTTATTGTAATCGCAATCAGCAGAGGACGCCTGCTAGGCAACACTACGTTAATAATGCTAATGAGAATGCAAATGCTAATAACACCATTTCTTGCACAGGAGCGACTCGCTGATAAGGGTGTACACACTCTCATTGTGGGCCTCAGGTACTAATGACGCTCGGTGAATGGAGGCTCATTTATTCATAAATAGATTTAAAAGCAGGTGGCAAAGAGCCATACGGGACGAACTGCATATCTCAGATGCGCAGTGGCAGAACGGCTAAACGAAGAGATATGAGGTGTAACGCGGACAAACATCTGCCCCCCCAAAAGCTGTAAAACTTAGTTTATGGGACTTCTGTTCCCTAGAGCAGTGGTTCTCAAAGTGGGGGTCGGGACCCCCCGAGGGGTCGCGGGGCAATGAAGGGGGGTCGCCTGGTGATTTCCAAAAATCTGTTTATTTTTATTAAACCATAAGAATTAACATATTTTATCCATAACTATACTGAAAATAAAAATAGTCGTTTATAGTTACCATATACTATATAGTTACTATAGTAGCTTATAGTTACTAGTTCTATTGGATTGTGACCCCTGGGGTAATTACATTATTATAAAGGCAGCAATAGCGTCAGATGCATTTTGATTTTATAACATCAGGTTATACTTTCTGGCACATTTAAAGCACTGACACAAATTTAATTGGTGTGTCATTGCTTGCAAGGTTTCTGTATTTATAACCACCTCAGATGATATTGGGGGTCGCGAGTCAGTGGCATTGTTATTTTGGGGGTCGCGGGCTGAAAAGTTTGGGAACCCCTGCCCTAGAGAAACCCATTACTGGAATATGAATGAGGAAATGTACGTCATCAGGGCTTTTTACATAATTGTCTTCAATAAATGTTTACTTTTTAAAAGGAATTTGAGCATAAAAGAAGTGAACGCGCACCTCTAGCTGGTCTGTTTGCTCTTGTTTTTGTTTCTCCAGCTCTCCCTTGGTCTCTCGCAGCTTTGCATCCAATTCATTTGACTTAATCTCCTCAGATTCCTGCAGGAAACAAACAGACGTTTCTAACAAGCAAATAGAAGCTGCAAATTAGTTTATATCCCCTGAGATTAAGATAAACCACTATAATTGTTTACAGCAGAACACTGTAGCAACCTTTTTAATGAACTGAAAAGCATATCTTCAGCTCATGATAGATGATTTATAATAGGTTTAGCATTTCATATTGAGGCAGGGAAAACGTTTGTATATGATGCCCTCTAGTGGGCTGTAAATGATACCTGATAAGTGCGGATCATGTCCTGGCAGTTTTTGCGAATCTGCTCCGTCTCTTCTTTTGCTTGAGTCAGCTTGGCTGTCGTTTCTTTTAATCTGTCTTTTGTTTCCTGTTATAAATGGACATGTCAGTTAAATGACATCAACAATACTGTGTTGATATTGTTAACTAATAATTGTTGATTAACATTGAGGTTCTATCTATCTATCTATCTATCTATCTATCTATCTATCTATCTATCTATCTATCTATCTATCTATCTATCTATCTGTCTATCTGTCTGTCTGTCTGTCTGTCTGTCTGTCTGTCTGTCTGTCTGTCTGTCTGTCTATCTATCCATCTATTTTTAGAGTTAATTTTCACTGATATTTTTTTCAGTCAAACGTCCTGTGCTTAAATTTAATAGACCTGTGCTTACTTGAACTAGCAATGAAAATTGCATTTTTATAGCCAAACATTAAGAAAGATGAATTAATACTTTTTGATGATAATAATTAAACATTTTGCTCATCTTAAGTGAATTTATTACATAATCCATTTATTCAAACAATATTGCAAATGCCACTTTCAGTAACTGGGAAAAAAAGCTGAAAAAAATAAAATAAATACTAGATGAAAAGCCTAAGCCTTAAAAAAACTTTAAATAAAGTTCTCAATAATACTCAATATAAACAAATTAACACTATATAGATAGACAAAAACAAGGCAAAATGGCTAAAACTTAAATTAAAAATGTACTAAAAAAAACTACTACACAAAATACACAAATACCAAAATAATAAAAATCTATCCCTTCAATTAGAATGACTTGCAATAAAGTACATTATTGTGAAAGAGTCTATTGATAAATGTCCTTTCAAAAAAAAAATATATATATGTATATATATATATATATATATATATATATATATATATATATATATATATATATATATTTTTTTTTTTTTTTTAAGATATATATATATATATATATATATATATATATATATATATATATATATATATATATATATATATATATATATATATATATATATATATATTGCTATAAATATAATGTTAACTGTACCAGTGGCCATACTAACAGTTGATAACATTCTTTCTATTATAAGCAAATGTTTGCCTTTGCTTTATATGTTCAAGGCCTCGTATGCTTGGAGTGATTCTGGCTAGCTGCTAGTGTTTTTCATCATTCATCATCTGGAGAAATAATTCTGAAACCATTAATAGACTTCCTCTATATCAGTATCTGCAAATTGGACTTTCCAATTCTCATAGAAACTATCTATCGCCTTTGCTGTGAACTAGCATTCACTCGGGTTTACCTTGTGAGAGTCCGTTTCACTCTTTAGTTTGTTCTGAGCCCACTTTACTTTGATGACGTGAGAATTAATTTCCTCCTTGACTTTCTCCAGCTCGCGCATAAGTCTTGTCACCTCATTCTCCTACAGAAAAGTAAATCAAAGACAAACAGTTCTGAGAACGCACACACACAATCAATGCATTTCACAAAGCATTAAGGTAAACTGTTTGCGAATGTCTGACCTTGGCGTCATAGAGCTGCTGCAGGCGTCCTTTCTCCTGGGCCAGCGTGTTTCCCCGCCGGGCCTGTTTGTCTACTTCTGCTGTGGCTTCCCGTAGCTTTTTCTCCAGCTGTTCCTTCTCCCTCCGCAGATCTAGCGCTTCCTTTTCACCTCGAACGTACTTCATGACCATCGTTTCCTTCTCCTGACGAGCCTCCTCACATTTTTTATTGGCCTGGAATGAAAATACATTTGTAAACAATGTGGTATATGCACACAAACTTTTCATTTTCAGTAAGCCAGGCAGCCCAAGCACTTCAGGTGAACTGTCGTGCTATTACAAAATAGCGACGTTTAAGTGATTTCTTTAAAAATCAATGATCTTCACCGTCTGATTGATATACTGTATGATATAAAGTGGGTATCAGACCGGACAAGAAGCACTGCATTAAATTGGTTGCATTAAATTCCATTTTTCTACACCATGTCTTTAAAGTATGGAAATTTATTTTACCCCAGAATTTTCAATGAGGTCTCTGCGCTAACCTGCTGCTATTGATGATGCTTGCATTTAAACGGTCTTTCATCTCGTTTTATGCTTGAATAGCTAAATAAATGCATAAGTCTATTAAACTGATATATATTATAACATCAATGCTGTAAAACCTTTACGAAATTGAAAACAGTCACATAAACCTTTTACTAAAATACAAGGTGATTGTTGGCTGAAAAACACTAGCAGTGCATCTTAATCTTAATGTCCAAATATGCCTGATTCCATACATCTAATAGGTGAAAAGTAGAGGTAGAAGAGTATCATATCTAAATTCATAATATTCATGAAACAGTAGGCTCAATATAGTTGGATGACACTTTTGGAGAGATTCTGAAGTCCACTGTACACTTTAAAATCCCATTAAACAATAGGAGAGGATTTGTAAATGGTAGTAAAGCAAAGTATCTGATGCTAGAAGTCACATGACAATGACAAATTGGTGTGAATGTCATCCATACAGGCCTATTTCAGGGAGACTTGTATAATGTTATCAAAGAATGTTTGAACAGCTATATGATGTTCACAATAAATGTCATTTATATCGAATAAATTCTAATTCATGTTTGTTTTATACTTTCACTCTTCTTCAATTCCAAATAACAGAATTTTTTTTTTTTTATTTAGGGGAACTGAAATTCATGTTCATAATGACGACAACAGCGGCAGCTCTGATAGTCAGCAGATAATAAAAAAAACAGCAAATGCAATATTGCTGACTTTACATAATGTGTCTAGTTCTGTTGTGGGCATGATATGACAGACTTAAATTTTTGTGATATTTGCTTATATTAATTAGCTTATATTATATTTGCTGATATTAAGTTTATTTCATGATATACAGCATTATCAAAATGCTAGGCAGTATGTGATTTTGGACAGAATGTTATTTTATGAATCATGTAGAATTTGAACCCATGCCAATATATTAACCAGCTTAGATACACTGTAAAATGTGATTTTACTTAAAGAAATGTAGTAAAGATATTGCCTTTATTAAGTAAATGAACTATGTGCATAATTATAAAAAAAGTCAACCTAACAGGTCCAAGTTACTAGTTGGCGCACTTTTTAAAAAGTAAATCAACTTATCGCTATTATTAAGGTAACAGATTTGCTCAATTTTTTCCCCCCCAAGTAACATGAAAAATTAGCATGATACCGAAAGCTCATAAAACAGTACATTACACAGAGGAAGCAGCTCATTTTCATAATTACCAACACAATCTACCAAAACCAGTTTAAATAAGCAGAGTTGATAATCTGATTGGTGTAGTCCTCTAACAAGCACAATTGCAGGCTTTTTTAGTTGTTAAACAATGGTGTACATACCAATAATAAAACTACCAACTGCAAACCTATTCTGCACTATTCATTTTAATACTCTCCTCCAATAAACGTATCTTCTGAAAGGGAAACTCCTTAAATGCACATGGAATAAATTGAACAGCAACAATAACATATTTGTAAAGGTTAAAATTTCTTTGGTAAATCCTAATGGCAGTCTTTTTTTCCTCTCTCAATGTGGGTACTAAGCTGGCACAATCTGTTAGCAGTTGTGGCCCCTGATGTGCAGTGAAATAGTGAAAAAGCGGCCCTCACACTTGACTGAGAAGTTTACAGGAGCATGAAGGGGCTGTTTGAGCAAGTCTTTCCAAAGCAAACACAACTCTCTCACTATATTCCTGCAAGTTTGTATGACGTCAATCCTCATTAAATGAACATACAGTACAGTGCAAAAGTCATAGGCCACTAGTATTTCCACCAAAAAAAAAAAAAATTTGATGGATTTAATGGTTTAAATTTGGTTATTTTGATATTTTTCTTGAGCATGTTAGCTTGAAATATTAATTTACAATTCCAAGCATAATTTTTGTCATTAATTGTAATAATACAGTGAGATTATTGTCTACACAAGGAGTCCGACAACAGCCAGTGCTCCACACAGAGATCTGATCAGATCATCGTCCAGTGTGTCTGGTATGACATGAAGAAACAGAACAAACTGAGACAATCTAAATCCAGAAAAACTGACAACATCTTTAAGATGCTTAAAAAAAAAAAGACCTGCAAAGCTACCTGAATAACTAAACTATGGGAAAGTGTACCAAGTGTTTAAATGCAAAGTGTTGTCATACCAAATGTTGATTTTATTTAGTTAAAATAGATAAGTTACAGTTGAAGTCAGAATTATCAGCCTCCCTGAATTATTAGCCCCGTTTATTTTTCCCCCAATTTACGTTTAACGGAAAGATTTTAACACATTTCTAAATATAGTAGTTAAAGTTATTAGAACTCATTTCCAATAACTGGTTTCTTTTCTCTTTGCCATGATGACAGTAAATAATATTTTACAAGACACTTCTATACAGCTTAAAGTGACATTTAAATGCTTAACTGGGTTAATTAGGGGAACTAGGTAGGCAGGTTAGGGTAATTAGGCAAGTTATTGTTTAGTGATGGTTTGTTTTGTAGACTATCGCTTAAAAACTGCTTAAAGGGGCTAATCATTTAGACCTTAAAATGGCTTTAAAAAAATAAAACAGTTTTTATTCTAGCAAAAATAAAACAAACAAGACTTTTTTCAGAAGAACAAGTATGATTAGACATACTGTGAAAATTTATTTGCTCTGTAAAACATAATTTGGAAAATATTTAAAAAGAAAAATTCAAAGGGGGGCTAATAATTCTGACTTCAACTGTAATTGATAAACAAAATGTATCTATGTATAACTTTCGAAAGCATCTAATTTTTTACACAAGTGACTAAAACTTTGAAACAGCTTTGAAGGTAGGTTTTTTGAAGCCTCTAAGAGAAAATAATGTTTGGAAACGTAAACTGATATTTCAAACTGACATGCTACAGAAAAAAAATTTGAAATAACCAACTTTAAAGCTTTTTTTTTTTGGTGAAAATACTACTGTATATATGTAGAGTATACTGTATATACTCTACATTTACTAATTGTAATGAGTTAAAAAAAAAGAACAGAGATAATTGGAAACCAGCACCTGAAATCATATATATGAAAGCAGAATACAAAACATGACCTCCTTTTCATTTAACCAAGCCTGGAAGATTGACGTAAATTCATTTTAAAGATGCTGAAAGGGCACTGGCTGAAAACTAGACATAATTAAGCCAGCACCATTGTGCAAGCGGATCTATGTTTGGACTGTCTCTATGCCGATGACCTCTCACCTGTTCGAGTCTATAGGCCATCTCCCTCTGCATCTGCTGGATGGCATTTTTAGCAGCCTGATCCTGGTGAACCAGTTTGTCTCTGGAGTCTTTTAGTTCTTTCGTTAGTTCCTCCACCCGGCTTTCAAACTGGTAAAACAAGAGAGGCGATCAGTCGATTGTAGAAACCATAAACATATTTATGATGAAGACAACAGAAAGCTCTGATAGCCAGCAGATGATCAAAAACTCCAATATTGCTTAATATATCTACATTTTAAGTTCCATTCTTGGCATTTGAGAGCATCTTTTTGTGCTAAAATGCTGAAGTGCATTTCATGATATGCAGTATTATCAAGATATTAACATGAGAAGTTTGCATTAACAGTCAGACATTATAATAATTTGTGCACTTTGTGACTGTATTGCTTATAAATGTTCAGAGCAAACTCTGAAAATTTTTTTTTTTTTGCAAAAGAATTTACTCATTTGACCTTATTGTAATGAATTAAATCAAAAGCAAGAAATAATTATTTTTGTGTAAGAAATTCTGTTAACAGAAGTTATGAACAGTTAGTTATGAACTCCTTTAAATACAACAGTTTTGACTTTGATTTCAATGAAATATTAAATCCTAACTATGAAATACATGAAATTAGGGCTGCACAATATTTTCTTTCAGCACTGATATTGCAATGTGTATTTCCGCAAGTCACATAGGAGGATATGAAATGTTAAGTTGGGATTATAGTCGATCTAAAATTGAGAAATACATGAGATTTGTGGAGTCATGACAACGTATACCCATAACAGAGTGAAACTATGATTTGCATGTGTTTTAGAGGCATTTCAGGAAAGTGTAAAGTATTGGGACACAATAACGTAAAACATTTGTAACTTTAATTAAGAAAAAGTTGACTGATTTATTAATACAATTATCGTTAACTTACATTATATTATTACATTTCTGTTTTTGAATTCTGTTGGACTATCCGGAAAAAACATAAACTGTTTATTTGACTTTTTTATATTTGTATTATTGTATTATATTTTTCTATTATTTTAATATACAGGATTCACACCTTACAAAATCGACCCAACCAATTTATTTTTTTCTTTTCCACACAAATACAGCTCTTCAAGCCATCTGATGAAATTGTATTCATATTGTAAAAAAGCGAGCTGAAACGGTTGCTGTTGAGAGTGGTTGCTTCTTCAAATAGAAATACAGACATTGCTTTGAATTCATTGAGTGTGAAAACAAATATTGCTGTGAAATGCAGTCTATGTCCAGTCTCTATAGAACTTTCGACTGCTTTTAACTCAAACAACTACTTGTTTAAGCACCAGAACAGAAAGCATTCTACGACAATACTCGTCACCGATGAGAACAACAGCTCCCCAAAACAAAAAACACAGCAGCAGTAACTTGAATTTTGTGCAGGATTGGGATTAATGGTATTCTTCTGAATGTGAAAAGAAGTGTAGCTGCTTATGGGGCCATTTACATATCGCGTCTTTTGCTTGCGCGCATATAATGGGAGCGCATAGTGCGCACGCTCGCATTTCCCAGGCACACCCACTTGAAAACCGTGAGTCACGTGACAAGGACTGCCTGATCAGCTTTATACTTTGGAATATATACATTTCGGTAGACTAATTACCTCAGGCAAACACAGAACACGCAAACACTGTAGTGCTTTTCATACTATGGATGTCAATGGCTACAGGTATCCAGTTTTCTTCTAAATGTCTTCTTTTGTGTAAAAAAAAACAAACAAAAAAACAAACTGGATTGGAAAAAGTGAATGATGGCAGACTTTTAAGTTTTGGCTGAACTCTTTTGAATATGTCAAGATGGTGTGATCATCCCATTGTAATGTTTTCAGTGAGTATTAAATGACTGAAAGACCTGCAGTTTATTTTGTATCTTATAGATATATTTTATATGTTTTAAAAGTAACTTTTAAGTAAAGTAACTCATAATTAGATTACTTTTTACATGAAGTAATTAGTAATGTAATCAGATTACAATTTTCAAGTAATTTGTAATCTATTACTTTTTTAAAGTAACTTACCCAACACTGAACGCAACATATTGTGTTACTAAATGTAGCGTCCATTCTATTAAACTAAAATTTAAATAAGTGACCCTTGAATTAAATTAATTGAAATAAGGCTCTATTTGGGTATCAAAACATAAATGGTTCCCATTCTGGCAACCACGTGTAAAAAAAAAAATAAATAAATAAAATAAAAATAAATAAAACAAGTGATAAGCTTTCATCATGGTGCTACAACACAATCAATAGTAAAGGGACAGGCAAGGCTTTATTCAGAAGAAGGGTTTGTCTATGTGGCTTCAGATGCCTGTTCTGACTTCAGGAGAAACCATGACAACAAAACGAGCACAACAGTTTCATGTCATTACTGCAACACTTAATTATTCTTTCTCCATGTGTCCTCCCCAGGCCGCTCTGTTTGATTTGTGCTCTTAGCCTCTATGATAGAGGGCTCTTTCAGACTAAACTATGATCTGGCTTAGCCAAGGGTCACTCTCACACAAACCCGTTTTTCCAGTATCAGATGAAAGCTCTTCAGCAAACAAGTGTTCTCTAATCAGTTCTCAAGGGGCAGTGGTGGATGACCATTCAGGTCCTGAAAAGGCATTTAAATGATGTCAGTAACTAGTATTTTACTTGATATTTTTCAAGACACTTCTATACAGCTTAACGTGACATTTAGGAGCTTAACTGGGTTAATTAGGATAACATGGCAGCTTAGGGTAATTAGGCAAGTTATCGTGTAACGATGGTTTGTTCTGTAGACAATCGGGGGAAAAATTAGCTTAAAGGGGCTAATAATTTTGACCTTAAAATGGTTTTTTAAAAATTAAAAACTGCTTTTATTCTAGCTGAAATAAAAACGAATAAGACTTTTACCTGAAGAAAAAATATTATCAGACATACTGTGAAAATTTCCTTGTTCTGTTAAACATAATTTGGGAAATATTTTAAAAAGAAAAAACAAATCAAAGAGGAGTGAATCACTCTGACTTCAACTGTATATGATATACAGTAGTCAACATTTGAAGTGGATCGTCAACTTTCTTCAAAGTGTCCTAAAACTTTTTTTGAAAAACATTTGAAAATCATTTAATTCACTTTGAATGTTAAAAACTGTATATGATTTTTTTTTATTCTGGAAACTAAACACTTGTTATTGTGACCAACTAGAAAAAACATTTCAATTTAAGGGCCATTTTACCAGAAATGTACATTTTTAATTATAAAAAAATGTGACAGGGCCTGACCTTTAAGCTTGACTGCAAATATTTACATAGTAAATGCAAGTATGCATAGCCTTAATCAAAATGTGAATTTTACACTTAACTGCACAAATTTTGCACCACTGTTTCTTGAATGCTTCAGCGTATTACAATGTTTGGACAGACATAAACTCAAACCTATAAAAAACAAAGCAAACAACATATGGTTGCCATTACCTTCTTAATGGTGTAAAGATGCTGTTTCTCTGTCTCCATCCTCTTCTTCAGCTCATCCCTCATGTTGTCTTTTTCAGAGCAGATGCCCAGAATCAGCTCCTGATGTTTCTTATTCTCTTCAAGCAACCTGAAAAACAGTTACCAGCTTTCACTACTAATGATAGTAAACAGCAATGTACTTGAGCTGTTGAACTTCTGTTGTGTCATATAGGATTTGACTGTTAAATGAAGCATATTGGTGCTAAAATGTTTATTAAAAATCACACCAAGAAGAAGTGCTATTCTTTTTCTCAATAAAGTATCAGACAGCAATATGCCATAACGTAAAAAGGCAATGTGAGATTAGCATAGAAAACAGGTGTCTATGAGCATCACTGTTCAGACGATATTAACAGCAGGCAGTGGACCGCTTCCAATATGAGAGTCGGCCAGATGCCCTTGCAAAAATTAATAAAGGCAGAACAGGAGGGGGGTTTAGAGGAGAAAGACTAAGGGTGACCACAGCTTAAAATAATCAATGGCACCACAACAACATAAATCATCCTTTACAGGAGTTATGGGCTTTCAAAAAAATAAAATAAAACACATTCAATCTACTGTGTGGATTTTACTTGCAGGCTGCAGTAACAAATATTTAGTGCAGGCACTGTTTCATTTAGAACTCTTGAGTTATGAGTGTTCTTTGAATCTTATGGGTCAGTTCTTTCAATGAATGAAATAAAATTGACTCTGAATGCATAACTGCTCTTTTGAATCCTCCAAACAATCATTCATCCTGTTCTGAATAAAATGTTACTTTTATAGTTCAGTATAATTAATGCAATCACATTTAATAGTTCACAAAAAGCACTCACAATTTGATTATCAATAAAAATAAAAGATAATCATGATTTTAAAATGTCATGTATTAAAAATTTTACAAAAATGGTAGGAAAACACAGAAGAAAAAAATACTACTGGAAATAAAGGTTTAATTATTATTTTCTATTTAATTTAATAACAATATTATTATACTAACTAGCTATTACCTTTTATTATAATCTATATACGTTTTATATAAAATGAAAAATCTCTCTTTATTTACTCACTCTCCGCTTGTTCCAAACCTAACCAAATTTCCGAGAAACACAAAAGAAGACCTTCTGAAGAATGTTGGAAAGCAGAAACTACTGACTTTAAATTATTCATTCATTCATTCACATTTTCTTTTTGGCTTAGTTCCTCAATTAATCTGGGGTCGCCACAGCGGAATGAACTGCCAACTTATCCAGCATTTGTTTTACGTAGCGGATGCCCTTCCAGCCGCAACACACCTCTGGAAAACATCCATACACACTCATACACTACAGACAAATTAGCCTACCCATTTCACCTCATGAAATGCCTCATGCCTCGAACCAGCAACCAAAACTACCATAATTTCACCCTCCGTGCCTCACCTTTTTGGTACAGTCACCAACACCCCCACCCGTCATCAACCTTGGTATAACATCCAATCGCCGCATTAAAATCGGTCCATGGTAAAGTTATTAACACCACATACCCCCCACCCCCTGATTCTCAACTTTGTTACTCAGACCACCATGACAAACATATATAGATGTATTTGATAACAAATGATATATAAATGTAAATATCTATGCAATAAAAATAGTATGTATAGTTTTGTTTCTATGTAAGTGTGTATACAACATATACACACACAATACACATTCCATATATAATGTCAAAACACACTTTTATTTTAGATATGATTAATCACAATTAATCTTTGACCAGCACTACTTTAAATAAACCTTTATAATGTTTATTACACCTAAATGCATGATATAAACACAGCTTCTAAACCTGTCCTTTAAATTATATTTAAAAATTCTGTAATTAATATTAATAAATATAATTCTGTTTCATTTCCCTTGACTGTCTGATACTTCTATGGTGACAAATAGGTAGAACTTATTGCCACACAAACAATGACAATGAAGATAGCAAAGTGTAATTTTAATGCTGGTAAGAATGTCAAATTAAACTAATGATTTACCGTCTCCTGCTGCTATAAATCTAGCACTAGTGGACTATAACCTCTCAGAGCCAAATGACATTAATCAACAGCCTACCCCTTGATTGCTTTCTCCTGCTGCGAGTACTTGTACTGTACACACTTCTCGAATAAAACCATGGAGTTCTGGTCCTTCTGAAGCCCATTAGGGTGACTTCCCTTCCGAACGCCCTCAGATTGACTGTTCAACAGCTCATCCTCCAATTCATCCAGCAGAGACTCCTGTGACAGCGAGCGCTCGATCTCCGACAACAGCTTTCTACTGCACTCTGTGTCATATGGGTTCAAGTTGGCATTGGTTTGAGAGTTTTGAAGCACTGAAACAACATCAGGCAGTTCCTCGGCATGAGACGATGATGTAGGAGTCATATGAGTTCTGGTAAGTTCTGTCTGCCCATTGGCTGTTTTTAACTCATCTGTCCCATTCAAAACAGACGGAAAAGATTGTGGAAGTGCATCCGTTGTTTCTTCAATCCCAGAACATTCCAATTGTCCATCAAGAACAGCAGGAAGGGATTCTCCAGCATTATCTTGAGTCCTGGAGTCTTCGATGGAGGCTGTACCACTATCACAGCTAATGTTAACATCAGCCGGTGCATGTTCTCCAGCTCCTTCATCTTCCTGTACTTCCATGTCCGTGTCTTGTCTTTGAGTTTCTTTGTCAACACTACCTGAAAGAGAAGCATCTAGTTCAAGACTGTCTGGCTCCGTCTCCTCCTCCTGTTCTTGTAAAACAGGATCACTCCCATTGCTAAGGACGTCGGTTGACTCTTCCAGACCCGTGCTGACTTCTGGACTTGGAGAGGGATCAGAGGCAGGGCTCAGTTCGCTCTGACTATCCAAAGGCTCCATGATCTCCTTCAGCTGCTGGCACTGGAAAATACAGCACACACACAAGTTACAGGCATGTAAACTTCAAAACAGCGCCCCTTGATAAAACGGGACTTTTATGATTGACAATGATAAGCAGCCATAAAATAACTCCATCAAAAGCAAATAAAGCATATAATTTGGCTAATATATAGTCTGTGCAATGTTTGTCTCGTCATATGTTTTTACAGCCCAAAATGTCTTCTCTACATTAGAGCATTAAAGGTCTCATTAAAATAAAAACATTTAATTTAAAATGAAAAAAATATATATATATAAATAAATGTTAGTTTTATTTTGTTAGTTTTAATGATATCTATTAGCTAGTGTGGCTCAAAACAGTGACAAAATGGGAATTAAGAAAATATAAAATTGACATAAACATTCAGAGCTTGTAGTTTTTCAACGATCAACTTTTTTTCACGTCACGGTCACCTCATACTTTGGTTTTTCATCAAATCTTAACTAATCAAATGCTCTCTAGTATCTGACATGCTCTGTCCCTTTGAATATGCTTCTCATTTGATGCACTTGAGCTCAACAACTCTCACTGGCTGAGCTGTGATAAAAAAATATTAAATAAAAAAAAAACATTTGTTGTTTTTATACAGGGGAGGAGCTACTCCATGTCCCACCCTCTCTTCACCTTTCAGTTGACATTACATCAAACAACGAATAGAAACTTTCTCTTCACAAGACTTTTAAAGAAGATTTCACTTCAATGGCTTCCAGATTTAAAAAAAAAAACTATAGGCAAAATAAAACTAACATGTGGCTGAAAATGCAAAGCAAATTTATCAATCTGTGGAATAAACCTAACATTTTAAATGGATAATTATATGAATTATGATGAAAATGAAAATCCCCATTTACTCACCCCTTAAGTGGTTTTAAACCTTTATGAGTTTCTTTCTTTTGTTTAACACAAAAGAAGATATTTTTAAAAAAAAGCTGAAAACCGACTTTCATATTAGGAAATACAAATATATAAAAGTCAAAGGTTTCCAGCTTTCTTTAAAATAGTTTTTTTAGAGAAAAAAAAGAAACAGGTTTGAAACAACTAAAAAAGAGTGAGTAAATGATGACTTAGTATTATTATTTTTGCTTTTATTTTTTTTTTTTGTTAAACTGAAATGACGATGTTTAAAATAAAAACTGCTGTTGAAAAAACAAGATGACTGATGAGAATTTAAAGTTTTGGATGAACTATCCTTTTAACAACATATTTCCCTTTATTTATTTAATTCATTTATTCATTCATTTTCCTTCGGCTTAGCCTCTAATTTATCACAGGTCTATAGACTGTGAGGGAAACATGCAAACTCCACACAGAAACACCAACTGGCCGGGACTCAAACTAGCAACCTTCTTGCTGTGAGGTGACAGTGCTAACCACTGAGTCGCCTTCCCTTTATTTCACATATTTGCAAATCTTAATTTAATTAGAATTATTTAGCATTCTCCTGATTAAAAAAAAAAAAAGACAAAAACGTCAACTGAATCTTAGATGGAATGATAATAAAGAGAAAATTATGACAGAATTATCAGTTGGGTGAATTATCCTATTCATAGTTTACACAACCGTCCAAACACACACATTTCCATGACTGTGGTGAAATACTCCCTCACTAACCAGAGAAACAACTCTCACTCAACCTGGACTGAGTTTAGTGAAGCCAGTTAGTATTGTGTAACTTAAGTGGTCCACCCTACTCACGCCCATCGTGCCTGATACAACACTTTTGTAATAAGTTTCAGTGCTTTATTCACAGCATTCTTGGCTAAATTCCTATAGATGAGGCACATAAATGAAAACACTGCTCTGGCACTGAGTGTGAATTACATTGCTAGATGAAACTGGGTGAGAAGCCTAACAGCCTATAAAGCAGGATGATCAAGAAAAGTATTACGAATAGTATCAGGATGGTTCTTACAATACAGACCTATTTTTGGTGATTGCTGTGAGACTGAACCTGTGTGTGAGAGGCAGGGATGAACCTTGGCCTGAAAAGCCTGAGTGCACACACAGGGTTTATTTATAAGCCTTGTGTTGCACAGTCAATTCTAATATTAATTTTAAAAATATTTAATTATTAATAAAGAAAAAAATCATTTTAAGGTTTTATCCCTATAAGCCACTTTAGCACTGGAAATATTACGATTGGGAAACAAAACAGGTCATATTGTAAACGATCAATATATCAAAAAAAAGAATTTTGTCAGTGATTTTTAAATATTTTATACTATGGAAATACTGGTTAACTTTATCCCTGTGAATTAACATCTGCACAAAATATACAGTGCACAAAATCTACCAACTCTTTAGTTTGCAAAATATGCAGTATTTGTTTTCAGAATTTGTATTGATATTTTAAATCACTTGGAACAAAAAAAAAAAAACACTATGTTTCCGTTTACTACATTAGAATCCTTTTTCAGGGTTTGCATCAAATTAAACTCGCAAAAGATATTTATTTTTTTATAGTCAGAAGACCTTAAGCACAAAACCACTGTCTAATGAATGATAAAGAAAAAAAGGCTATTTTTACCTCATTTTAATCGCATTTTAATGTTTAATCCCTATTAGCCTTTTTATCTCTGGAAATGTTGCAGTTGGGAAACAAAACTATCAACATTCTGAACTGTCCAAATATATATTTTTTAAATAATTGATAACACTAAAAATGTTACAATTGGGAAACAAAACAGACTATATTGTAAACTGTCAAAATATTTTTTAAAAATTGTCAATGATTTTTAAATATGCTATAAAATGAAAAATACTGGTTAATTTTATCCCTGTAAATTAACATCTGCACAATGCACAAACTCCACCAACTGTTCAGTTTTCAAAATATGCAGTGTTTGTTTTCATAATTTGTATTGATATTTTAATTGGCTTGTACTTAAAATATAAAAAAAAAACAAATTCCATTTACATTAGAAGCCTTTTTAAGGTTTGCATGAGATTAAACTTGCAAAAGAGATTTTTTAAATAGTCAGAAGACATAAGGCACAAAACTGTCTAATAAATGATAATTAAAATAAACAACAACAATTTTTACCTCATTTTAAGGTTTAATCCCTATTAGCCTCTTTTACTCTGGGAATGTTAAAGTTGTGAAATAAAACAGGTCATATATTAAACGGCTAAAATCTGTTTATAAATAATTTTTAAATATGTTACACAATAAAAACACTGGTTAACTTTACCCCTGTAAATAAACATCTGAACAAGCAATGCATAAACTCTACCAACTGTTTAGCTTGCATAATACAGAATGTTTGTTTTCATAATTTGTATTGATATTTTAATTCACTTGAAACTGATTAAAATATGAAAAAAAAATTCCATTTACTAAATTAGAAAAGTAAGATCTGCATCAAATTAAACTCACAAAACAATTTTTTATACACAGAAGACATTGTGCACAAAACCACTGTCTATAATTTTGTTGAGTGAAAATTACATCATCTTTCAGGGTAACATGTAACAAATAAACCAAACTACATACCAATGTTGACCTGTAATATTTAAAAATATACACTTAAAAAAAGATTAGGTGATAATACATTCTTGCTGACAAATAAAACATAATTTGAAAGATTGCGGCAAAATAAAAAAGATTTAAAATCACAAATATTTGGTACTTTGGGGCTGCACTATGAATCCTAAATTGAATCTTTTATGTCATCAAATTATTCTTGTTCTAAATATGCTTGATAATGTATATTTTTAGTCATACATGTGTCATCTGTAACTCGCATAAAAAATGTAGAACAAAACAAATCTACAAAATAAAAACAACATTTAAAAGTTTCAAAATGTTGCTTTTCCGACTCTGGCTCTTATATACTGGATTATAAAATATTAGCAAATATTAACAAAGTTCAAAAATACTGAGAAACCACATTTGTCTCACACGATGTGGGGATGCCATTAACTCAACTATAGCTTTAAAGGTCACCAGGTTCCCATACCTCTATCATAGCAGAAAATCTTCACTGTCACCAAACTGTAAATATTAATTTCTTACTCGCTGACATTTTTAAATGTAGATACTAAATGCTAACACACTTTTTAGGAAAATGTTTCTGTTTTTGACTCACATTGAAAGGTTAAGCAATTTCCTCTCCAGGTTAACTTCCTTTATTTTTTGGTCTTATCTGTGTTTGATCTTGTCATTGTTTCTTTATCTTTAGTCTCACACATCACGTTAGTGTATGTCTTCTTCAATTCTACAGGGGGAGCAGGATGGACAGAGTTCTGCCCCCAAACAAGCACTGAGACCTTTTAGCACACCAACCACGTTATTTTAGCCATAAACAACAATAAAAGAACAAAATAATCGTTGTAGTAATATCGTATTGTTAATTTTAAAGTAATAAGTCAAGCGACACATACTGTTATTCCCACACAGGTGCAGTTAGCTTTAGCACACCTGCTAACTCACCTAAATATGTAACATTTAACGTGTTTAATAAGAAAATATCTCCGTTTTTCTTTTCAACTCAAACAATCACTACGATAACATCAGTAATTACAGAATGGCCATTTACAGAAACATTTTAAAAAAGCAAAACCAACTCAAATTTTGCAGTAAGGTTAAGATCAGGTCCTTGTAAACATTCCCATTCTGATCAGATGTGTTTTAACAACCATAATCGATTACGACATGACAGTAATCCTATCATCACGATGTGTTTAATAATAGTATATATATAACTGATAATACATTAATAACTGTAGTATAGCCAGCTGCCATTGACTTCACCCACTGACTTAGCTTTCGGGCTAATTATATAAACAGTCGCTTTTGTAATCAGGACCTTTGTGTTTCAATTCAAAATATAAGACTTACCGGTTACGTTAAATCCATTTAAAACGCCATATTCTAGCTGCTTTAATGAATAGTGAGTGTCAAGTCCGTTTGAGTGATCTCCTCCCGATGTGACACATCAACAATATGGCCCCTGACTGAACGCACTGATAGCGAAGAATTAGTAAGACGGAGATGGAAATAGATATATTACTCTGAACTGCAGCTTTAAATCTCTCCGAAAGGTGGAGCCACATTGGCCCAAAAATAACTTGTAAACTACTTATTTAAAGACCACATACATTTCATTTACATTGAAACTAGTATATGTGTTGGAATGAACAACAGTACTGTCAAAATTGAAGAAAGTCTTAGCTATGTATTCTATTATGTAATCTATCAAACTAAACTGCCCGGAAGTCAATAGGTTATTTTAAAGACTCATCCCTTCTGTTTTTCTAGCTCTAGCTTTTCAACTATATAAATACCATATCAAAACTACTATTTTTGGCAATTAACTATGAATAAAATCTAAATATATTAATAACAGCAATAATGACGAGGATGATGATGATGATGATGATGATACTAATCCAGATTATTGTAAACCAGTTAAAGCAAGGTATATCCAATTAATTTTTAACCATAATATGTTTAATAAAACTGGGTACACATAAATAAATAAATAAATAAATAAATAAATAAATCATGATACATTATTCACAAGGTAAGTTTGAAATAGTATTTATAAAGTACACTTTTCTGAGAAATTTACTTTCAGACACATTATATTAGACAAATAAATAATAATAATACTGTAATATAATAATAATAACATTTTAATAGATGTGATCATGCTTAAAATTGAACAGTGCTTTCTTTAGAGGAAAAAGTGACAATTTGCAGAATGTGGATTAATATTTATTTATTAATAACATAATAATACTAGACATTTTTATCCTACTAAAAAGATTATTTATTTATTTATTTATTTACACTGCAGTCATTATAACAAACAATTTTTAATTCCATGCAGCACAAAAATAAATAAAGTATAATGCCCTTTTTTATTTTTACATAATTTTACATTTCAAGGGGGGCAACGCAGTGGTGCAGTAGGTAGTGCTGTTGCCCCATACCCATACCAAAAAGGTCGCTGGTTTGAGCCTCAGCTGGGTCAGTTGGCATTTCTGTGTGGAGTTTGCATGTTCTCCCTGCTTTCGCGTGGGTTTCCTCTGGGTGCTCCGGTTTTTCCCACAATCCAAAGACATGTGGTACAGGTGAATTGGAAAGGCTAAATTGTCCATATAGTGTATGAGTGTGAATGAGTGTGTGTGGATGTTTCCCAGAGATGGGTTGTGGCTGGAAGGGTATCCTGGGCGTAAAACGTGCTGAATAATTTGGCGGTTCATTCCACTGTGGCGACCCCAGATTAATAAAGGGAATAAGCCGAAAAAGAAAATGAAAGAATGAACATTTCAAGGTTGTCAGTCATTACAAATGATAGATAGTGATTAACAATGAGCACATTTTTCTTCTCCTTGTCCATTTTCTAAAAAGATGATGAGGATGATGATGTTAATGATATAATAATGAAAACTCATGTCAACTGAATAAAAGCCTCAAATGCTTCACTCTGATTGGGAAACCCGATTAAGAACCTTGAAAAACACAGAGCCAGTTAGTCACATTGTTACATTATTTAATGTTGTACTTTGTCTTGTATTTTCAAGAGTTAATCATGAATTGTGACTTCTGAAATCACCCATCACTCACCTCCCTGTCCTTATTTGCAAGTCTAAAGCGAAAGCAGATAATGTCCACAAAAGATCCAATCAACCTGTGAAGCAGGTCTGTGTTAAGAAGCAAAAGAAAAATCATTCTTAAGTGTTTAGTGTATGTGTGTGTTGCATCCTATGCTCTATCTGCTGCGATCCATGTTTGATTTACTCCAATATTTACACTATACTTCATCTGAAAGTTACCTGAAGTTGAAAAGATTCCTCCAACGATGCCACACAGTCTCACAAGAAATGCAGCGAGAGGCATATGCTCCTCGCTCACCCTCACCATCAATGGACTCAGTTTATATTTAAAAAAGATCCCTGATACACCCTGATTGCCTTTCTCATTGCTTACGACCCGCTCCTGTATGACAGAGTAACAACATGATCATCATCAGCAACACACACTTTCACATGTAACATATATACAATCAGGCTTAACATATAACCCACCCTTTCTGTAACAGAAAACTGGTGCATGTCCACCGAAACATTAGATGTGTGCAGCTTGGTGGGCACAACCGTGATAAAATACTGAAACAGAGTGTTTTCTGAAAGCACACATTAAGAACAGAGTCTTACAATCCAAGTGCTGGGTTTAAAAACAGAAATTCAATAGTTTGATTTGCATTCATTTGCATACATCTTTCGAACGCTGACTGTGCTGTGGGTTGTGTTTGACAGTCGTAATATGTTACTTAAAAGACCTACGCTCTAATGTAGTTTTTTCCATGCCATCAAGGGGATTGATGTGTCCAGGAACATCGTTTCCAAAAGACAAATGATCTATTCGATGTGAGAAGTTATAAACTGCAGAAAAGAACAGGGAAACTTGTGAATTACATTAATTAAGGTCTATATTAGAAAGAAACACCATATCTTTATTGAGGTAAAGTTGGTTTTATATTTGCACATTCATTCAGTAACAACTTGTAACATCCTCCCTATATTATTTACCATGGTACTTTTAAATATTCAGTCTGAGATCACATGTAAATAGGATTTCAAAACAACATTAGCATTATTTATTATAATTGACTGTGTAAAATGTTGTATTTTCATAGTCTTTGACTGCTAATATGATTCTACTATTTAAAATTTACTGAATTTCTGAATTGACATTAAGGAGAATGTCTGAATGTGAGATTATAAAGCCAATTTTACCTCAATTATATCCTTCAATAAATGGTAACATTTATTGACAGGGTTTCTGGAGGTTTTTGATGACATTTTAATACATTTCAAGTCATGAATACGTTGAATTAGGTTGAAAATGTAATCGTATAATACTTTTTACAAAAAATAATTTAATTAATTCATTTAAAAACGCTTAAGGCTTGAATAACATATGGAAAACGTGCTGTTTTGACATTTTAGTTTTTATCAATATTTCTGTCTTGTAATTTTTTTTAAACACATTCTTCTTTAAAGTTTTAAAGTCAACTTTAAAACTGTTAATAGACATGCAGAAAGCCTGTCTGAAAACAAAAATGCAAAGTAAGAGTCCTCCATCTAGTGGATATCTGAAGAATCACATGCATTTTCAACGTTTGTTACCATACCTCTTATATTTTGCCAGCCAGGAGTGGTTAGATAGACCCACCCCACACAGACAAAGTCCAGAATTTGGCCCCTATATGAGCTTATTTGGGCCGTTTTCGTCAGCATGCCATCATAAATTGTGAAAATAACCGATAGAAGAAGGCTTCAAGACAAATTTAGGAAATAAGCTGTCCAGTGTGTTATTTGCCTACAGGCTACAGTTTTTAATGTTTTAGATTTAGAGTTTTTAAGAAGTTTTAACACATTGCTAATTTGTTTTTTAATGATGCATGATAATAAATTTGTATTTTAAAGCAAGTATTTTTCATACTTCTTAATTTTTTAATTTTTCTAATCTCATTGCATTCTTATAAAACTGTAATAATAACATACAAATTTCTAAATAAACACTATGTGGTAAAATGCCATGGTAAGCACTTTGATAAAGTTGTACTAAATATTTTATTGAAATACAAAGTGTGGTTATGATCATCATCTGACAAGCTAATGCAGCAAAGATTAAAATGTCACTAAAAAGAAGTGAACCTCATATAAAAATTGAGGAGAATACCTGCAAAATGCTCAACTTTTTTAGAATAAAAAACTACCCCTTTCAATAGACTAGCTACGGGCCTGAATCCCATAACTTTAAAATATACAAACCTTCATCTTTGATGAATGAAGCATAATGGGCATGTCCTTTGTGTGTTTCAATTGGTCTAGGAGTACAAAAATCACAGATATTATCAATAAGAGGTGTGGTTATAACACCTACAATATGCAATTCTGTCACTAAAAATGTACACTTACTTGCCTAATGTGATATGGAAATTCCCTGCAACTTTATTGACATAGATTTTTCCATGTATCCGGCATGCATTCTGAGATTCAGGTGTAGGATCAACACTGTGAAGATAAAAAAAAGAAAAGAAAAGAAAACAGTGCAGTTTCATGATTAACAACTGAAATCATTGTCTTTCCGCCCTGTGGAATTACCTTATCTATAGTTGCATTTCAGTGCACAAGCATGTAATGTAGAAAATTATTAACATCAAGCAACAGATGTACCGTGGAGCTGGGTCAGAAAAGTATCCTTTCAGCGCTGATTTAAAGAGTACATCTTGTAGTGAGTGTTCTTCTCTCAGTCTGTTTTGAATCTGCTGTAATATCCTTGGATAGGTAACAGAAATCAAGACTTATACAAAGCACACAGGCCACCATCTCATATGATTGTGCATTTAAATGAAAAATTGTACATACTGATACCACTGTTTTTTCTGTGCAGAGGGATCAAAGCTTACCTGAGGAAAACAAAATGTAAAATTGGTGTTTGGTTCAAGAAAGCTGTGTAATTACATCTGAAATGCAGTAAATGGGTTGTAATGACTCACAGAATCATATTTAATTTCCTTTGACGCAACGACAGCTCCAGCAATATCCAGCACATCTGCACCCAACCCTGGAAAAGAATAACAGCTTAAAACCTTTTGAACAAGATGTGTTAAGTATGAATGAAAGATAAACAGTTCCTCAGTAAAATAAATGCACTTACTTTCGCATTTCATTGCAACTGTGATATCAATTTTTATCTTCAGTTTACTGTCAAAGACGAAATAAAATAAATAAAATATGAAGATGTGATATATTTGAGGTATATTTTGAAATGACATAGCAAATATACACACCTGGTAAAATCTCGGTCTACTTCATATTCATATTTCATCCATGTGTCCTGGTACACAAAGAACTCTGAGATGGTCAGAAGTGCCATGAGGATGAAGACGGTCAGTGTCACTGGGAAAAAGAATAATTTAAAAACCATTTAAATTCTCATTTAAGCATCAATACCGCAATGCGCGTATCCACAATAGTCAGATTATAAGATAAAGATATTATTAAATGTTGTTATTTTTAATGAAATCATACAATGATAAGGCTGTTATTTTATGTTTGATTGTTCAATTTCTGTACCTGAATATTGGTAGACTCTCCAGAAAACTGTAATGTACTGTTTATTTTATTACTTTTATCGTTGCTCTGCATTTATATATGCCTGTATTTTTTTGCAACAAACTGCATTGAAAAAGACTTGATCATCCCAGTCTATCTAAATCAGAGAAGCGCAAACTAGGGCCCGCAGGCCAAAGTCGGCACATTATAACCTTTGATTTGGCCCACCATTCCGTCTGAGAAGAGAGCAAGAAGGATGGAGATGACTGGGGTCAACGTGTTTAAAAAGACCATCATTTCTAATTTGACATAACCTTTTTTATTGCTGAACTACAAAACAAACTGAAATATAATGTTTTAATTAATTGTTTTAAATAAATCAGATTTTTAAAAATGTAAATAATGTCACTCGACGGATAGAGGACTATGCAGATGACATCAGCGAGCAAATCAAGGCAAAACAGCATGACTCCGTTCTACCATAAATTAAATTGTTTTAGTGATAATTTCATTATAAAATGTAAAAAATATGATGTATTAGTTAATATAAATTATTTCTAGTTATTTTTAAATATTATTAAATAAATTAGGAAATTAACCATGGCTAGTTACCTTTGATCAACAACCCTCAATCAAGTTTGGTTTTGGGCCCCTCTGAACTAAATGAATGAAATCTTTCCAAATAGACTAATTCAATTAATTTGGTGAAATTATATTCATATAGTGAAATATATCACAGAAAAACTAAATATCACATTTCCAATATCGTGCAGCCCTATTTAAGATCATCTTTTATTGTAATACAAATATTCAAGCACTAAAATCTCACCTGTGCCTCCGAAAGCTGATGTTGCAACATAACTTTCGGGAACTTTAGGAAAGGCATCTAGATTTTTTATTATGCTGATAGGAGTTTTATTCTTCAGTGATGGTCGCCTCATTGTTTAATAGATGCTTGTAGATTGAAACCTAAATGACAATCAATACAGAATTTTAAAAAAGGCATATAACTTTAAAGTCACACTTTTATGACAGCATTATGTGTGAATTTTGATAATATTTATGTTGATACACAAGCACATTAACACATTACAATATAATTAAAAAAATAAAGATTAAAGAAATAAAATAAATAAAAATATACAACTCAAGCATTATGTAATTTCTAACCAACAACAATGTTTGTTTTTGAGATAACTATAACTGCAGTAATTGATGTATGAATAACTGCACTATAGCAGTAGTTGATGTATAAAGATTGATAAAACATAATTCAATAAACAAAGAAATCTGTATTTTGAGTGTTTTGTTTGTGCTATTCTGAATCTGCATTGTCTCTTAAGTGCAGCTAATAAGGCAGGATGTGTTTGATTCCAATGTTACATTAGTGTAGATTTATACAAATTTCTGTTCTACTAAAACATTGCCTGTTTTTCATATTTACCGTATATACTAGCCACAAGTAAACTGCTAAATAAAATCATTCTTCCTGTTCACACAACTGAAGTAATTGTGCATTTTGTAATTAATTTCTCAACAAACAAGACTAAAAAGTATAAACTGACATTAAGTCACCACATTATTAATGCAAATGTGAATTAAATCTCATTCTTACCTCTTCTAAACTCCTTTAAAACAAGATTTTGTGTGCTCACCAATGAAATAATCCATTTACTGACATTTAAAGTGCTGTTTTACAACCACTGCCGCATTGTTAAACAGCTGGTTTTTCCGGCTAAACAAACCTCAGCACTCGTTTCCTCATCATGAATGTGGACTGAAAGAACTGAAATGAGACTGGACATCCCTTGTGGCTATGCTGTTAAGCAATTTGATACTGACTTTGCCATATTGGTGAATAGAGATTTTAAATCTGGGGACCCCTGGGGGCTGAGAGAGTCTATGAAGAAAAAAAAGCCTTAAAAAAAATAAAAAAATAAAAAAAAAATAAATAAATATATATATATATATATATATATATATATATATATATATATATATATATATCTGGATTAAAATAATACAACATAGATTTATATAAAAATAAATAAATAATAATAATAATAATAAATGATATATAAATATAAATTTATATATCTTATATATAAATTATTTTATATATATATTCGTTTTCCAGCTCCGTCCCTGATTTATCAGGGGTCGCTGCAGTGGAATGAACTGCCTAAAAAACAAATATGATTCTATAAAATAAAAAAAATTAACTATTATTAATATTATAAGCCAAATTATTATATTATTACATCATATATTGGCCTTAATATTATATTGCTTTCAAAGAATTATTAACTTAAGGCAATTACTGCATTGGAAAACCATTTTTGTATCTGAAATCTGAATTAGAAACTCTTATAAAGTGAAATATTTTTAAACATTGGGGAGTTTAAAAAGCAGAACATTGAACTATAGTAGTTCAGTTTAAATTGACTCTTTTATTTTAGAGACTTCAGTTTTAAAAGTCTATGTAGGCTATTTAGTTCCACGATGTAGTTAAGCCAAAATCCCTTTAAGGCTATAGTTTTTGGTTAAGCTAAAGTTTTACTGTAACTTTTTTCTCTCTCATTTGTATATCCTATATTCTGGTTTCACTGTGAAATTAACTACAAATGATCATATCCGCATATTTTAGACATTTATAAGTGGCTAACGAAATTTATTTAATTGCACTGATTTTTCTTATTCTAGTGAAAGATACGAGAATGCACCATCACGTGACGTGCTAGGGGCACGTCGTTCAATTGCGCATGCGCGTTCATCATATTTCACCGCGTGGTCGTGTCGAAGGTATGAAAAATTATCATCTCCTGATAATATATTCGATAAAGTTGATATTTATTTGTATTTATACTCATTATATAAACGTATTGCCACACAAATGTAACTGCTGTAAAGGGTATAGTTACGAGAGTAAAAAAACGTAACGTTACTTTGTCAATTTAATGTTAACTTAATTGCTGCAGTAAGCCACGTGTGACTTCGCCAACATTATATTCAAAATACAAAATTTAACAACTTTGGGAAGTTTTGTAAGACGTATATGTGTTGCTAAAACATATGTATTAAACATTTATAGTATTATTTCTAATATAAATCAGTTATATCGTAACTAGGTTATGCACAATGTGTATGTTTAACATCCATAACCATCCTTGTTCATTATTAATCCTCACGTTTCAGTCCTCTTGCTTGTAATATGCGTACTTGTACAGTGGTTCTTCTAATCAATCACACCTGATTCAGCTAATGAAGGTCTTCGAATTCACTTGAAAACGTCAGACACGTGGATTGTAGTAGAGTTTGAGCTAAACTCTGCAGGAAGTTGGATCTCCAGGATCAAGATTGACTATTCTTGCGTTATCTTTTACAAAGCTACAAATTTAATAACACTGACAACGGATTAACAATGTATTTTACCTCACAGTGAAACAAGGGAATAATGAATCCAGCCTTCGCTCAGCCAATGATGAGACCCAATCTCCCACTGAGGAGACCTGCCACTGGACCCAGTTCACTTTCTCCCAGAGGCCCAGCACCAGCCATTTATGAAGAACGCCTGCTAGCAAGTGACGTTCTGGATGGTATGAATGATATACTTTTCAGCATTAGACATTTATGTCATTGACACATTGAAAAATGCGTTTTAGATCATTTTCTTTTTTTTATGTTGCATTAGGTCCCAAGATTGACACCATGAGAAAGGATATCAGTCAGAATGTATGTATATGTTAATGTGTCTTATGCAATTCAAGTAATTTTTTTTAAGCCTCCCTCATATCTAGGGCATTTTTTTGCTGTTTCTGCGCAGAGTTTTGTTGAAAATCTGCTGATTTATGCGGAATGATTTTGGAAGGAACATGACTAAATCTTAGTATTTAAAATAAAAAAAACAACTTTCTAATTTTTATTTAATGTTAACTATGAGAATCCAATTAGATCATCTTAACTGGTAAACAAAGCAAGTCTCTAATATAATATATCTACTAAAAGACAGAAAATATTACTTTACAAACAGTATTGTTAATAAATTATATGAACACTTTCATTTTAGTCCGTAATATTAGTGAAAATAATTTAAATACTTTACTTTAAAACTAAGTTTACACATTTACACAAGTAAATAATTAGACTCAACAATTGGCTGAAAGTCTGCGGAATTCTGTGGATTTCTGTGTGGGCCTACTTGTATCTAAATTTAAAACTTTAGTATTAGTAAAGGTAAAGCTTAAGTCTGGATATGTTGACAATAGATGTGCATATACAGGTATGGAAAAATACCCCTTTTATGCTTTATAATTGTGTTTACTAAAACATGAATTCCCATTTTAACCCCAGATGACATTTGTTTTCCCAATATTAAGTAAAAATGTCTTTAAATAGTTTGTTGCGTAAAATAACCAAAAGTTTTGTTTTCTGTCATGTTTATATTCATTTTAAAACAACGCAACGCCAATGTTTTAACTTGACAATAGTTGGGAAATAAATATTCACTGGAATAACTTTGATATTACGTCACAACAAATTTAAATATTTTTTTATTCTGACCTATTGTCATTTACAATAGGTCGACAATGGTCGATTCATTCTTTTTTAGAATGAAATATTAGTGTTTTATTCAGACCCTAATAAATACAGCAAGTTGGAAGACAGTAACAATATACTTATTTATTCCCACAGCTGTACATGTAATAGTTTTTGCTGATCAAGCAGTGTTTTTTGCATATTAAAGTGAATGTTTTTCCACAGTGTGGAGATGTCTTGTCTTCTCCACAGACAGCGGTGTCTATGATGGGCCAAGTAGTAAAGTTGTGCAATTACTGCAGCCACCAGGGTAAGATATGCTGCTGCATTTCAATGTTTAGCTTGTATTTGGTTGGTAAAATGGGTCAGTCTGATTCTAAATTATAATTGGAATAATACATAATAGAATAGCTAATATGCAACTAACCCTGTCACTTTTATTGATTAATCATCTGATTTTGGTCATTTGGTTTAATTGTTATACTTTGTGATAGCTGTACAGTTTAAATTAGTCACATTAAAGTAAGAGGAATTTACACATGTAAAACCAATTTAAAAAGCTATCACAAACTATTCTAATAATGCATTTTAGTCAGGTTAGGTGAGTTGGGACACAGAGTGAATGTAAAGTGGACTATTTTAAAAATACAATGTTCACATCAAAGAAATAAATTTGAGTAAAACATATTTGCCATGTTTACGTTTTAGTCATGTTTATCAAGAAACATTTTCCTTAACTGATTATGTAATGGAGAATTTATCAATTATATTTATAGAGCAAAATCATTAAATATTATTGTATGTATTAAATACAATTTAGTGAAATATTTTTCTAGTGAAAGATTTGACAAAAAAATGAGGAAGACATGCTTTTTAGTCCATCTGCAAAACGGTTCTGCCCAATAATAATGGTACAAATGTTTTTTTTTAATCATCAGAATGAGTAGGTCACTTACTAGTGATGAATTATTTATTTTTATTTTTATTTTTATTTTAAATCCTGTTTAGGCAACTTAAGGTGCACTCGGTGTAAAAAAACTTGCTACTGTTCTGTAGCTTGTCAGACTCAGGATTGGATCGCACATCGACATGTTTGCAAACCCAGCATTCCAGAAGTCACAAGGTAATATTATTTATATTCTGTTTATAACTCATTTTGAATGTTAGTTTTGATGCACAATGGCAATATTATCCTTCATTTTCATTTAGTGAAAAACCTAAGGAGTCAAAAGCTGTGCCATATGCAAATGGACTTGGTGGCACTCAAGCTAAGGTATTTTATTTGTTGTTACATTAACTAATACTTTTAATTGCTCATTCCTTCTAATTGCATCTCTGCTTTTGAAGGAGATCTCTGTTGATGCACAGCCTAAGAGAATATATCGTCGCGACTTGCACAAAAAAGTGGTTTCCAAAGGTTCTGAGATAAAGGTACTTTTCTTTAGATGTTCTTCTTTGGTTTGTTATCCAAGCATAGACACTCTGCCTCATACAAAATGCTTACAGGGCACAGTAATTGACCTGAGAAACCCTGGGATGTTCTCCATCCACTGTCAGTGCGAGGAGATGATAGAATCCCTGAAGAAGATTACCCAACAGCTTCAGAAGACCTATTGCTCTTCATTCGCACAAGAGTATAAGCCTGAAGTTGGTGAGCTCTGTGCTGTCAAATTTTCTCTTGATCAGGTAAGGCTAATAATTTTAAATCTAATAAGAGTTTTGTGAAATGCATTGTTTTAAATCACTGACATTCGAGAGTGTTGTAGTTTTCAGCTTGGTCTTTTTCATGCTGATTTAGAACTGGTATCGAGCTGAGATTCAGGCAGTTGATGTGGCCCGCAAGACTGCTGGTGTGTTTTACATTGACTTTGGGAATGAAGAGAATGTTGCACTTGACCACATACGACCCCTTTCTGAAAACATTGATGCTGTGCCACCATTTGTGAGTTACACCTGTATATATTTTAGTTTCAAAGCTAATTAGAAAGTTCAGGTTATGTCTTTTGTTTTTGTTTTTATTTCACATTGCTTAAACTGTTTTGTTATAGCTGAATGTATATAAATTAAATGCTAATTTTCTAAAAAGTAGCTGGAAAATAAATGAATAAGATCTTGTTCCTCCTTTATTATATAACTATACCAGAGTCAGTGAAAATTCATTATTCACTCGACCCAGTATTGATAAATGTTGTATTGTGTCAGCAGTTGATGTACTTTGGCTAAAGCTGTTTTGTTTTCCTTAGGCTTTGCAGTGTTGTATTGCTGGTGTAAAACCTCTGACAGGAAGTTGGACTGGTGAATGCTGTATTGCTGTTAGGCAGTTAATTGCTGGAAAGAGCCTCACTTTCACAGTCTTGGACATCATGAACGATGGCGATCTGCTTGCTGTGGATTCTCTTGTTAGCACTCTTGGTATGGCATTCATGGTGAATTAAGTTTTAGTATTCAAGCTTTCTCTGAAAGCACATACTATTCAGTGTGAATTTGTTCCACAGGTAAACATGTGAGCACTTTCCTGATAGACCAGTCCTATGCCATAAAAGAGGATGTTCCTGTCAAAACACAGACTGAACACAGCATCAGTGAGTTGCTTTTTTGTCCACTGTTGTTTTTCCTAAAATAATTCACTCTTTTTTTTTTTTCTTTTATTCTTCTTATATTAATTCATTTTGTTCACTCCCTTTCTTTAGACTCATTGCTGACAGCATCCTTTGAGAACTTCAAGCGCTTTTCTGGAGGAAAGAATGAGAACTCTGAAGCCCGGCCTCCAGAGCCATTGACTCAAGGAGTGGGAGACTCATTCACTGCTGTCGTCACTCACCTACAGTCGCCCTCAGAGATTCTCTGCCAGAAGCTGGAAAATGCCAGTGAGCTTTTTAAATTTAGCTTAAAGCAATTTTACCTCAGTGAAATGCATTTTGCTGTATGCCCACTGGTGCATAAAATTTCGTTCAAACATTTAAGGTAAAAATGATAACAAAAGTTTTTGTTATTTTTAAAAGTACCCGTTTTATTTAAATACTTTTGAAAAAAAAATTTTGTGTGCGTGTAGTATTTAGATAATCTTTTTCTCTGAATTTTCATTTGAAATTCTCCAGTCTTCAGAGTTGTTTTTTTATTTATTTATTTTTTAAATGTTATCAACATGCTGAGATTTAAATTTTTTGTTGATGTTAAAAATTGCCCCGTTAAGTTATACATCTTTTAAGAAGTTTTGGTGTCTTTTTTTTTAATCATTAATTTAATGGATTTATTCTGAATAAAAAAATTACCCCAAGCTTTTTATGGTTTGGGTAAATAGAATAGAACAGATTTTTCTCTTTTCATAAATTTTTGCTTTATTGTAGAAATGTTTCATAATCATCTGTTTGCAAAAGGTTCAGTGTGTAAAGTAATCTTGATGTGTTCAGGTATAATCCAGCAGTTGCAAATGAACTTGAGAGTTCATTGTTCAAACACTGCTGCCAGTGATGACTTCAGACCTGCACCAGGAACTGTCTGCTGCTCTCTCTTCTCCGGTCAGACATTTTCTTAGCTGTGTTCACCTTTTCTGCTTTTGGTGTATATAAAATACCATTGGCTTATACCCCAGCTCCTTACAAACTGTAAAGTCTAGATAAGATACCGCTGTGGATATGCACATTGTTTTTGTGACACTGTATAACAATAATTAATATTTTTACAGTATTTTGATGGTTGGGGTAGACGTTAAAAAGTACAATTTATTAGGTTAATTAAATAAATGACATAATACTCTGTACAACTACTGTTGTCTTTACTGTAACTGTTGGGTTTAGGGTTGGGGTAGAGGTAGACATGTAAAATAAATAATTGGAGATTTAATAAAAAATATAAATAATTCTCGTTAACTTTCAGCTACAACTGTATAATCTAGCTACAACTCTTATAAACCCCTTCAAAAGACATGGCTACATGTAGATTTATTATGAATATATGGCAATAAAGTTAAATGAATGTTTATTAGCATTATGAAGGTGCCTAGTTTTCAATTTAATAGATTTACTAAAGTGTATTTTAATAAGTGAATTTTTTGCAAGTTGGTGAAAATATAGAGGTTTTTTTTATGCATGTGAACTACTGTAGATTTAGTCTCTTTATGCATTACAGAGGACAACCAGTGGTACAGAGCTAAAGTTCTGGCATATTCCTCTGAGGATCGTGTGTGTGTTGGATACATAGACTTTGGAAACTCTGAGGAGGTTGAGCTAAATCGCTTAAGGCCGATCAGCAAGGAGCTGTTGGCTTTGGCAACACAAGCAATCCCCTGTTCTCTAGCAGGTATACTGCAACCCTAGAACATTTGAAAATTGGTTCAGAATTGCTTGCATGAAGTCAGAATTCAGCAAGGGTTTTGATTGTGTTCTTGCTGAACATGTTAATGTTTCTCCAGGTATAAAGTCTCTAACAGACACCTGGTCTGATGAGGCAGTTCTGATGTTAAAACATCTGGTGTGCAACCGCTTCATTCGGGTTGAGATTCTGGGTAAAAAGGACGGTAGGGCTCTGGTGTCCATGATCGATGAGTCCAGTGATCCTCAGGCCAGTGTCACAGAGCTGTTGGTTAACATGGGTTTTGCTGCTATAGAAAGTGTGGAAACCAAGAAGAATGAACCAGATCCAGCTACCTCCACTGAAATTCCCCGTAAGTGAAGTATTCCTTGATTTTTAGGTGTTTTTTTTTTTTTTTGTTTTTTGAAAAGACAATATATGTAAAGATTTTTTAATTGCGTTATAGCCCTAAGTCAACCTGTTGTTGAGAAATTGGAGTGGACTGGTGCTGAACTTCCCTTTGATGGCCAGAAGGTGGAGCTGGTGATTAGTACACTGAAGAGCCTTGATGAATTCTACTGTTACAACTACAGTAAAACAGGTGCCTTGATTGTCTATCAGTGTTGCCTTTCCTGCAGTGTGACGTATGTTTGTAATTAAGTGTTTTATTTTTGTGTCTGGCAGACGAACACACCCTGACAGAGATGTCCTTTGAGCTTATGAAACACTGTGAATCAGAGAGAGCTCCCTTTACCCCTATTGTAGGAGAACCATGTTGTGCTCTCTTCACAGGTAACACGGACTCCATCATTAAGAAGTAAACATATATATTTTTTTTATTTTTTCTAATTTAGTAATAAAAGATGACTTGAATTTAAGATGTTTACTGTTCAAAATTTAAGATTTATTAACTTTTTTTTAAAATGTTTTTATTTATTCATTTTTGTATGTTAAATTCTCAACAGTCATTAATGGTACATGATTGTTGATTTAATGTTTGATGCTCAATTTTTTTTTTCTTTATTGCAAGTGTTTTTTTCCCTTTTTTTGGAAATGGTTGTGCATTTTTTCCAGCTTTATTTTAATAGAAAGTTCTAAAAATATCCTTCATTTAGAAATATTAGCAATTTGTATGGGTAATTGACATGTTTTGCTGTAAAAATGTGAGCTAATGTGCAGTAGAGCATAAAGGTATAGAAATAGCTGTTCTAAACTACTCTGAGCTACTTATTACTTTTAATGTACATTACAATTTTAGAAAACCTGCCATGTGCAACAAATTACAGAATATGCATTTGAGCAAGCTTGCATGTTGCAACAAAACAAAAAACACAACTGATTGACCATAAACTTTTAATTGGTAAGTTACAGAATATCAGTGTGACTTGTTTTCCTTTCTGCTATGCAGGAGACGCCCGCTGGTACAGAGCCATGGTGTTAGAGGTGTGTGGAGAGGGTAAAGCTAGAGTTTGTTTTGTGGATTATGGGAACTCCTGTGAGGTGGATGCAGCACACCTCAAGGCCATCACACAGAGCCTGCTAAAACTGCCCTTCCAGGCAATACGCTGCTGGCTTGCAGGTTTGTTTACTTCATTAGTGTTTGCATTGCTGTGAAATATTAGTAAAAATAGTGAATGTATTGTGTTTATGACTGTAATTGCTTTTATATGCAGGAGTGGAACCAGTGGAGGGCCAGTGGAAAAAAGAAGCTATGCTTAGGTTTCAGGCTCTTTGTGCCGGCCAGCCTTTGAGTGGCAAAGTGCTTTCCATCACTGAGAAGGGTTATGGGATGGAGCTGGAAAGTGCTGGACAAACTGTTGCTTCTGTGCTCATCTCTGAGCACCTGGCTAAACCTTACGGACAGGTCAGACAGCCTCCGCAAATACAGCCAGCTAAACCCGCCAGTCAGATTGAAGATCTGCCCTCTCTTAAACCCATTGATCAGAATCCATCTGTTGAAGAGCCTTTGAAAGTTAGCAGCAAGGGAGCTGCCACTACCCCAGAAGATTTACCAGTGTCAAGTATAAGTTTTAACTGACAGTTTTGTAATAGCCAGTATCAGCAATTTGCAAGCCATCGTTTGATTGTTGTCCTTGTGCATGATTAACTTTTTTTTTTTTCCTTTTTTTTTTTAACCTGTCATTTAGGTGGCTGTTTTCCTTTAAACTGGAAGACATTGGAGCTGTCTTGCAGTGGCACTTTCCAACCAAGAGTGGCAGCAGTAATCAGCCCTAGTCTCTTTTACATTATGAATCCTGGACAAGGTTTGCACTCATCTCATAGCATTTTAAGTGCACCATAATGCTATTTTAATGGTTCGTACAATAGGTTTACATCCATCCAGGGTAAAATAAAAATAAATAGATGTTCTCATAAATATTCACTGCAGCATCACATCCTTTAGCTGAATCTAAAAAGCCATTTTAAGCAGCTTATTTCTTTCAACCCTGGTTTTTCCGAGACCCTACTCTGCTCTGATTGGTCAGCAGCTTGAAACTAGCCTAATGTGATTGGTTTATTAAAAAAAAAAACTTTCTCATTGCATAATCTGTAATTCCAGCTTCATTGACTATCAAAACACTTGCATATATTGGTAATGATCAAATTAGATGTTTTGTATATAGCTAATAAAAACCATAGATACAAATGTCACAATTGATAACTCAATTTACTGTGCGTTTTATTATAGAAACTGCATTTTTTCAAAGATCCACATTACACAATACTTAAGGATGTATCAATGCATTTTACAACATTTATTCTGTTTAGAGCAACTATTGTCATTGTTGTAAATGATTAATGTCTTAGCATGGCCATCAGAATGATGATGCTTGACATTTAAGCTGTATTTTTCTTCACTAGTGAATGTAGAGGGTCTGAAGGCTGTTATGACTGATGTTGCAAAGTACTGCAGCAAACAGCCAGTTCCCAATCAGTGCCATCCTTTACCAGGAGCCTCCTGTTGTGCGCAGTTTTCAGGTCAGTCTGTCTTTCATCTCTTGCTTACTCTCAATAGTTGTTGTGGACGTGATAAACTATACAGTGAATATGGGGTTTTTGAAATGAGACGATCTAGCCTACAGAGGACTGATCTCATCACCAGGCAACCATAACAGCTGCCGTTATTAAGCAGTAATAAAATTTGCAATGACTTTTTTCAAAGTGATTTTTAAACTTGATTTTAAGCGATCTAAAGTCAAAACAAGGTATACAGAAGCTGCAAATATAGTTCCTTTGATCTATACATGTACACAACATGTAGACTGTCTATAAAATCACTTAAGACAATAAGTCATGCTAAGACATGTCATACTCTTTTTGTTTTTAACATGTGTTTAGATGTCCAAGTAAAATAAACTTAATTAATACATTTAATCTGGAGTTTTCTTTTAAAAATGTCCTGCTGTTTTCAACGTGCAATTAATCATGGTACGTTCAAGGCCTATGTTACCTGGGAAGCAAAGGATGCATTTTTTTAAAATGAGACTGCCTTCGTCACGCCACGATGACACAACACACTTCGAATGCATCCTTCAGAGGATGCAGACTCTGAAATGAGACACCGCTTTTATTGAGAGAGTAGCTGTGTTTATTTGCTTTAGGAAGGCTGAAAAATGGTGTTGATCCATTTGAAGCCATGCCTGGGTCCTCTAGATCTATTCAGAGGTGCACCCAGCCCTGTGAGTTCATAAACTCCTCCAGAAACTGTACCTGGATGATGGAGGCTTTCAGTGCTTCAGACTGAGCTGAGCCCAGTTTGATTAGCTGTGGTCCGGTGTCTGCAAGAGGATTTCCTACCCTGGACACCGACAACAGGTGCTACTTCATAATCATGCCCCTACAAGAGCAAACTTCTCGTAGGTTAACGCGGCGCAAATGTCAGATGAAGTTTAGATTTTTCAACTCGAGCAATTTATGCGATGCACGTGTGAAGCATGTTAATTGTGCAAAATGTTCAACTTGTGCCTCTTCATTCACGCCAATCGCGTCATTCATGCCGCCTCATTCGCGATTATCACACTGCAGGATCCCTATTTGCGTATTTGCATTGACTTGACATGTAAATTACTCACACTTGATGCTTCCGCGTCTGGTGTGAAGCAGCATAAAACAATATTTCTGTGTGTGTTATTAAACTGAACATTTAAGCTACCACTATAATAATGCACATTCATCCGCTTGACTGTGCTTTTGAGTACCTCAATTATTCTATTCATATCTTTTGAGAAAATTATGCTAAATAATGTTTGAGTATTTTATGATACAGTGTTGATGTGGTTGTGCTATGCATTTTTTAGATGTGCTTTCTTATACCAGTCAAATATCCAGAATACCAAATACAACTATCAAATACAACTCCTGTTTCAGGTGACAAAAATTGGTACAGAGCTGTTGTGTTGGAGGTAACCACAAAGCATGCACATGTCATTTACTCTGATTATGGGAACATGGAGACTGTTCCTCTCTCCAGTATCCTTCCCATCACCAAAGAACTTCTCCAGCATCCATTCCAGATAGTTAGATGTGCCCTGACAGGTAAAATTACCAACTGATTTCAACTAAATCTACAAATTTTAAATAAGTAAAATCCGCTCATGTAGGACTATGGATTGTTTGTGAAGGTCATTTTATGCTAAGATGTAATTTCATTTAAATGTAATTTCTCAAAATGAGGATACAAGTACATGGATGGAAACATGGTTGTTTTAATACATTTTTGCACAGGTAAAGAGCACTTCCCTGTAGTGTGGCCTACTGAAGTGCTGGAACTCTTTGGCATTCAGTTGAGTGGGGGTGTCCTGGCATCCTTTCAGGGCTTTGATGGAACCTCCAACCTGTTAACCCTTACCCAGCAGTCAGGTCAATCTGACAGAGACATTAATTCCATTATCCTTGGAGCTCTGCAGAAAGGACAGATCAAGCCTAGCTCAAAGCTGCCTGCCAATGTCAATGAAGAGAAAAAGGATGTTGAACAGAAGCAGACGCAGCCTATCAGCTCAAATAAGGCCGTAGAGCAAACTCTATCTACAAATGTTGAGAAACCTGCCCTGGATGATCAAACCCTGCCTTTAAGTGTCAGCTTGAAGCACGAGGAACCAGGTGAGGAATTAAACATTGAGCAGAATTTATGTTGGCAGGACTGTGTTGTAATGTATGGGTTTACAGGACCTGTGTAGGAATTTGCTCAGGACCTTTAGCAATGAAATTCTGGTGCACAGGTGCTGTTCCACCTGGTGTTCTCAGCTGTAACTCTAAGGTGTTATTTAAAAGGAGCCTTGTCATCATATCCAGAGCAGCAGTTGTCAAACATTTATTATGTCTAATTTCAGAAAACATGTCCAAGACGAAGACTGCAGAGGAATGTACTTCAACACCCGACACTGTGAGCAGTATTGAGAGCAGCCATGGTGGGTATTACTGTTTCAAATTGTATCACTCATAACTTTTTGGTAGGGTGAAAAGGAGCACATCCTGGACCGATATAAGTCTTTAAAGTTAGGGCTGGGCAATATAAAAAATAATGTCAATAACAATTATAAGCTCTGGATATTTTTACTCTATATTGATCTAAGAGCCAATAGCCCCTTTCACGCAGTGATACCGGTAAATATCTGGAAAATTTCCGGAACGACTTTACCGGTATATTCAAAAAAGCGCTGTTCACACAGGCGAGGACGTTACGGAAATTTTCCGGAAAAAGAGCATTCACACATCCATTCCAAAATACCGGTAAATTCTGACATCATTCACCACAAATGAGCTTTAAACGACTGCGCTTGTATTTGTAAACATTTGACTAAATTACAAACTCTGTGGATGATCAGTATTGTGAACAACTTTCGCAGGATCACTTTCGCATATCGAGATGTTCATAATATGTGCGTGTGCAGGTGCTCACAGACTGTTTCACAGGCACACGCAAAGCTTGAAGGTAAACAAACAACGGCTTATCATAAGCATCTCATCGATGATTATTTACACAGTTGGCATTAAGAGGAACATATAAACGTGATCTGACTAACTTCTAGCAGCTAAATGTGTCTGGAAAAATATTCAAAGGCTTTTATTCTCATAAACCGTGCGGACGTAAATGCGTCTGACTGTATTTTTTATTTTTTTACATTATTTATTTATTTTTTTTATGCGTATGACTGTTGTGATTGGCTAAAGCAGACGTCTCACGTCAGCACGTTCTAGACGTGCACGCGCTTATTACGGCAATCTTCCTTCTGCATTCACACAGCGCAGCATTCCGGCAAATTGCCGGTAATGTTACAACTTCTCTTTCCGGAAAATAGCCAGAACGGATTTACCGGTATTTTCAAAAAGGACCTGTTCACACATACAACCTTTCCGGAAATTTGCCGGCAATTTTGCGGAAAGGTCTGTATGTGTGAAAAGGGCTAATAACACAGCAGAAATGAGCAACAATGGAAATTTAAAAGTGTGTTAATAATAGAAATGTACTGAATTTCCAGCCACTGAAAATGTATCATCTGAAAATATGTTATGCAGTTTAATGGGCCCTCTATTTTTTTGTGGCTTCAGTCATTGTTGGGTTACTCTTAAATCTGAAAGCATTAACAAGTTGTATCGAAATATATATCATTATTCAATATAAAAAAAAATTATCGAGATTGCATATTTGCCATATTGTCCTGCACTATTTATAGTGCAAGTATATGTGATTATTTGTGCTCTCAAATAGAATGTACTTTGAAAAGCTGTGTAAAAATGAAGTATGCTTTTAGGTTTAAAATACAATTTTGTTTCTGTTTTGATCAAATTTGAATGAGCACTTTTACTTATTTTCTGTCTAGCTGCACAATCTTGCTGTTGTCAGGAGCTGAAGCAAAAGGTTTGAATAATAAATTAAAAATTGCATTTTTTTTTTTTTAATCCTCAAATCTTTTAGTACTGTTTTTTTTTTTTAATCATCAATTCTTTACCCCACCTTTCAGATGGACCGTATCGAGGAGTTGGTTCTCCTGCTTGTGAAGCAAGTTGGATCCAGATAGTAACCCAAGATCTTCAATACCCAAAGATTTAAAGGGATAGTCACCCATAAATGAAAATGATCATTTACTCACTCTTTGCTTTTTTAAGCTATTATGAGTCCCCTCTGTTAAACACCAAAGAACATATTTTGAAGTAAACTGGACACCTGTAACCATCGACTTCTTCAGTATTTGGTATTCAAAAAATGAAAGTCATTGGTTACAGATTTTCTGCTTTTTATTTCAAAATATATTTTTGTTCAACAAAGAAAAGCTCATAGAGGTTTGGAACCCCTTGGGGTGAGTAAATGTTCATTTTTGGGTGAACTATCTCTTTAAAATAACAGCCACTGTTCAGCACTTGTTTTTTTATTTAATACTATTGGTGCTGTTGTTTTATTCAGTATACCCTTTGTGCTTTTATGTTTTGAGTCAAGTGAATATGTAACTATTAACAGTGAATTATGCAGCATTAACATTCAGTTTTCATGTTCATCATTATCAGTGTTGTGTAGGGCCAGTTTTGTTTCCTAAGCGTCCCTGTTCCTGTAACCGCTTCATGTGGCTGTGATTAAAAATACTTGGGTTTGTTGGAAGCTGATTGATTTTTCTATTTATTATACCCAGTATACATTTTATTTTATGGTTATTCAGTTCTTCTGAAATTAACAAAAAATGCTTGTTTAAAATCTCTAGCTTTCTGTGCCACACAAAATTAGATCCAGCCGCCTCCGTCCCCGTTCATATTTGTATTGGGGGGAAAAATAGAGTAAATATCAAATGTGAATGAGAAGCTGAAATGGAGGAAATGTCCACCTGTATGAAATGTTTGCTTTTTTTTTTTTTTTAAAAGCTGTTACCTGCATTTCTACAGTGACCCGTTTTAATAACTTTATGTACTGACTACGGATATAATTTTGGTCTTGGGTGTGTATGAAGTTGACTTGTATTATAAAGCGAGTGCGGAAGTAGAAGAGCAGATCAGAGCCCCCTCTTCTGTTCAGCGCACGACCTGCTGCTCCGTCAAAGAGGTTTTAAACAGGACTGCGGTGTCACTAAGGTAAGACTCGCTCATTATGTACTGTCAGGAGATTTAGCTCCGAAAATAAACTTTTTGAAGTTCTTGTTCTGAAACATTAAGTGCTGGATTGTTGGTAAATATCAAAGAACGATTTTAAGTTCTTTCGCTTTCTCGAGTTCTGCTAAACTAGGTTAATAGAACTCGTCAGTAGAAGCAAGTGAACAGCTATTCCCCTTTAGTATGAGTTGAAAAATTGTTGATTTTGCCTACGGTCCACCTGATTTGGGGTATTAAAACATGATTAAATCATTTATATGTAAATGTGTTTTAAATGGGTAATGGGATTAATTGAGTGCGTCATTCAAAATAAGCAGCAAAGCAATGTGGATTTACTGCTGAATATTAATTTGGGTATATAAAATGTCTTCCTGTTATCTTAATATTGTTATTGGTTTATTTTGGGGTGATAATTTTAATTTAATGATGCATAAAGTAATTTAACATGCACACTCTAAAACACGCTTAATAAGTAAACTGATAAACTAATAATGGTTGTTCATAGCAGCTAAGCAGGTCAAATTCAGGAAATTAATAAATTTACATCATTTGATGTTGGTACTACATTATTTAATGTTAATGCCTTGTAAAAGATTAAGGTTCATTTTCGTCTGCCACAGTTTACTAGCTCATCAATATCAAAATCGCTATAGCCAATCAAATCAAAGTAGGCGTGGCTTTACGGATCCCACAATCGAACACTTGAACGCGTTCAACTTCTCACTTGTACTATATTTATAAAAAGTAGAGTTCCGTTCTGGTTGCTTGTATGACGTCTACGTCCAGGTAATATCTCAATTCAACATACTAATGATTTATAGTTAAGATTATGTTAAAATTATTGTTATATTTTTTACTCGAATTGACAGATTAGTTTTGGACCCCCTTAACAGCAGCCACCTACAGTAAGTGCTGCCCACAGCCTCTCATTTTATTCCCCGTCACTCTGATTATAGGAGTCTAGTGCACTGCGCTCAAGTCATTTACTGCTCTTAGTCTAGTCTAGTGCATGAAGATCAAGCAGCTGCACACACCTGTGTCTTGTCCGTTAACAAGCATTGCCTTTTAAGCTCTGCAATGTCAAATAAATATATTTAGCATGTTTAAAAATATCACACAACTGTATAAAAGCTGTTATACGGCCAATAAAAGTTTTTTTTAAGAATTGACTTTATTGGGTTTAAAAAAAAAAAAAAAAAAATATATATATATATATATATATATATATATATATATATATATATATATATATATATATATATGAAACAATATCGTGTATGTGATTGAAATTTGGAAAATATGTACAGTAGGTTTTTTTATGTATGCTAAGTGTAAGTTAATATTTAATAGATGTTTCATTATATCGTTTTAGAATCACTACTGCAGCATCAAACTTGTGTCCAAGATATAATAAATATATACATTTTAATAGTTTATATTTTACTCAGTCTATTTTAATAATCCTTAAACTTAAATACCACATACTTGATTTAAGGATAAGGTACCTCCTCACACAAAAAGATGATCACATTTGCGGTCCATCACATGTTAAAGATTGAAAACATCGCTGTCAGTGCATCTTGAGCAAGTTGTTGTTCACCGCTAAAGTAGGAAATAATTAAAGTGAAAGCTTAGACCGGTGAGGAATGTATGAAATTGTGAATAAAGCAGAATTAGGAAGCAGATCCAGGGCTCTTCCTGGGTTGATCTGGCTCTAGACGGCTCCACTTGTTACACAGACCGAGACGAGTTCTTAGTCAAGGTTATCATATGGCAGGTTTGTGAGTCCAGATGATTATCAGCCTCGAAGAAGGTTCTCTTAAATGGCACCTGAACAAGTGTTGTCTGCTTCCTGCTGCTCACTCACTGCGGCAGGAAATGCACCTTATCAGGGAAAGATATTATCAGTTTCCTTTGACAACTATACATTTAAAAAAAGACTCCTCTGTGCCCGAATTGTTCAAAAATCTCTTTCTCTCAGTTTGCTGGATTTATTCTTTACCAAATAGATTGGATCTTTAGGAATAGCAGTTGGCGTTCCTAATGTTTCTTCCTTTTGTGTAGCGCTCTATGGGTATGTTTAGAAATGCAGCCATGAGTGAGACCATCAAAGAATGACTTCAAGGGTCACAATCACCTCAAGAGTCACTTCGTTTCTTTCCAAAGCTTTTAACTTCTCTTAACACCTGGAACCTGACCAATCAGATTCAACAGTGTAGACATAACACACACACACACAAACACACATTTTAATTGTGCTCTTTAAATGTCTCTCTCTAACACGTTTAAAGAAAAGATTCCACCACATTCACACCAGTTCTGGATGATTGTAATCCTGAATGTAGATCTGATCATATATAGACTTCAAATACTGTTATCTGCTAATATCAGGCAGAAAGACTATACATTCAGGGAGGTTCAAAAACTGTCTTTGCTGGAATAGCTTTTTAATTATTCTTCTGTTCATTTTGATTTGTCTTTGGAACACAAGTTGAATATTTTAAAGGATTCAGAGAATTGTATATTCCTCCACTTAAAGTTTAGAAAATCAAACTTCAACAGCATCAAACTAATAACTTTGAGATTAAAACACTATTCACGTGGATTAATTTTATGATGCCTTTAAATATATAATAATTGGGACATTGATTTTTTTTTTGACTGGCTTTTCATTGGAAGAATACCTCTCAGATGTCATTAAAATGTTTAAATTTTGACATTTTCTTTCCTGTGATCTAAATATGCACATTCTGCAAATATTTCCAGTAGTACTGTAGGCCTCATTGGCAAAATGCTGGGTTGTTTTAACTTGTCAAATATGACCAAACCCAACAGTTTAGTTTAAAAATTGCTATTTAAATTTGCTTTAAAAACAACAACAACATTGTGTTCGTCTTTATTTGTTCCAAATTGGATTCAAACAACACAGCCTCTTTTATGAGTGTTGTGAATTTAGACATACTACCTCACTTATTTTGTTTTTGTAACTGATGGAATGCTAGAAAACGGAGTTGAGGATCCATGTGCAGTTTAGTAAACGGAGAATTGTCCGGCAGGCAATGGTCAACAGGTACAAACAGTATAGCATGAAGGTAATTCAGAAGCGTAATCAAGTCTCAGGCAATCAGGTCAGCGATAACATAAACGAGGAAACAATGCTGGGGTCATGAAACACAGAAAGACTAGACCGGAATAATGCTTAGTAATGTTACAGGTAGGCTTGGGCGGTATCCAAATTTTGATACCATCATCAAACCTCCTCCCTATTTCTCCTTGGTATTCAGTATTACTGTGCATAAAAAAAAAAAAAATTATGACAAGGCTCAGACAGCGTCACCAAACTGTTGGCTTGTGTCTAAACCATTCAGAAACTGAATACCGTATATGTGACCATAGGTTCGTGGTCACCTGTTTGTCTTGTAGCTGCGCAGGAGGCTCTCATTCACACACACACGCCCGCACACAGAGAGAGAGAGAGAGACAGGACCACACGACGCACAGCACCACGCTCTCTCTCTCTCTCTCTCTCTCACACTCTCTCTCTCTCTCATTCACACACACACACACACACATAAACAGCATCCTCGTGGATGCGCGCGTTCTCCCTTAGTCGGGAGCGATATTGTTAGATCGTACGCCCGCTCCCTTTCAAATTACATCAGAGTTACCGACCGCTTATGCGCTTTATTTGGAAATTTATTCGGAATGCAGACCTCTAGTTCGTATTTACCACGTCTCCCTTCTCGTTCGGTGGAAAACGAAAATACTGGCAAACTGCCGGTCACTTGGTGCGTGACTCGCAATCTTACCTCACCTCTCTCTCTCTCTCTCCTTCACACTGTCCCTTGATGACAATCACGCATACCCATTTGTATGCATTAAATAAATAATATTTATTATTATGTAATACTTGTCTCCTATATAAGTGCATTGTTTTTATGACGGTATAACAGTATTGAAACTGACACCATTGCTATTTTTACATCCCGCGGTATACCATATTACCGTATTACCGCACAAGCCTAGTTACAGGTGAACAAGACTCAGCAGTGTGTGTGTGCAAGTGTGGTGTATAAATAGTCCAAGATATCAGTCCATGATAAGCTTCCTGCTGTGTTTATGTAATCAGGGATGATCCAGAACTGGTGTGCGAATGATGTGCCTGATGGGGAATGTAGTGCAGATTGTTGGCAGAATTGTAGTTCGGGTGATAGTGTTTCCAGCGATATACAAGGGCTAGATCACTGATTATCGTGACAGTTTTCACCTACTAAATATAAGCTTTAATATACAACTAGATTTAATGCTGCTCTGTATTTGATCAAATTCTGCACAAAAGAAAATTTTTATTCTCTCTCTACACATTGAAAAATACTGGGTTATTTTAAGTTATATCTATTATGCTTATGTACAGGGTGGCACGGTGGCTCTGTTGTTAGCACTGTCTCCTCATAGTAAGAAAGTTGCTGGTTTAAGTCCTGGCTGGGCCAGTTTGCGTTTCTGTGTGGAGTTTGCATGTTCTCTCTTGTTCTTTTGGGTTTTCTCCCACAGTCCAAAGACATGGTAAATAGCTATAGGCATCTGTAGGTGAATTATGTAAACTAAATTAGCCGTAAAAATTAGCGCAGTGGCGCAGTAGGTAGTGCTGTTGCCTCACAGCAAGAAGGTCGCTGGTTTGAGCCTCGGCTGGGTCAGTTGCCGTTTCTGTGTGGAGTTTGCATGTTCTCCCTGCATTCGCGTGGGTTTCCTCCGGCAGCTCCGGTTTCCCCCACTGTCCAAAGACATGTGGTACAGGTGACTTGGGTAAGCTAAATTGTCAGTAGTGTGTGTGAATGAGTGTGTATGGATGTTTCCCAGAGATGGGTTGTGGCTAGAAGGGTATCCGCTGCGTAAAAACAATCTGGATAAGTTGGCGGTTCATTCTGCTGTGGCGACCCTGGATTAATAAAGGGACTTAGCTGAAAAAAAATTAGTGAATGAATGTAATTGGCCGCAGTGGCTGCACTGTGGCGCAGTGGGTAGCGCGATCGATTCACAGCAAGAAGGTTGCTGATTTAAGTCTTTTGGTTTTGAGTATCGTACTCAATTGTATGAATGAGATCGTATGAATTCATGTGAATTAACCACTAAATCTAAATGCTACAAAATGCTGTGAGATTGTGTTGCATTATCAGGATTTATATCAGCATAAAAATAAATAAGAAAATAAGTAGCTTCCATATCAGTCCAATTACATCCATTATAGTTTCAAACCCAAACATAAGATTAAATTTGGCATTTTAAATTTAATATAAAAATGTAAAATTTGGATTTACCCCATATTGGGTTGAAATAAACCACCTTTTATTAGAGTGTAACTCATTTGAGCCCCTTCTATCTTGATTTTGGATAGTTGCTTGACTTTAATTGTAGAACAGAAGATTTTTTCAAACAATTTTGCAGTGTACAAATGTGATTTATTTATTTTTGCACATTGTAAAAAGTGTTGTTCTAGTAGTCTTATTTGCAATAAATCAGATTTTATTCGAGCAGCTTACAACTTGGTGGAAACCATGATGTACGATATACAGTCTACAGTTTTTGTACCTTAATTTTAATAATAATTGGCTTCTTCATAAATGTCATTGTCACTTTCGATCTAATGAATTATTCCTTGCTTCTGTATAAGTATTAAATTCTTTCAATCAAGCTGTGGGTAATGCATAATTCATTAGAAACCGAGCAGATAATTCTCGCAGTCTGAGCATGATCCAGGTCTTTTCTTTGAACAGTGTTAATTTCAGACCCGTGTGTTACTTTGATTGCAGAGCAGAACAGGTAGGTGTTGAGATTGTGTCCACCGACCCGTGGCGATAAATAATTCCCCCTGTCTGGTGGAGCTAGTATCCATTTGTCAGCATGTTTAATTTAATAATAAAGTTTGCCTCTTAAAGAGGTGAACTTTGACCTTGAGCTCTGGGAAAGTGGCACAGGAGTATTACTTAATCTGAGATGAAGAGCATCATGCTGTTTCCTCCACACATCACCAGACTCTCCCTCCACTTTTCTCAGAACACAGATGAGTAAATGATTAGTCAGATGTGACGACAGTTTGACTGGCTTAGGCATGATTTTGATCTTAATTTGGGGCCTTGTAATGCTTACTTATTGGGCTTAAAGGAGAGACCGGCCCACCCAAAAGGAATTTTGATCAGTGGCCCCTTAAATTGTAGTGATGGTCATTTTATGGTGCATTTTTCTCAGCCATTATTCGTCGGTTGTGTTTGATCTCAAAATAGATGGTCAGCTTCGCTCTTTACCATCCTATGCTCCTAGTTTGTTCAGCCGGTGCCCCTGAGGGTCGGTAAAAACTGTTGCCCCACTAACCTTAAGCCCACCAAATTCCAAGAAATCTTTCTGTCCTAAATCTGTTTCCCCTCATAGTGTCTCTCACAGCTGCTTTGTTAGCATTCTCCGAGCCTTTTTTTCTTTTTGGGGAGAGCTGCTCAGTAGTTGGCTTCTTCAAAGACTTCCTGCAAGACTGTTTGCCCTGTTTTAATTGATTTTTGTTTTGTTCTTATTTCAGGGCACAAAAATGTCTTCAAGCAGCCGGCAAAATCTCTTTTTCATGCTTCTGTTTGGACAGGGTAAGAGACAACATTTTAATAATTTAATTTAATTTAATTTAATTTAATTTAATTTAATTTAATTTAATTTAATTTAATTTAATTTAATTTAATTTAATTTTACAAATAGCAAAGTCTTATTTGAAATATTTAAAATATTTGAAATGTTTTTGCCATTTTATTAAGCATTTGTGAAAATTCTTTAAATGCAATTTCACAGAATTAAATATTTATTAAATATAAATGTATATTTTCTATAGTATACTATATTATATTTGTTCATATACCTTAGGTTAGCAAATACGAAAGCCAAAACTGCAGCTAATCTGACAAAACAACCTACGGTAACAGTCCAAAAATAAGTACATCCAAATATATGTTAGGTAAAAATATCAAGAGAAGCAAAAAAATCTATACAATTTACTTGAAATTTTCTAGATTGTAAATATTTATTTTGCAATATTTTGCTTGAATTTAAATGTTTTATCTTTCTATTTCTAAAAATATTTGATAACTAAGATATTATTTTAATAAATATATTTGTTTAATACATTTGCATTGTTTAAATGCACCAAAATATGTTGCCTATATTCAATATTAATTTTAAAAATGGGGTGTACTTATTTATGCTGCAGCTGAGCACTGTATATTGCAATATGTGTTTTTAACTGATGTTTCTTTTTTATTACATTTACTTTATTACTATTATTATAATTATTATATTATCTGTCCTCTAAGGCTAGAGCTTCATTTCTCTTTGTTGTGATGTTTTTTAATTGAGATATCTATGTATGGGTTCCTCAAGTATTTTCCCATTACAAACTTGGACATATGCCATAAATATCAGGAGGGATTTAGTCTTTCAGCCCTATAAAATGTGTCCTGATTCCACAAGCTGTCAGAAAGAATCCCCAGAGGGTTTAAGAGAGATTCACTGTGACCTTGCCATACATTACAGAGCCATACATCACTGATGCCGTCATCTTTCATATCAAAATAAGCAGCTGTAAGGGTCCTTTTCTCTAAACACAGTTAAATGTGTATCAGTTCATAATAATTTTGATGCATCAAACTTTAAACTAGTTCAAACCTAAATGATTATTTGGTCACACTTTACAATAAGGTTCATTAGTTAATGTTAATTAATGCATTTACTAACATGAACAAACAGTGAACGATACATTTACTACTGTATTTGTTCATGCTAGTTAACGAAAATACAGTAGTTCATTGTTAGATCCTGTTAACTCATGGTTCATTAACTAATGTTAACAAACATGGACTTGGATGTTAATAATGCATTAGTAAATGTTCAATTATGATTAATAAATGCTGTACATGTGTTGTTCATGATTAGTTCATGTTTGTAAATGCATTACCTAATGAATCTTATTGTAAAGTGTTACCGATTATTTTTTGTAAAAATATTGTATGTATGTTTTAAATGAGAGCAAAAATCATCTGCAGCAATCTAAAATGACTTCTGATCCTAAATGTGTTATTTCGTGTTAGGAAAATAATCAAAGAGAACAGATCTTGTGCAGAATTTGTGCAGAAGTTTTAGATCTTCTTACTCTTTAAAAATCTGTAAATTAGCAGTTTTGCGTATTTTGTGATTCATTTTTTTTATTTTCCGTTTATTTATGCTTTTGAATTGCATTATGGGACCATAATCTTTCTTCCAACAACTTTTAACCTTGAAAAGTTAAAAAAATTGACTTTTATTAACGTTTTTCTAGATTAAAGAGCTATATTGTCTGGGTCGTTGTTGTATATAATGATACAAAAACCTTGTACTAAACTACAGTTTATTTACATTTTCTGTTATTTTACAGACTTCTCTATATATTGTTTATTACTGTAATATTTTAAACTACTAAAATGTCAATAAATGTCACTTTATTAAGATGTAGAGTTGAATTTTCAACATCAAAACTCGACAGAGGAGAGATCAACATCCCAAAATGCAATTTATGACCCTAAAATCACAAAATACAGAAACTCTATCTATCTATCTATCTATCTATCTATCTATCTATCTATCTATCTATCTATCTGTCTGTCTGTCTGTCTGTCTGTCTGTCTGTCTGTCTGTCTGTCTGTCTGTCTGTCTGTCTGTCTGTCTGTCTGTCTGTCTGTCTGTCTGTCTGTCTGTCTGTCTGTCTGTCTGTCTGTCTGTCTGTCTGTCTGTCTGTCTGTCTGTCTGTCTGTCTGTCTGTCTGTCTGTCTGTCTGTCTGTCTGTCTGTCTGTCTGTCTGTCTGTCTGTCTGTCTGTCTGTCTGTCTGTCTGTCTGTAAGATTTTAACCCTTTATAGGACACTCTTGAAATCCTCATCAGAAAAACCCTGGAGTGTTACTGGGGTTATCACAAGACTTATTATGACTTAAAAAAAGAACTGCAGCCTTTCAGATTTCTATTCCGTTGGTGGTATTAAACCATTAGCAGTTTTGTAGCCTCATTATTTTGTCCAGAAGACCTGAGCTCCTCATTGACTCTGCGGGTTTTTGAAGCCGAGGCCTGTTACCATGGTGAGGTGCTCCTCATGATACCACGAGTGTTAGTAGACAAAGACCATGATTGAAGTATGTGATTCTCAAGCACACTCCACACCACAGGAGCATTTTACAGGACTTCAGGGCATGTCAGATTCTAGAGAGCATTTGTTTGGTCACTATTTGATGAGAAACTCAATTATGAGGTGACGTGAATTTTCCCCTTCTCCTGTCCCAGCTAACAATAATCACAACCTTTCCTTCATCAAGGAATAACAAGGTTTATTTTTTTAACAATAAAGATCTCTGAAGGGAATCCAGGCCGAAACAACAAACAAAAAGACAGCTAACTTGCGGGGAAATAATCCTAACTTGCATGCTAAAATAAAGTACCTCAAAAAAAATGACAGCAAACTTCCTTTTCTCCCTCGCTGCCACAAACCAGGAGAAAACGGGTTTTAAAAGTAAATGGCGATTCACAACCTACAGTTTCAATTATCCAAAAATAATATAGTTTTAATAAGTGAAAACAATGCAAAAAGGTTCAGATGAAATACTGCGAGCAGTTAGTAACGAAATAAAGAGTTGTCAGCTAACAGAATCAGTCAATCACACCACACTAGTGCAACAAATAATCTGGGGCAGGAGATAGGAGATACTCGGAACAACAGCGGCAGCAACGACGATGGAGATTTTCGACCTGCACCGAGCAGAAAGATCAGTCCTTTTTTCCTCTCCTCCGCTTATATATGCCCCCACTCGCAACACAGCTGGACCCCAATCAAGCGCAGCTCTAGAGGGAGAGAGAGAGTGAGACCTGCACATGCTCCACACCGCGCAACACAACATCAGCTCCAGATGCATAAACAAAATACATAATATTAAATATTAATAAAATAAATGCACAAATAATTATTTCGTTCTGAAATGTAACTACTTTAATCGCATTAATAATTATTATTATTATTTTTTTACATTTTATAATGAACTTCTTTCAATAAAAACATAAACACATTTATCACACAATGGTGTTCAATGCTGAATACATGAGTCTGCATCACCTTGTGCATTGTGCATCCTCCATCTGTGAGTGACATTTACATTAAAAAATGTCAACATTTAATTGAAACATTGGCTGTTCATTCTGCTGTGGCGACCCCGGATTAATAAAGGGACTAAGCCGAAAAGAAAATGAATGAATGAATGAATGAATAATTAAAACATTTTATTTCAGTTGGCTTTTTTTGGAGCTCAACAATTAAACAAACCAAAAAAAAATGTTACATTAAATTATAAATGACGATCTCTGTTAAAGGCATTGCCCCAACCTTCACATCATTCTCTCTTCTTTCTTGGATGGCGGGCCAAATCAAAGGTTACCAACTTTGGCCTGCGGGTCCTACTTTGAGCATCTCAGATTTAGACGAAAGTGACAAACTGCAAACTTTAGATGTCTATATAATTTTTTTTTATATTCTAAACGTGAATACACCAATAGATATCCTTAACACTAACGGATACCGTTAATAACATCTAAAAAGCATTATTTTAATTTCACTGATCTTCAAGCCCTCAGTCAGCCTGTTCAGTTGCATACAAAATATAAGACATTATTTAGACCTTATTGAGTCGCAGCAATCTAAAAATTGTTTACATATGCAAGTGATTTACTGTCATTGTAATGGGTTGCTTGGGCTGTTCTCTCAATCAGCATCCGCCCGCATGAGAGAGCACGCCGCTCTGCTCACTCGAGCATGAAACACGGGCCGGGACAGTCTGACCGCTCTCTTTACATCCAGTGGGCGTTGCTGGAATGCCAGTGTTTCTGAGTTATTCTCCTCTGCAGGATGCTCATAGTAAACTCCACACAGAGCCGTGTCTTAAGGGCAGGGGTCAGATCAGCTATCTAGGAGCTGGGCTCTAATGACTCGTTTGTGTAACGTATTGTTGACTCTGATTGAGCCTGAGGGACTGCCTGAGCCTGTATCAGCAAAAACGTGTAAAGGTCATACTTCACCCGAACATTTTTCCAGGATCCGAGAAGTTCTGTTCTGCCTACCTTACTGCCTTTTTACTTTGAATATTTTTAATTGTATGTTTAATTAATTACATTATTGAAGTACACTTTCATCTGAGGTATTTACCTGTATATTAGAACAGAATTGTCTTTTTGAAAAGGTCATCTAGAAAATAGGAGATTGATTGATTGATTGATTGATTGATTTCAAATATTTAATATAAACCAAACAAATGAAAAAAAAACCTGCATGAAATTCTTTCAAGATTTATAAATGCTAAATTAAGTAACACAACTTCTGTTACAATAATGAGATTTACTAGGGTTGGGGTTGGTGCTTAGTTGTTTTAACCATATATTGTAAACTTCTAAAATTGTAATATATATATATATATATATATTATAATATATATTTATAATTAATTATTAATTAGTATAATTTGTTTTTAGGGTTTTTCATCTTTAATTGGGATAGGACAGTGGAGGTGGAGCAGAGAGAGGGAAAGGGTCAGCATAGGACATTGAGCTGGGAATCAAACTTAACCACTAGGCATTTGGCACAAACGGATTTCATTTTTAAAGTTTAAAGTTTATTTTTCTTTTGATATTTTGCAGTATTACTTTGTTTACATTTTTAAAATTTTTTAAATACATGTTTTACCATTTATATACTTAAACCGTAAAGAGTATTTACAAGAATCGAGGCTAATGCTTTATTGTTATAAACTTTACTGTTTGTAAAAAACAGTTGTAACTTTTTTTGACAGACATCTAATTTTATTTATTTATTTATTTATTTAGTTTGTTTGCAAAATTTCTGATATATACTGTCCTCTACAGTTTCTTAATGGAATAGAAATATCTTTTTAAAAGAGTCTTATATAAAATGGGTGATTCAATTTTATTTTTTTCATTCATTTATTAATTCATTTATTTGCTCCGTGTTCTCTCTCTATACATATATATCATTTTATTGTAAAGATATATCACGTTTAGTTTGGGTGTTAATCTACAAACTCTACTAACTACAGTATTTCTTTCTTTAAAGTTTGGTCCATTTTCTCTGTGCAAGAAATACAAACGGATCTTGACACCATTATGAAGATCAACGCTGCTGGAGAAAGTGAGTTTTGGACTTGAAAGCAATGAGTTGTGTTCATCAATGAGTATGTTTACATGGACACCAATAATCCGATTTTAATACGATTAAGACAACACTCTGATTAAGAGTCTACCATGTAATTTTTGATTTATTTAATCAGATTAAGGTCATAATCGAACTAAACAGAAATTGAATTAAATCATGTGGAGTATGCCGATTTTAGTCACATTATTGCAGTGCAGCACAGACATGTAAACGCTGCAAATATTACCGTCATGTAAGACTTGTTGCTGCGGTTTGTGACAGGATACTCTATACAAACACGGCTGTTCAACACTATTCTCTGCAACTACCGAGTCAGTGAAGGAACATTGGGCGTGCGGGATCAAATTCTATTAAAACAACACTCTTCCACTTGTCCTTACTTCATTCGCACATCCAATACCTCAGTTTGTCATGTGGGGGCATGAATGAAGTGTTCCTAAATAAAAGTAAAACTGCCGTACTGCATTAAACACCCAAAATTACATGAAACTCTGGAGGAAGCATGAATAGCATGTTGATGCAATGAGATTAATCTAACTATATGCTATAACATGTTAAAGGGAATGATGAAAGGAACATTCAAAAAGCAACTCATGTAAACATCTTAATCATATCATTGTTTTATTCAAATTAGGGCAAATAATTTGATTACTGATGTCCATGTAAACGTAGTCACTGTCTGAATAAAGAATTTTTGATCTAATGCCAGTGTGAATGTGTGTCTGTGTACTAGGGATGGGTACCAAAACTCAGTAATTTGCTATCTGATATTTATATATTTAATAATATTTAATATCCGTCAGCACAGTTGGCGCGTCAAGCATAAAAGCCTTCACAATTCTCGGCTGTGTGCGCGTAGCTCGCGACACAAAACCTATTTATATATATATATATATATATATATATATATATATATATATTTTTTTTTTTTTTTTTTTTTTTGCAGTAGTCTAAATAAATCTCAAACATTAAAAATGCTTTTACATCAGCTGTATTTACAAATATAGTCTATGAATAGCCTAATCATAAACTATGCTTATTAAGAATATATAAAAAACAGCTTGTTTTTACATTGCATGATGCTCCAAAACTGTTTTATAAACACAGGTAACTCCCAAAACATGGTTAACTCATTTATGTGTACGTGTTAATAAAAAATCATAAACATGAACTCATTTAATTGTGTTTTGCAACTCAAAGAGGGTATTTTAAACTGCAGGGAGCACAAAAAAAAAAAAAAAAAAGATGCCAACTTCTGCCAGAAAAGGCAAACATGTTGATTTTTCTCCAGAAGAAAGGTTAAAAACTGAGAGTGAGTTTTTTTTCAAACCTTTGTATGTTCTTTTACAGAAAAAAAAAATTATTTGTTTTAAAATTATTGGTTTTGTTTAATTTTATTATTACAATTTTAATATAAAATAAAGTGTTGATAATTCTGTTCAATTTGTTTTCTTTCATAAAAAAACACTTCAAAAAGTACCATTACGGGAACCGTTAAAGTACCGAAACAATAAGTGGTACCGATAATAGTTATATATATTGAGAGGTTAGCTAAACCCTTTCTTTTAGACATTAAATTTAGCCAAGCAAAAAAAATGGTTGTTCTCACTCTCACACCTAAAAGTGTGCGTGTGCTGTTGCAGACAGCGGCGTGCCGTCTCTGTCTAATCACCTTCTTTATGACAGACGGCGGGTTCTAACATGACAGCTACATGGATTATAATTTAGGCACTTGACTAGCACAAACTTGCTGTAATGTGTTTGTGAGTATTTATCTTTGCTAGAACATGCCATGGGCGACCTTTGAGCTCTTAAAATGTGTCAAACACAGGCCATCGTTTGTGTCAAGTGTTGCTTTTTGCCCTACCGCCTATATTATGTTTCATCGGAAAACTCTTGACTTTTCATAATTGACCATTCAGTTGCCAAATATGGAGTAAGCTTTGTTTTCTCTTGTGCTTGGTCAGTGATGCAGTGCTCTGCAGCCATGGATATCCTCTTTGTGATGGATAGTTCATACAGTGTTGGAAAAGGAGGGTTTGAGAGATCCCGACACTACATGTTGAAGCTTTGTGAGGCTCTTGATGTCCGCCAAGACAAGGTCAGACTGGATAAAGTCTATTTAAGATAGAAAGGTTCACCCAGAATTAAAAAAAAAAACTATCAGCATGTGTTCTGTCTGTATTTGTTTCAGTGCAATATGTTATAGTTTCCATTTATGAATTTTGTATACTCTTTAAAAAACAATATTGGATTCAATGAATACGTACTAGACCGATCACAAGACTTACTAGTCATGGTTTGGATCATTTTTTTGTGGAGTGGGCAAAACAAATGGGTAAACTTAATTTTGCTTTTCACTTAAGGACCCTTATCACAAGCCTGCTATGATGCGTTCAACTTTCATCAACATTTTAAATCTTTGAGAAAATCAAACAACAAAAAATGAACGTTGTTCTTTCTTTTGGCTACAGTTATCAGTTTCACAGTATTTTTTCCTTTCTTTGAAAGTCTTGATAACACCATCATGGAGTTTTTCTTTTATTATTTCAGCAAATAGTTTTGTAAAAAATAATTTCTTGGACTTTCTCATTCACCAACTATAACGAATTCTGCTGCTGAGAAACTCGGAAATGTAAAAAGGGTTCATTACCTAAAGGGAATGTTCACCGAAAAATGTGTTTCTTAAGTGTTACCAAACCTTAAGTAGTTTTCTGTTCAACATAAATCAACATAAAACATTAACAGTGTTAATGTTAGAATGTTAACTCTTGTGTGCTGTTGGAGATATTTTCATCAACTCTGGGGTGATTTTGAGTCTTAATTTAGCCACAACTTTCTCTGTGATTTAGCAAATGGAATGATTTTTGGTGAAAAATCTTATGTTGACACATATTTTGGGAAAATGCTTTGAAAAAAAAAATCAACAATACACTTTTTATACAAATTTACTACACTTTCCTTATGTTAGTGTCTGTTTTTGCCACATTGACTTCCATTATAATGACATGTTTTAATTGCAAAGCCATGACACCATATTATCATGCTTTCTTGATTGTGGCTGGTTTTACCAGTTGGGAAAATGTAACTGTTTTTAAATTTTTATTGTTGATTATCAGTTGCAGTGGAAAAAAAGCTTTCTCAGAAAGAAATACCGCACACTATGATTTGCTGTTTCACTCCATAGAACTCTTTATAAAAGCCATAAATGTTTGTTGCACAGGCCTATCTAAAGGGTTATTGCTGCCAACTGATGATCATCAGTACAAATTACACATTTTACCTCTTCCTAACAGAGAAAACCACCAACAATCAAGAATGCATGACTATAATGGGGCACAATTAAGTGATACCTGATAAAAAGGGGGTAAAAACAGCCACAAACATAACGAAAGGGTAGTAAATTTGATCAATACAGAGTTAAAAGTATAAAGTAAAATTAAAGTTCATTTTTGACTAGAGAGCATCCTCATGTCTTTGGATTTACTACAAATCACAGAGCCGTGATTTCCGGACAAGGTGTTCATGAAAATCACAGCTTTTTCTAAATCATGGTTTTGATTTTGTTTCGATTTATTATTGTCTGTGAACTATTACTTTGTTTATTGGGACTGTTTACAACAGTTTTGGTGTCATCAGGCAGAACAGTGACATTTCCTGTTTCCTGTTTGTTGTCGATTTTGTGTAGGTGAGAGTTGGCGTGGTTCAGTTTGGTTCCACACCCAAACTGGAAGTCAGTCTAGACTCCTACAAAACCAAGGAGGAGCTGAAGAAAAAGCTGAAGAAAATCCACTATAGGTACAGAGATTAGTGTTATTGTGTGTCTTCCTGTGGAGCACGAGAAATGTCTATATCTACACACACACATATGGGGGCTTTGTTTACTCCCTCTCAGCGTGTGTCATGATGGACCTGATTGATGAGGTTGAATTAATGTTGTTTTGTGGTAAAGAGAGTGCTGGTACTGTGGTGACTTGTAGCTGAATGACACACAGCTGGCCTAAACCTCATCACCCATTCAGGACATACCAAATCACCCCTCGACATACTGTGAAATTACCGTTTCACATTCCCACTCAATGAAAATATCAGCACTTGTCTGTCTGTCTGAACAACTGTGATTGAAGATGATGGAGTGAAGGCCAGCTGTGCTCATGAATGTGCCTCTGCTGGCACTCAGTCAGTTTCCCTAAGGAAAGCAGGAGATTTTGCATATCAGCATTGGATAAAGAAGTATTGTAAGTGGAGAAAAAAGGTATAGTAGCTGTTATACTATAGTTTAAAAAGGTCATATACTGTATTTATAAACTTTATTTAGAATTTCATTGAATCAAATCCAGAGAAATAAGCAGTTTTAACAACAGAGATAATTTGTAACCCGTGTTGCCATGCTAATGAGGTCACACACTCTCGATTTCTGGTTTGGTTTTATAGAAAACGAAAACAGCAAAGACACTTTAATATGTTGTGCGTTTTATTAGCCTGCACAAAGCACAATTATAACCAAACCTTAACATATATTTAGTATGATAAATCAGTGCTCCTTCCCCTCGGGATCATGACTGGAACACTGCGGTCGACTTTGGTATTATAAAAGCTTCACTGCTTTCCTGCCTTGCACTTATCTCTCTAATTGTTTTAGTGATCTTGTTTTAAATTTGAAAGAAGACACTCAGGATCTTCCAAATAAGCTGTTGTTTAGTGTGAATGTGCGCTCTCTATAGCGACTTTATCATATCTAACTTTATTTATTTTCTTATTTTTATTGTAACCTTTTTATTATCATTATTTATCAAATTAAAATTGTCATGTCTTTTTATTTAAATGTATGAGTTGTACTTTTACAAATATTCACATTGTTTTATTTTATGCTTAAAAACACCATTTTCATAAATCCGAAAACCACTAAACCATTTATTAATAACTTTAAATTAGTTTTTGATTACATACAGTGTTTCCATCTAACCATTAACTCTACACTGTAACTTTATCAAATGTTCATTTATGAAGTACACAGAATGCAATGCCACCAAAAACAAGCAAATTTAGTTTGAATCAACTCAAAGAAAATAAAGCAGCATTCACTGTCAACTTGAGAATGCCAGAACTGGTTTAGGTTTCATCGTTCGAGGTGCATTAAGGACAGAGCGCATAAAGGAGAACTAAAGGGTTCTGTGTTTCGCTAAAACTTCAGAGGGGCCACTGTGGTTAAATTAATAAGAGATTAGAGAAGAAGCACCCTCTGTCAGATTGTCGTCTTGAGCGTGACTGTGCATATCTCTGCCAAAACTAAAAGTGTTCTGCTACCTTATTATTACAGATATTTACAGTTTTATTATTATTATTATTACATTATATTGACACCAGGTTTAATAGGCCATATTACTGCATTGAAAATATGTTTAAAAAGCCTATTTTACTTAGTTGCTCAAACCGGGCAAAAACTATAGTAATTTAACACAAATGTAAATTAATTGTATTTTCACAGTATAAGTAGACCTATAGAACTTGCATAAAGTCCATGTAAAATATTTATTATTGCATTAAATCTTCCAATAATTTAACTTTAGTAAGAAGAATCTGTAATTGAAACTGTGTTGGGCAATCCGCAGTGCAGACGTACTATGCTTTACAATGGGTCGTAGGATATAATAGGCTTAAATATTCTTTTAAACGCTTTAAAAAGATCTCTAATTCTGTTTCCTTTCTAAAAAACACAGTGACCGATGGTTCTTGAGGTAAAAATAAATAATTATTAATTTAAAATCTAAATATTCTTCAAATGCGGAACACCTTTATTTAATTTGCACCTTTTGTGTTTTTTGGCTGAGCACCCAGTTAAGAGGGTTGTGCGTGCTTTTGTACAATTTTTCATTAATTTAAAATATAAAAATTGTACTGAAATTACTGGCTATTTTCACTCACCGGCCACTTTATTAGGTACACCTGTCCAACTGCTTGGTAATGCAAATTTCTAATCAGCCAATCATATGGCAGCGACTCAATGCATTTAGGCATGTAGACATGGTCAATATGATCTGCTGCAATTCAAACCGAGCATCAGAATGGGGAGGAAAGGTGATTTGATTGACTTTGAATGTGCCGTGGTTGTTGGTGCTAGACAGGCTGGTCTTAGTATTTTAGAAACTGCTGATCTACTGGGAATTTCATGCTCAACCATCTCTAGGGTTTACGGAGAATGGTCTGAAAAAGAGGTAATATCCAGTGAATGGCAGTTCTGTTGGCACAAATGCCTTTTTTATGCCAGAGGTCAGAGGAAAATCTTCTGATGGCTACTTCCAGCAGGATAACGCACCATGTCATAAAGCATGAAGCATCTCAGGCTGGTTTCATGAACATGACAATGAGTTCACTGTACTCAAATGGCCTCCACAGTTACAAGATCTCAATGCACTAGAATAGACCACCTTTATATACAGTAAATGACAGAGCTCGGTGGTTCTTGAGGTGATAAAATTAAAGAAATTGTAAACGTTTTTGTGTATGTTTTTACAGTCATTTAAGCATGAAAAAATGTCTTGTGAAATCCTGGAGACTGACAAAGTTTGGTAAAAAAAATTGGATGAAGATGATGTCACAGTAGTAGTTCATTATGACATTAATTGTGTTCATGTGTTAAAAGCTCTATGTATAACGTGTGTGTTCTCCTGCTTTAGAGGTGGAAGCACACAGACAGGTCTGGCTCTGAAGTTTGTTTTGAGGAAGGGGTTTTCCGGTGGACGTAATTCCTCTGTGCCGCGAGTCGTCGTCCTGTTATCTGACGGAAAGTCCCAGGGGGCCGTGCAGCTGCCTGCCTCTGAGCTCAAGCTGTCTGGAGTGCTTCTGTTTGCTGTGGGGATTCGCTACCCCAGGTAGCACTCATCATTTACACTCACTTCACACAGAAAAAACCCTCACATCTCTAATTACCTGCTTCTTCAAACTCTGTCAACAAAATACTCCACTGTCAAATGTCTAAAAGAATAGATATCATTTCCTTCAAGCTAAATAAAATGTACTATTTCTTGAGGCTAATCCAGTCATTATCAATTATGGAATTATTTTTGAGTATTTTTAATAATTAAGGGATATTAAGTGATTAAAGAATTGCACTTAATTAATTTCTTCAATATGACAAATTAATGTTAAGTAGTAGAAATATGATCGCGTGCAAATGGTTAGGCCAATAATAATCTGTTCAAAGAAGGGTTAAAGCAAAAGTGGCAACTGGTGTTGGTTGCAAAAATACATTTTTAAAAACATCTGGAGCTCTTGAGAGCAGCAGCACTGTGGGTGCATGAGCATAGCTTTTTGTCCAGTCTATTTCAAGAGAACCAATTGCACAGTTGCATTTCCGGGCATGGCTGCTTCGAGCAAGGAAACGGGAGCACACAACAGTCGTGTGCATCACATCAGCTGTGTGCAGGAGGGATCATCCTCTCATTTGGTATTCACCTGCTTTCTTTTACTCGTGCGAACATTATTTTGGTCAGTCGTCCTGCTTCTTTATTTTAAGATCACATTTGCATGCAGATTGGGCCATCTTTATTGTCAAGCCCTGCTTTTAAAAAACTATCATTAAAAGATCATTTTTAACCTGCCAAAGTAGCTAGTGTGAGTGACTGTCTAACCCACCATAGCTGAAATCTACCCACATTTGGCGGGCTGGCGGGTGTTAATGTCAAGCCCTGATTTATATTATTATTTTTATTTAATAATAATAATAATAATAATAATAATAATAATAATAATAATAATAATATAATGATAGTAATAATAATAGTAATAATAAATTGAGAATTTCCAAAACAAAGACAAGAGTAAATTAAAATGTTCAGACAAATTATATTAATGATCAATAATAACAAAAAACAACAACAACAAAAAAAATCCAGACATAATGACATAATATTTGAATTTTATTACTTAATTACTTTGTGTTTTTCATAATGCACTAAGTGATGTGGTACTCACTGTAATAGTTTGAAAGAATGGTAGTGTTTACTTCTGTAATAGCTACCATGGTTCTTAGAAAGTATGGGAAACATACTTTAAACTGCTATAAAGAATAACATAAGTATGAAATTTTTTATATGACATCACATTATATTAAAAATATAATACCATATGCTCACAGTACCTGTACTTTTGTTCTATATCATTTAGACTTTCAAGAACATTGAAAGTTTGGTGTCGTTGAGATTTTCCAGTGTATCATCGTATCTTACTTAAAATGTATTTAATACATTTGAAGTTAGAATTATTAGCCCTCCTGTCAGTTTTTTTTTCTTTCTCAAATATTTCCCATGTTATGCTTAACAGAGTAAGGAATTTCTGCAGTATTTCCTATAACATTTTTTCTTCAGGAGAAAATCTTACTTGTATTATTTTGGCTAGAATAAAAGCAGTTTGTAATTTTTACAATATTATTAGCACTTAATAATTTGTAGCTTTAAGCAATTTATTTTTCCAATTGTCTACAGAACAAACCACTGTTTTACAGTGACTCGCCTAATTATCTTAACTTGCCTAAATTAACCTAGTTAAGCCTTTAAATGTCACTTTAAGCTGTATAGAAGTGTCTTGACAAATATCTAGTCAAATATTGTTTACTGTCATCATGGCAAAGATAAAATAAATCAGTTTTTAGAAATGAGTTATTACAACTATTATGTTTAGAAATGTGTTAAACAAAAATTGGGTATACAGGGCAGCTAATAATTCAGGAGGGCTAATAATTCTGACTTTAACTGTGTCATGTATAATAAAAATCCCTACAGCCTGACAAACAATTAGCATGGACACATGTGGTCATATTTGAACCATTATGAGCTCATGTAGTCAGCTAAGTGAAGTGCTGACAGTTCTCAGGGAGAGCTGTGCTCACTGACAGGTGTGTGATTGAACACTAAAAGCTGCTGACAGCTTGGACGCATGTTGATGCTTTTGGTCACCATCATTTCTGTCTTCTCTGTTTACTTGGAAGCTTTATGGCAGCTTACCAACAGGTGCAGGAGGAAGAGGGAATGAATCTCAGTGGAAAAGCTCACCTTAATGGCCATATATCTAACAGCTGGGAATGTATCAGTTTGAGTATATTTGGATGAATGAAAGCCTCTCACAGTTCCTGCTGTGCCATATGCTCTGGCATCTCAAAGTGTTTCACGCAGTTTTACTGAACCATATGCTCTGGAAAATAAACCTGGAATTGACTACAGTACAGTACACTGCTACTCAAAAGTGAGGATTAGGGTTACATTGCAAAAAAATATATTTTCGTACTTGAGTTTTTGTCTTGTGTCTAGTCCAAATATCTAAAAATTATTCATTCATTCATTTTCTTTGGGCTTAGTCCCTTTATTAATCTGGGGTTGCCACAACGGAATGAATCATCAACTTTTCCAACATATGTTTAGAATGCCCTTCCAGCTGCAACCCATTCCTGTGAAACCCCCATACACTCTCGCATTCGCACACATACACTACGGACAATTCAGTTTATTCAATTCACCCAGAGCACATGTGTTTGGACTGTGGGGGAAACCAGAGCATCCAGTGGAAATCCACGCGAACACAGGGAGAACATGCAAACTCCACACAGAAACACCAACTGACCCAGCCGAGTTTTGAACTAGTGATCTTCTTGATATGAGACGATCATGCTACCACCATGACGCCCTAATAATTACTATAAAAGCAAAATGTTGTCTTATTTTCAAAAATAATAAGTCAAAATTAAGTGACTTTTTATTAAAACAACCATAAAATATTTGCCAATAGGGAGAAAAAATGATAACCCCATTTTCAGACTATTTTGCTTGTTTTAAAGAAAAACTCATAATTATTTAAAAACAAGACATTATTTTTTAGCTTGTCTAGAAAATTCTTCTTGATTTAAAAATTGTTTTGATATTTGGACTAAAAGCTGCAGTGTAGGATTTTTCTTTCATAGAGTTCATTCTTTTGAAGAAACTAATATTATTGTTAAGCAAGTACTTGTTAATTTATTAAAAGGAAATACATTTATGATGTTACAAATATTTTAGTCTTTAAATTACTGCTTAGTATTTAAATAGGTTTTTGAAAATTATTTTAAAGAGATTAAGAAAAAAAACATGGTTTTCTTAAAATTAAGCAGTGCAACTGTTTTCAATATGTCAGCAAATCAATATATAAACTATGTTTCGAATACATTATATAAATATCGAAAATATTTCTAAAAGATCATGTGTACTTTAAATAAAAGTATTGATTCTGAGATTTTAGCTTTAAAACTACAGGAACAAATTGCAGTTAAATAATATATTATAAAGTTTAACTTATTAAAATTAATAATATATTTAGTAAGTTATTTTAGCAAACCACACGAGTTGCAGTGCGATGTGGCTGTATTTCGACACTGGTGCATTAGAAAGTCACTTACATTACCTAGTCACATTATAATGATTTGATCAGCTGTTATTTGAAATAAGGGCTTATTATGCGGCCTGTCGCCATTTTGTGGATTAACAACGTCAACTGTCTTTGGTTGGCTCAATGACAGGCTAATGGCCACCGACAAGCTGTCTCTCAGAAATTATAAATGTTAAAAAAATATTCATCATTCTTATGAATAAACTAAATAGTTCAATCTAAACAACTACATTCTCCACTAAAAAATCCTCAAAAGTACATAAGGTAGCAATATTTGTCAATATTTGTCCTCTGCTTGTTGGTGTATGTGGGTGAGTAATACACAAGGGCGAAGTGTGAGGAGGCTGGTTAAGTGCTGTTAATGGCAGACTATGGCACAGCTATAAGCCAATCAGATTCAAGAACCAGGCAAAATTGTTTTATAATTGTTAATAATTTGTGAATATACTGATGACCGATATAAGAGTATTTTTTATTTAATTAAAATGAAAAACATTTAAAACATAGTGTATTTAACTGCATATTATGATAGAAAATCATGTCCTGTATTTCTCTCTTAAGATGGGATGAGCTCCGTGAATTGGCGAGCGGTCCATCGGACTCTCACGTGTTTTTCGCAGAGCACTTCAGTGATGCTGTGAATGGATTATTCACCAGCCTTACTACCTCCTCTGTCTGCATGTCCATTCCTTCAGGTAAAACACTCACCAGTGACTCAGTCAACAGTCTGTTTGTGTTCATGAACATTAAGTGAAGTTTCCTGTGCTGTGAATCCTGCAGGCTGTAAGGTGGAGTCATACCCATGTGTGCAGAAAACCCTGGAGACGGTCAAACAGCTTCAGGGAAACTTTGTCTGCTGGAAAGGGTCCAAGAGATACTCGGCATACACGTCCCTGTGCCCTCATTACAGGTACATGGCAACCTTACATATACAGAACAAAAAACAGGGGTCTTCGTATGCCTTTTACCTTCTTTAAAGTCCCCTTGAAGTCAAAATGAAAGCTTGTTTTTGGGTGATAGTAGTATTAATATGTTAGACTTACTCAATTATGCACCTTTTGGGTGTGTATGTGACCCCCTAGAGTGTGCGTGTGAAGTTACAGCTTAAAATACCACACAAATAATGTTTTATAACTCTTTGAAACAGCCCCTTTTAGGCTGTTATCCAAATTGTGCCATTATTGTGACTGTCGCTTTAAATTCACAAGAGATTGTGCTCTCAGCCCTATTTTCAAAATTATCTTCTGCTAAAACTAATGATGGATGGCTGCTTGTCACTTAGGGCTGTTCGTCATCTATCGTCACTAATGGGCGGGGCTTTCCTCCTCTGATGACACGTAAAGAGGGAGAATGTTAATCTCCCTCTTTAATGATTAACTGCGTCTCATTTCAGAGGCTGCATCCTCTGAAGGATACATTTAATCCGGAGTTTTCTTTTAAAAATGTCCTGCCGTTATCAGTGCGCAATGAATATTGGGATGTTCGAGGCTGCAAAGGATCCACCGGTTGTGCCCTTCATTACCTGGGAAGCGAAGGACACATTTTGAGGCTGCATTTGAAGGAAACTTTTTAAATTCTTCTGAAATGAAACTGCCTTCGTCATGTCACACTGACCCAACACCCTTTGAATGCATCCTTCGGAGGATGCAGCCTTTGAAATAAGACACAGCTAAAGTGTTTCTGCAAACTGTTTTTGTGAAGTGTGATTATAGAAAAATAAAATGAATAATTTTTACTATTAGAGGATGGCTTTATTTACACACTGTTGCCACACAACTTGGTTTTTAAACTCCTTATAAAAAATTTTTCATAATAGGTCCCCTTTAATGTTATCAGTAAGTCAAAATGTACAGTTACTCACTTGCAGTAATAGAAATCAAAGATTTTTTATTATATACAAGCACTCCAGTGTCCAAAATTGCCCCCTATACTCTCTGATTAAATGCATTTTTGTATCTGAAGTGTCCCACTTATGAAAATAGTCACACTATCATATTGTGAGTCTGTGTTACTAAATGCAAGGCTATTTATGAAATCCAGGCATAACACTGTATGACAACGTTTCAGATGACTTTTCTGTAGCCTACAGCTAATCAATCTGGCAGATTCTGGAGTGCATTACACATCAAAGAAAATTATAAATGATAAATGATTTTGAGTAAAACAAATACGTTTATAGAGATGGTATATACGTATATAATTTCACTCACCTGGGAAAGGTTGACGTTGACGTTGAATGGTTTGTGAGCACAATTAAGTGCAAGCAGCATGCCATATTATCTGATAATTGTAAGAAATAATTCCAAAGAGCAATTGACTCTGTAAAGCCACATAAAACAAAACGAAAATACAATGTTTTTTGCCGAGTTCAGTGGCTAATCAGCAGGAATCAGCTGAGGTGACATGACGGAGACCAGCGAGACATAGCGGTCACGCCCCACACCCTTAATTAGGCAGACTTAATATAACTTAATATACTGATATATATTCATATAACTGATGAGTTATAAAAAAAGATCACCCCCACTCACAGTTGTCATGAAGAGTATATTCATGTATACACAGTATACATGAAGGGTGTTTCTGTTCTTTTAAAGTGAATGGGACTCATGGGTTTCATGGCCAGAGGTGAACCATTAAGCAGATCATTTACACAAATGTATGGAGTGAAACTGGTTTCACATTGTCATGCAGCAGAAATCTGCCAGCAATATTATTATTATTATTTGTACATTGTTGTTATTAATATTAAAATAGTTATTATATTATTATTAATAATAAATAATAATTATTAATAAAAATACAGATATTGATTGTTGTACTACTACTATTACTACTACTTCTACTACTACTACTAATAACAATTATTATTATTATTCTTTTCCCAGTTATGGGTTGCAGCTGGAAGGGCGTCCGCTGCGTAAAATATATGCTGGATAAGTTGGTGGTTCATTCCGCTGTGGCAACCCCAGATTAATGAAGGGACTAAGTCGAAAAGAAAATGAATGAATGAATTATTCTTTTTGAAGTTTCATGACCTCAGATGTTTATTATGAGAAATGTCTGATATGAAACATGTTTCACATTGTCTTACAGGTATAACAAAGTTTACAGGCAACACCCTGCTGTCTGTCACAGAACTATTTGTCCAGGTAAGAGCTCACAAATTCAATATTGAATAATGAACATATCATTGCTCATCATCAGATGAATATGAATGAGCATCTCTCTTCAGACCCCTGTGACTCTCAGCCCTGTCAGAATGGGGGGACGTGTGTTTCTGAAGGACTGGATAAATACCGGTGCGAGTGTCCTGCTGGTTACGCCAATGACCCCAATTGTGGTAAGTTCACATTCATATGCTTCTTTTCCCACAGTTCTTCTCATGTGGTGAGCTGCCCCTCTCTCACATTCACGCTTAGATTATTTTGTTTTGGTGGGTTTGGCTGGATCAGATGTGTGTGTGTGTGTGTGTGTGTGGGTGTGGGTGTGGGTGTGTGGGTGTTGTCACGGGTGTTCAAGTTACAGTGGGGATCGGTTTTCAGGCAGGGTCATGGTTGACACTCTAATTAGCTAAAGGCAATCCAAAAGTTTCCAAAGTCAGCAGTTTCTTGTAAATGTGCAGCTTTGTTCTGTGAAATTAAAATTATTGATAAAAATATTTTATAAATATTTTACTGATTAAAAAACATACAGTATTGCAGAATTATAATATAATATAATATAATATAATATAATATAATATAATATAATATAATATAATATAATATAATATAATATAATATAATATAATATAATATAATAACACTGTCGCCTCACAGCAAGAAGTTGGCTGGTTTGAGTCCCAGCTGGGCCAGTTGCCATTTCTGTGTGGAGTTTTTCCCGGTTTCCCCCACAGTCCAAAAACATGTGCAATAGGTGAATTGGATGAACTAAATTGGCCCTAGTGTATGAGTGTGTGAATGTGAGAGTGTATGGGCGTTTCCTAGTACTGGGTTGCAGCCAGAAAAGCATCCGCTGCTTAAAACAGATGCTGGAATAGTTGGTGGTTCATTTCACTGTGGCAAACCCCTGACAAATAAGGCACATAGCCGAAGGAAAATTAATATAATATAATATAATATAATATAATATAATATAATATAATAAATGGGGTGGATGAGGAGATTCCCCCCAAAAATGTGTGTAAATTGAGTGTCCAGAAAAAATTATTAATTATGAACAACAGAAAGTAATAAAATATAAATATTCTTACAAAAAAAATATTCTTACAGCAATTTCTGTTTTGGCCCATAATACAGTATGTGGTCCTTGTGTCTACGTTTGTTTTGTTTTTGTTTAGGTTCTGCAGTAGCTGCACCGAAAATAACTGTATAAAAGAAATTAGCAATAGGTAAACCCCAAATGCACATGCTACAATACTTTTATAATGGGCCTTGTCATTTGCTAAATTACACTGTGAGACAGGAGCCATCATCGGTCCCCATGAGTTCTATTGAAATGCGGACACTAAATCCTACATCCAATCAGAACGTGATGACATACCTAACCTCCTGCTGTCAATCAATGTGAATGACATCACAAGTAGAGGTTAGATCAGATGACCCCACTTACCTGCAGAGGGATATGTGGAGCTTTGTGTTTGTTTAGGCTGGTTGTAAAGGCATTTTAGCAAGTGTTAATGTGTAAAGGAGACTAAAGCTCCTATGCTTTTCTCCTCCTTTAACAATGTAATGTCTCATATGATTCTAACTAAAATCTAAAACAAACAGGATATATGTAATGCAGACTAACAGGTATGTAACCAAAGCTGGAAACCTGTAACCATTGGTTTCCATAGAATTTTTTTTTATTATGGAAGTTAATGGGTACAGGTCATCAGCTTTCTTCAAAACATCTTCATTTGAGTAAATAGTGAGTAAATTTTCATTTTGAGTAAACTATCCCTTTAAGGATAGTTAAAGGTTTAGTTCTACCAAAAATGACAATTTGCTGTTTTTTTTCACCTTCAGCCCATCCAAGTGGTACATATTTACATGAACACATGTTTTTGTCTTCAATAGAACATTAAAGAACTTTTTAGCTGAAATTATTGTACTTGTTGATAAAAACTGAGGCAAAAATGTCTCTAATGTCCTCATATTTAATTGTATTGATTTTCATTTCCAGCTCCCATTCTGAGTTTTGACTGCTCCGTGGATGTGCTCTTCCTGCTGGAGGGCTCCTCTGCTCTTACTCTGGAGGGTTTCTTGCGATTCAAGTCCTTCCTGAAGCGTTTCATGCAGGCCGTATTGAGCTCTGACACTCCTGTAAAAATGGGGTTGGCCCAGTATGGCAGCGACGTGAAGATCGAGGCCAGAATTGGGGAGCACAGAGACCCGGTGAAGCTGATCCAGGCTGTTGAGGGACTTCAGTATCGTGGTGGGCAGACGAAAACCGGAAATGCCCTTCGCTACATCACACGCCACGGCTTCCAGAGCACGCCTGTGTTCGCTGACGTTCAGGACGACCTGCCGCGGGTGGTAGTTCTGCTCACCGGGACGCCCTCAGCAGATCATGTGGTGGAGCCAGCGAAGTACGCACGGGACAGGGAGATCTTCATCATCGGTGTAGCGCCAGAAGGCATGAGGGCTGAGATAAACAACATCACAGGGAACCCTCAGCGCACCATCATGTACCAGTCACCGGATAGATTGAGCAGCAAGATCCCAGAACTAAGAGCCAAAATCTGCAGCGTCGACAACCAGGGTAGAGAGCTAATCTATTTTTCATTGTCAACACAGGAAAGTCTTTAAAAATGCAGAGTTTGGTGTGCCTCAGGGAACAGTTCACTCATTTTTTTTGTATCCAGTGTAAATTAACAGAGAAGAGTCAAACACTGACAAAAAGAAACTCAAGTTGTTTGTATTTGTAGAAAATTACTAAAAAATCTACTGTACTGTACTTACAAATATTGATTACTTAAAAATCATTATGGTAAAAAATCAATCTTAAAACATTCTGTTTATGTAAGAAAAAAAAACAAGATTATTTGGTATACACTTAGAAAAAGTTGTAAAGTAAGTGAAGCTAAAGGTTTTGGACTTTACACAGGAATGCAAAAGTTGTAAAACCTTCAATAATATTAATAAAAAAGGTCTTGTAAAAACTGCTTTACAGAGGAACAGAAATCTACGAGAACTCGATTAATTAAAGTTTCTTAGGGAAAAATTATGTTTTGTTAAACTTAATTGTAAAAAATGTAAATGAATGCAATTACAAAACTCAAAACCTTTGTGAAACTTATAATAATAAAAATTGGGGGTGAAGGCATAGGTTTTCAGGGAAAGTAAACTTTAGCAGAACATTTAACATAAGGTTAGGTGAGGAAAAGTTTCAGAGAATGGGCTGTGATTACAAAACTTTTTTAATAATAAAAACTATGAGTCAAAGCAAATGGTTTCCAGAGGAAATGCAAAATGATCAACTATAAAATTACAAAAATGTGTGTAACAGTAGGTAAAGCCTTATGTTTTGAGAGGGAATACTATATTATACAGGGTGATTCAAAAAGAATACTAAAACTTTGAAAATCTGTATTTAATCAAAAAACCATGGTGGAACCCTGGGTAATTAATCAATGTGAAGGGTACCTAAAGTTTTTTTTCAGTAGAAAACAAGTTCATAGATGTTCAATATGACCCCCTCCAGACACTCAAGTGACAATACTCTCCACACTCTCTGTAGCATGTTGGGCGTAACAGTTTGGATAGCTGCAGTTATTCATTCTGTTAGTTCCTCAATGTGAAACTTCAGAGCTTTCTTAAATCGACAACAGAAAGAGCTTAGCTCTCCTTTTCTTCTTTGCAGAGTTCTCAGTTTTCAACGTTGTGGCATTCTTTTTGAATCACCCTGTATAATAATGAATGTATAAAGCATAGTTTCTTAAACAGTTTAATTAAATAAGTTCTTTTGAGGGTAAATATTAGTTTCAGTTTTGCTATTTAAAGTTCATAAGTATTAGCCATCAAACTCCATTTGCGCTCTAATTGGTTAATTTAGCATTTAGCTAAAGCAAGTCTGTTGCTGTGTCCGAATTCGCATACTTCAATACTATATAGTGTGGAAAAACAGTGTACTTTAGTAAAAACAGTATGTGAGCAAAGTAGTATGTCCAAATTTAAAGAGTTCGGATGACCTACTACTTCTGGCTAGATTCTGAAGTATGTATCCGATCGACGCTATACTATCCCATGATACACACCGAAAGAATTCATAAATGAGAGTCAGTTGACGCAACTGACTCAGGTAGATCACATGGTAATAAAATGGCGGCTGTAGTACCTCCAGGTTGCATTTATACTACTCCCATTCATACTATTTAGAACGGTCATGTAGTAAATTCGAATGTAGTAGTTACTGAGTAAGTAGGCGATTTCAGATACAGCCTATGTGTTTTGCAGCAGCATAGCTGATCTAGTCCTCCAAGACCAAACTATGTACATTCTATTTTTAAATTCTGTACATTCGGAGTTGTCATGACTGAACTATTATACCCCTTTTGTTTCTGTTAGGTTGTCTGGGTCAGGCTCTGGACCTTGTGTTTGTTCTGGATGCCTCCAGTGGTGTCGGCAAGGAGAATTTCATTCACTTTCAGGATTTTGTTCGGAGCACTTCAGTGCAGTTTGACATTAATCGAGATGTGGCTCAGGTGGGATTGGTGGTTTATGGGAGGCGTCCAGTCACGGTCTTTGACTTGGACAAGTACAATTCGGGCTCCGCTGTGCTGAGGGCTGTGGGGGACGCCGCTTTTCTGGGTGGGAAGGCTTCTGTAGGTTCAGCCCTGCTCCATGTGCTCTCCCAAAGCCTGACGGTGGGGAAGGGAGCACGTCCTGGAGTCAACAAGGCTGTGGTGGTGCTGACTGATGGGACGGGTGTGGAGGACGCTGCGGTGCCTGCACAGAAGATCCGTGATAGCGGAGTGTCCATATTCTTAATTGGAGTTGGGGACATCCAGCAGGAGCTTCTTCTCCGCATCTCTGGCTCTGAGGATCACATGATCACCGTGCCTTCATACGATGACCTAAAATACTCAGAGGATGTGCTGGTACAGATGGTGTGTTCAGGTAAATCAGGAGCAAATGTTCCTCTTTGAAAGCTGATGCATTTATGTTTAACTGTTGTTCTTTTTACAGATGTGAAGAAGCCTGTAAACCTTTGCAGTCCAAACCCCTGTATGAATGATGGCATCTGTGTGATGCTGAATGGGAGTTACCGCTGCGAATGCCGTGGCTGGAAGGGTCCACACTGCGAAACACGTCAGTATCAGAAACTGCTAATTAGCCTTTCTAGTAATGGATACTCTTGTTTTACTGTTGCCAATACAGGTGTTTGACAAGTTTCAAAGGGAAGGTAAAAGGTTCTCAGGTGACCTCAGATTTTTTGAGAGGGAATTAATCTGCTTTTTTCATTGGGTTTAGCTACCTTTTACCTTTACAAATATATAATTCAGAGATTTTAGTTTCATTTTTAGTCAGATGTGTAAAAAATCAATATTTTGAGGAATAGCCCTCAATTAAAACAACAGAAAACATTTGTTAATCAGATTAATTGATAATTTCTGACAATAAAACTGGCAGTTTTTATTTTTATTTTGATGACTGTTATGTTTATTTTAATTTTGACTCATATTTGTAGATTTTTACATAGTAAAATTAAACATACATTACCATTTTACTCAAACCCTTACCCAATAAATGTAGAAATATACTGGATTCTTTGATTTGTAAAATAAGACAAGAATATGTCCAAATATTACATTTCAATTTAAATATTGGTGATGTTTATCTAATCAACAATCTAGGTTAAGTAATTACTTGCATAATTCCATTTTTGGGTGAACTAAACCTATGAGTTATGTACAGTGGGGACGATTTTTCTCAGAAAACATATTTGTAAAGACACTGTTAATCATTTTTAACCAGATGTTGGTAACAACCAAAGAAATCCATATTTGCAAAGAAAACAATATTAATTCATTTACAAATAAGGAAATGAAAAAGGGAAAAAAGTATTAAACACATGAAGAAAAGGAGGTGTAGAAAGGCAGTGAAAGCCCAGACAACTCTCAGTAGTTATTCAGCAACCCTCTGTCCTTCCTTATTGTAAATTAGACCAACATCTACATTACCAGGATGATGAAGATGAAACCAGAGTGGACATTTCAGCAAGACAATGATCCAACACACAGCCAAGGACTCTCTCAAATAATTTCACAGAAAGAAAATCAAGCTGTAGAATGGCCCAGCCAATCACCTGACTTGAATCCAATATAAAAAACAAAATAAAGCTCAGATTTGATGGACGAGACCCACAGAACCAACAAGATTTTCACACTTTGTTGAAGTCTGTGAAAAACTCACATCTGAGCAATGCACTTCATTCACCATATGAGAGGTGTCTTTATGCTGCCATCACCAATAAAAGCCTAAATATAGTATAAATAAAGTATTAAATATGATTCAGTAGTTCAGTTCATTATCCTTGTGTCATTTCATTGTTATTACACATTACTTTTTTTTTTTTTTTAGATTTTTTTGTTTGTTTTATTTTTATGTTTGTATAGTTTGTGTTTGTACCAAACTCTGCTTCAATTCTATGTAAACAGCTCCTTTAGAATATTTTTTTCCAGAAAAAATTGATGTGTTGAATACTTTCCCCCCACTGTATATTATACGCTAATCCATTCAAGATAATGAGGAATTTGATCATTCTAATAATGGTAAACGCATGTTCTGTTTTTGGAAGTACAGTAATTGAGAGTTTTTATAAACCTCATGCTCCTTTGCTTTACCTCACATCTGTTCTTCATCTTTTTAATCATTATGAGATGCAACAGAGTAGCACCTTTAACACAGTATAACCAGAAAATTAAAAACACACTGATCACACGCAGCGGAGTTCCAGCTCTTAACTGCTAATGATATAACTTTTCATTCCAGAAAATTGCCAGAATGCATTTTAGGCATTTTTTAAAAAAGGGCTTGTTCACGCATCTTATTATGACAATTTAATGGAGATTTCTTAAAGTCTGTATGAGAGATTAGTGTGTCCCACGTGTGATAACTCTCAAAATGACTTATTCGCTTTTCTACTGTATGCCTGCTGGATGGTCGTAATTTTGGTGTTATCAGAATGGCAGGCTATATTTAGGATGTTTTGATTGATGTGTTTTTGTGAACTTGTTTTTCAGGGAGCAGAGAGCAGCCATCCAGAGGAGATCTTCCTAAACCTGCAGGCCTGAGGCGACGGCAACCCAAGACTGAGAAAGAGCTGCTGCAGCGCTATAAAGAGCAGCGCAGGAGACACACGTCCAAAACACAGATCAGATAACGGCACACACATGTACACTTTAACATGCAGACAGTTACTTAGCAATGAGTCAGAAATCAGCTTGCAATTTGCAATGACTTCAAGGGTGTGTTCACACTTGTAGTGCAGTTCTTTTGGTCAAAAAATAAAAGTGACATTTAGTCCTGGTTCAGTTAACTATGAATTGAGCTAGATTCACTTTTTCAGTTGTATATATATCCATTCAGTTTGTATCAGTATAACAGCATTTACAGTAGGGATTCTATTAATTCCCCTAATCAATCATTGTTTATATTACATTGTTTATGTTTTTTATTCAATTAATCATTAGTCTTAATAATGCAAGATTTGTCTACTTCAGTGGCGTCCACATGATAGGATGTACAAATGATGCTCAACACATAAGCATTTCTTAGTTAATGTTAATAATTACATTCACTCTGAAGTGTTACTGTAAAATCATTTAACTTAGTACAGATGTCGCCACTGAGATGATTCGCTGTGCGAGTGAATGAACGTGACATCACGCAATTCTGCAGTGCAATGTGGTACAGCACAAAATGGTCTAACAGAAGAACGACATGGCCAGCAGGGGGCAGTTATGAAACATAGTGAACATACTTAAAGGTGCAGTAGGTGATTGTCTTCAGAAGCACTTTTTGTTGTGCTGGTTGAAAGTCTCTTCACATTCCAATAGTATTGGCTAAAGTAAGTGATCTGAACGTATTTATATGTATTTTTATATTCTGGGTAAGGTATAAAACTAAAAAAATGTTAATCCAATTCGGGCCGACATCTCTTGATCCAAAGATGCTGAATCAAAACTTTTTAAAAACCTGAATCATGGAGTTACTTTTGTACGCTGGAGGAAGGATGACACCATGGCTGAAGGATTTCTCTTAGACGGGTAATATTATGTTTTTAAAACTGTTTTAGCTTCACGCAAATCTGATGTAACGTTAGATGTTGTTGTTACAAATGGGTTATTTCTGCACAGAAGTGTTGGTCAGCCACTAAAATCCTCAGATAAAAGACTGATGTGACTATATACAGTTTCAAATGGTGCTTTTACAGCATGGATAATGTAGATTTAATTTAGTTTACCAATAAAACATCAGTAAACAGCGCTATTCCGCCTAGCTAGCTTTACTGAGGTGAAGATGGTTTTATATTCACATCACACTGGTTCATTTTTAAACAATGATGACCTGTGACGCTTTCCTTTTATTGTTTACCATTCTACTCTGGATATCCACTCTGAAATAGCCCTTCCAGTTGCAACCCATCTCTGGGAAACATCCATACACACTCATACACTACGGACAATTAAGCCTACCCAATGCACCAGTACCGCATGTCCTTGGACTGTGGAGGAAACTGGAGCACCCCAATGAATTCCATGCGGATGCGGGGAGAACATGCAAACTCCACACAGAAACGCCAACTGCCTGAGGCTCAAACCAGCGAACTTCTTGCTGTGAGGCGACAGCACTACCTACTGCGCCACCGCGTCGCCTGCAAAATAACTCCTGCAGCTTTTTTTCATAATTTCATTTTAGTTACTTTTTTTGCTTTTTCAAAATGTCAGTGTTCTCCTTCAAATTACTGTTATGCTTTAAAAAAAAACTGTTTAAAATATTAACTGCTCAGTTTCAGTGTATTTCATGTGTTCGTTTCAATTTTGCTTTTTTTTTTTTTTGCATGCGCATGTGAAATGCTATGCTCGGGTTGTTTGATTTGGGGGGGAATTCGCTCGCTCTGGCCTGAAAAGCGTTGTTCCTTGTGCCACCTGGTGGATATTGCATAAAGCACAAAAATGTTTGTTTGTTTTTTACATGAAAAGGCAGCCTTTGCAGGTGCAGCACATCATGTGTCTGCGCTTGTCAAATTGCAGCATTACGCATGAAGAAATGCGCATTCTCAGTGGCCACATCTGTATGAATAATCTTGTAAATGATTTATTAATCATAGTTCAACATTAACAAATCCATTATTAAAATCCAAAGTTGTGCTTGTTATCATTAATTAATGCTTAGTAAGTTGAACTGACATGAACTAACTTTATTTAACTTAAATAACATTAATTAACTTTAACAAAGATGAATAAATACTATAATAAATGTGTTACTAATCGTTTGTTCATCTTAGTAAATACATGAACTGACATTAACTAATAGAGTATTAGTTTTAAAGTGTTTCCGATTTTACTGTAAATAAAAGGCTAGTAGTTTTTGTAAAAGGAAAAAAATGTAACAGAAACATTTGACTATTATGTATGACGTGTCAATAGCACCTTCTTAGATGTACACATTGTTAGCTGGTGCATTTGTGCTGCCGTGTGAGCAAATAGTTTTTGTTACTACAGTAAGTGTGTTCATTTCTTCACAAATGTGCATATGATATTGTGCAGTACAAGACAAATCTAAGATTACCAATGAATGTCCATGATGTGTTCCATATCGTTATTAGCCCAATTAATCAGTCTTTATGGATGTCACATGAATAACATTTCAATGTTTACTGTATATACTATGTTTATGAAATGTACCATTTAAAGAGATAGTTAGATAGTACCTCAAAAATGTAATTGTCAGTAATTACTAGCCCACAAGTCATCTCAAACCCCTTAGACCTTTGATCTTTGGAACACAAATTAAGATATTTTGGATGAAATTCATCAGCTCTCTTGATTCTCTATAGATTTTAATGCTCTCTACTCATTGATTGGTGTCCAGAAAGGTACAAAAAAACTGTCCATGTGTTCAGTTGCTTTCCTGAATGGGTACCCTATACTGACACAGAGGAAGGAAACTGTTGAATAGTCTTTTTAAAAAAAAATGTTGTGCACACAAGTTTTCTCAAGCTTTTATATATATATATATATATATATATATATATATATATATATATATATATATATATATATATATAAATAAATAATTAGTTGAACTACTGAAGGAATGTAGTCTGTTTTGAGGATATATTTTTTGTATTTTTCTGGTTTAAGTCGGAACCATTGCTGTATTTGCAGGACGAGAGAGCTCTCAGATTTCATTTAAAATATCTTAATTTGCATTCCAAAGGTGAATGAAGGTCTCAGGGGTTTGAAACAACATAAGCGTGAGTATAATTACATTATTGTAATTTTTGGCTGAACTAACTAAATATGTAGATTATATGCTAATCCATTCTTGATAATGAACAATCTGATAATGCTGATTATGGTAAACTGATAATTGTTCATTTTTGGAAGCAAAGTAGCTGAGAGTTTTTATAAAACTCGATTCTGCTGGATGTCTTGTGGGTAAGCTGTATGCGCCCTTTAGCATGGACATAATTAAGATACATGATTTGTATGAACATCCTGAATCACTCTATGGATTTTAAAAGATTATCAACAATTATTTTATTGTGGATTGATCATTGGCAGCCCTGGTTTACACTTAATAAAAACAACAACACTAACAGTTCAATTCAATTTCACCATATTTCATTTTAATAAAACCCAGCCTGCTACCTGTAAACACAACCCAGAATGCAGACTGCAAGTTTTGTAATTGCATTTACTGCCTTAAATGTGACTTTTGCTATTCACAGTCAGCCTTTAAGGGTATTTTGACCCTGTTTGTATTGTGTATTCAGCACTGAAGGCCTTTATGAATATTTTTTCTGTCTGAGATTTGGACCTGCTTGTGATCTGCCATTTGCAAAAATCCTCCCTGTTACAGAAAGCCTAACATTAGAGATATTTATTTTGTAATACCTGTCCATTTGTCTGTTGTAAAGCTAATAAATTCTCAACTGAAATACTTTGTGTAGTTTTAGTGTTGTTTTAGTGCCACCTGTTGGAGAAAGCTGGAGCTTATTTATAGGCATAAATGCAGACATCCCAACCTGGCCAAAGTAATTTCTGGAAGGGGGGTGTGGGAGGTGTGCCCTAAGTTCTAATGTCTGTAAATGCATAGATATTCATTGTTGTCAGTACAAACTTTTATTTGAATAAAAAGTGCATTTTTTTCAGCTGGCGTACAGTAACAAATCCAAAAAAAACACTGAACGGATATGTAATTTATATATATATATATTCACATCTTGGTTACCAGCATACATGAACCAAGCTACAATGTACCAATTGTCTGATTGAAGGTTTGAATCTTAAAAATAGCCGTCCTTGAAGCTGTCTTTTTGGTCACTTTACAAGCTTGCAATGATCCGTCAAATAAAGTACACGCCACTTATAGAATGTCAATTATTCCCTTCCTTCCCTTTACCTAAGAATGTCTTAATTTCAATCTGAAAATGAATAGATTTAAAATCTACAATTGTCCAGTGGCGCCTTTTTTTTTTTTTGGCAGGGAACAGAAAGTATGGTCTTGGATGAGCTGCCTGCATATACAGAGTACCATCTCAGCCTCCAATTGCAGAGAAGCAGCAATGAGTGGAAGGTGCTGTTTCAGAGGGACGGGGCCTGCAAGTCATTGGCCACACCCCTTGTTTCTCACCCACCCTCCCTGAAGCGTTTGCTTAGCAGTCCTTTGAGCTTTGGCTAAAAAGTCCATTTGTGCTCAGTGTTTCCATTCACTAGGTTGTGTTTTTTTTCTCCCATTCCTAAAGATAGAAAGAAAGGTGACTGAGAATTAAAACCGCATTGTGTTCTTATTAGATTAGATTAGATTAGATTCAACTTTGTCATTACACATGTACAAGTACAATGCAACGAAATGCAGTAACGAAAACGAACGTATCATTATACGTTCAACGAAATGTATCATTATAATGATACAGTAATGATTTCAGATGGTAATTTAGATTACCATATTCATCAGCCATTATTAACATGTAGATACATTACTGTAAGACAGTTTGGGTCAGTATGATTGGTTTAAAAAGACAGTAATATTTTTATAAATCCAGCAAAATAATTAAAGTCTCCTAGTTTGAAATTTAAAAAATCAGAATAAGTTTTAAACATAAAAAAAATCAAGGAGGCAAAAAAAATTTAAATATTAAACAAGAAGAGTTTTGATAATTAATAAATAATATAACTACTACTATTACTACTACTGATAATAATAAATAATAATAATATTTAGCAAACAATATAATACAACAATGGTTTTAAATGGTAATCCCATTGGTCAAATCATGTTTTTTTAAATGTATACTTGTTTGGCAGACAAATATTTATTTCCATAAATCAGTTATGTGTGTATGAGTGGACTAACCTTGGCTTTCTGTAGAACATTTCCTTTGCTGGCTGCCATGACGGACGGGGGTCTGTTCTTCAGGGCTGTGGCTGAGTTGACAGGTGAATCTTCGTTGTTGGTGCAGGCGGGGGTGTTAATGTTGGTGTTGTTGGGTGTATTTGGAGCAGGGCTAGACACAGCGGCTGGCTTGGGCTAGAATATATATCAATATAAGTAAATATATATTAGCAAGTATATATTATTAAAAACGTTGTGTTATTGAATCCTTTTCTAAACTGCACTCACTTAAAGTATGCACTCACTTTAGTTTTAAGCTTAAAAATGTTTTTGAAGGAACAGCAGAATAATGATGTTTTGCTTTTACAGCATGCGTACCATGTGACCTGGAAATCATTAATTGAAGTGTTTTTAAAACTTTTACGCAATGTGAAAGAGAACCGGTGCATAATCTTTTACATCTTGATTGTTTTTAACAGTCAAAAACATAATTTTGTTAAAATTCCAGTTAAAAATGAGTTAAAATGAACACTGAAAAAAGAAGATCAGATTGGCAGATCTATGTTATATTGGTCAAGGCCTTAAAGCAGGGGAGTCTACACTCATTCCTGGAGGGCCTGTGTCCTGCAAAGTTTAGTTCAACCACAATCAGACACACCTGGGGTAGCTAATCAAGCTCTTACTAGGCTTTCACGAAACATCCTTGCAGGTGTTTTGAGGCAAGTTGGAGCTAAAATCTGCAGGACACCGTTCCTCTAGAACCGAGTTTGGACACCCCTGCCTTAAAGAGACAGCAGTCTAATTCTGTGGCTCAAATGCTACTTAAAAAGAAAAACTATTCAGTTCTTTAAAAAACAAGTCATCAATTATTAACCCAAACTTTTGAACATAACTTATTTAATTATATACCTATATAATTACAGCAAAAGACTGTAAACTGAATCTTGTTGTGATACTAACCACTGAAATGTCCAGTAGACTGCTGTCCACAGTGGTGCCCAGTGTAAAGGGTCCAGATTCCACTTTCCTCAAATTCTCCTTCACCTCCATCAGGCTGAGCTCCACCTCCACTCGCCTACGCTCTGCCTCACGACACGTCTCTTCCATCTGCTTCAGACGAGCCTCCAGAGAGGCCTGCCGAATGGGGTCTAAACAAGCCATCATCAAAAACAGT